CTGTCATTTTTGACATATGATACAAACATCTGATTTTTTAAATGGAAACGGTAGTTGGCCACGGCTTCATAAAAAGCGCCATTTTTAAGCTTTTCAGCGATATAAGCTATATCTTTTTTTCGAAAAATTACTGAGTTCTAGCCAATTCTTATCTCTTTTAAACAATTTCACTTAGTTAGCCATGAAAACAAATTCATTTGTCGTTGCTCTCAGAAATGTGAAACTGTCACATCCAAACTTTGTAAATAACAAAAATTGTAAATATGAATTTTTCAAATAAAGAAAAGCGTGGTTCAACTTTTCTTGGCCATACATTTTCGAGGATACGTTGACCGTTGAACGTTACTTACGTTTTTTAGAGAACGGTTTTCAATACAGGCTTTTTATGAAGTCATGGCCAACTATGGTTTCCATTTAAAAAAATAAAAACATATGTTTGTGTTATATGTCAAAAATGAGAGGCTTTAGAAAAAATCGGAGAACATAATCTCATTAGGGACGTGATTATCTACAACTTTTATCTGAAAACTTGTTGTCTAAAATAGATTATAATGGAATTAGAGACAATTTTTAAAAGAGCCAAAATTTGTTTTTTTTTTTTCAAAAATCTGAAAGGCGCATATTTATGACCCCACAAAACTGCAATTCTTTCCCCATTTAACCGACTCTCTATCTCCAGTAGTTTCCGAGATACCCATAGAAAACATCGTAGGAAACTCACCCTGTATATTTTTTTCTGTCATTTATTTATTTCGTATGAACATCAGTAAATAGGTCGCTATTTCTGTTTATTATTGCAAGTCATAATGACAATCTAACGTTTAACGTTCTTCAAAAATGCGAAAGAAACCCAAACTCATATGTTGATGTTGACGAGGCCAACGATACATCGTGCGATATGGGTAATTAAAAGATAGTAAACACGCTAGGGGGCTGTGACTGTATGCTTTTTTATCAAATTGATAATAAATTTTAAAAGTTATAAATAAAACCAACTTTTCCTATTAACATACAGATTATAAACTTTGTTTTTTCTTTATAGTTTTTCGTGGTCCCAATTTTCGGAATCGGGCACTAGTTAGGTGACTAGTTTGCGCACATAGCACGCCCACTTATGGCCTCTAAAATTGTGCACAGCGCCTGACCGGCACAGTTATTAGAGAGATATCGGAAAACCGAATAGCGTCATGCAGTATTTACGCGTACCTTATCATGGTTACGATATGCGCGAGTCAATTTTTAACGCAACCCCGCTAATAACGTTACCGCCTGACGTAATTTGCGGATCAATTACATCAAGCGCTATTTCTAAATAACGTTCAAAAATTGCTTAAATGGGCATGTGCGGGTACATTTGACAACCGGGGCCGGCCGGCGAGCGGCGAGATCTTTTATTTTAGGTTATGTTTGAATTGTTTTGAATTATTACTTTAGTTTTATTAGGTAATTTGATATTTAAGTAGCTGGGATAAGTTTTAATTAAATAAATATGGCCCAAAATATGGATTCCACCTCTTCCATTATTAAAGAACCTATAAAGAGGCTTAGGTTTACAGCAGATGACGACTTAGCCCTTCTAAGAGAATTTCTTACTTGTTGCTCTAAACCCACTGGCAGACGTTGAACAATAAAGTACTGGAAGTAAGCACTTTAGCCCTTTAGTTTTAAAATACCTAGTAAACAAAACAATTTCAAAGTTTTAAATTCAAAGTTAGGTTAAGTTTAAATAGCGGACGCGGACACGACGCGAACAGAATTCTTTCCGATCCGATAACTATAAATGAAGAGAGTTAATACCACCTCACGTAAAGGAAATAACACCTGGCCTTATTAACGCCCATGCACGCTATTCGGTTTAGCGATATCTCTCTATTACGCTGTTTATTGTTATTTTACGCGAGTTTATTTTTGCGCACAGGAAATTTTACTCGTTTGCACATCGTCATAAAAAACCATTTTAGTACCACGAATTAGGGACAAGATTTTTATCTGTATACTTATAGGATACCTAATCTGTGCTATTAACGTGTAGTCTTTTAATTTTTAAAGTTCTGACTACGCTTACAAAAATGTAATAATGTACCGGGTGTTCCATTTAAAAAAAATTGGCGCCGGGAGGCACGTATAGCCGCCCATACTAAAATATGTTAATAAAAAGTTGGTAGGCAGTCAGGGGCGGATACAGGATTTGAACTACAGATGGAGCAGGTGCCCTTATGTAAAAATCCAAATTTTCAAAAAAATCAGGTCTGTCTAACCTATCATTGTTGGGAATCACCCTGTATATGAACTAGTGGGGTCGTGGCCCCCTACGATGGCCACTGATACCGCAGACGACATGCATTTATATCAGGACTTTGTTATTATATTGCGTAAATTCGACGACAGATATAGATTACTTCCATAATTAAAAAGATATAATTAATTTTATAATGATTGATATAATAGATATATCGAAGAAGATCAAAATGTGACATATCGTTAAATTGAAGCATTATTTGGTATTTCCTTTGAATAAGAAGACTAAGGAAGGAGCATAATGCTATCCATGTATTCATGCATGGTGGGCGGAAAAGCCACCATAAAAGCTCTCTAGGGTGGGGATCCTTGACAGTTCTGTTTGACGATTCATTTGACACATTTGAATTTGATTTGAAATTTTGTGGATTTGTCAGTCTTTACGGAGCTTATTTTATGTTATTTATTATTTATTCTACTACTGATAGTTGTATAAAGGTAGTAAATCTAGATGGAAATTGTGGCAGAACTTAAATTAACAGTGACACTATCGCGATTTATCGAAAAAGACTCTAAAATAGTTGGTTGTGTAGCGTGCGGTAGATCTCGGCAAAAATTGAGTGAAATAATGGAACAACTTTTCGCTAGTAAGTGACTATATAATATACATACGTGTAGTAAACCGATCATTTATGAAATTCACTTAAATTAACTAAATTATATATTTTTCTTGCATTTTACCTTTTATTTATTACTTGTCAAAGATTAGATGTCAAAGAATTTAGATACGTTAATTTGACTTACCTGCTTCAGTAGCGTATCGGATGTTTGTGTTTTTGTGTTAATAAATACTTATTATAACTTATCTATTTTTATTAGAATTATATATTTTTATAACAATTTTACTAACTACCAACATTTATTCACACCGTAAAATAAAACAACAAATTATTGAGTCTACCCCACGTCTACCCTACATCATAGTTTTACCTTTTTTAAATAAAATTAGAACGACACTGATAAACCGGAATTTAAGTCGGCCATATTTGAGGCCCATCGCGGTGTACCTAAGATTTTTGATATGCTCCTTCCTTAGTCTTCTTATTCAAAGGGTATTTCAAAAACATCAGTTCAAAAAATTTGACATGAAAAGTAGTAGAAATATACCGAGGGTGCCATTTAAATATCAAAAGTAGTCATTTTCGGTGAAACAGAAGTGACCAAAAACAATTGAATACGGCAAACAATCCTAATTTATGTCATATACTAACGCACCAAATCTTGTTTTTTTATCTGAAAAAATAAAAAAAGTTATAGAGGCGCATCCGGTATATTAATTTGTTTGCCGGAAGTAATTGCTGTGTTTTGGAAAACCCATCCTCCACCAAAACAATGCAAGTTTCCACTCAGCTCGAAAAACAATTGAGTTTTTAAAACAAGAAAACATAAGGTTTGTTCCAACCAGCATTTCGAGATCGTTTCGAAATCGTACTCGAATCGGTTTTCTTGCACTTTGTTAGCATGCGCGGACTTCGAATAGTTTCGTGACGGTGCCTAAAGTATCAACGTTGGAACGCTTGTGGATTGTTTTCAGGACTGTCAAAAGTGTATCGATCGGTTTTTTGTTTGTTTAGAATTTTATAACATAACTCTGCAATTTGCAATAATAATTATTATTCTTGAAATGGAGAATCAGAATCCAGTAATTGTTGGTAAGTGTTGTTTCAACTGTATACTCACTAACTCACTTACCTATTCTCTTTTATGTCCTGTTATGCGTAGTTTCCTGTTATTTCATTGCAGTGGTAGAATCTTTGAACATTATTTTATATATAATAAATTAATTAAAATTTCCGAACGATTTACTCCACACAAACTCACAAGCAAAAGTATAACGCACACGTATTCGAATCGGTAAAAATTAACCAAGACAGAAGCATCAGCTGGACGCCGGACCAGAATCAGCTGTTAAAAATCGATAATTCCTGCCAATATGCTTTAATGCGCAAGTCAACCCAAACAGTTCTCAATTTGGACCATGTACCGAAATTACTGTTCTGAAATCGTAACTAAACGATCCCATGGTAGGTTGGTACGCAAATAGCATCGTCCGATAACCGTCAAATCTCGGTTGGAACACATTTGAATCACTGCGCACGAGCGTGATTGTTCGGTGACGGTTCTGCGGCGAGTTGGAACAAACCTATATAAGTTTTAGACCATCCTCCATACAGTCCCGACCTAAGTCCTAACGACTTTTTTACTTTTCCGAAAATTAAGAATGAACTGCGTGGTCAAAGGGTCCATTCCTCAGAATCAAAAACGCAATTTTGGTGGTATACCAACAAGCGAATGGAAAAACTGCTTTCAGAATTGGTTCCAGCGGATGCAAAACGCATTTCTCTTCGGGAGAATACTTCGAAAAACAATAGTGTTTAAAAGTTATCTATGTTAAAAGTTCATTATGCTAAGTTATTTACAATAATAATTTCTATTGACCTATCCAAAAGCTTCGTATTTCATATCTTTAGTACTTCTCTGTTGCTAAGTGCTGTATCGATGAAACAATAAATAGTGTTTTTACCATCACCATCACAATATTTCCATTCACTTATTTACAGTCACTTTGTGTCAACAAACTTATTATGCATAGGTTAAAAACCAACTGGAACTATATTAGTACAATATTTTTCGATAATAATCTCAATAAATACAAAATTTAAACAACAACGTTGTTGATTATTGTTTCTTTTTGTTTCTAGATGTTTGTTGGAGCCTATTTTAAGAAGATGGATAATTTTTTTCCAAGACATTTACAATAATAACCACAGGAGTTATATATAGATATACAATGATTCTTACACTGTATTACATGTACGCGACTTTCTTACAGTGGTGGAGACTTGGGTCTCTAAAAAATAAATTAAATGGCACCTTAAATGCCCAAAATGCCTTGCTTGTATGCGACGAAAAACTGATATTTGATGCAAAAAAATCAAGGAGCCTTGAAAATTTACTGTTTAGAAATGAAAATAGGTTTGGTTGTACCATAGTACCCAAGGTAAGTTCAAAAAATTGTACAGGGTGTCCCATTTTTGTGTGTTTTACAGGGTTTCTCGTTTATAATACTCTGCTACTTTTTTATGAAATTAAAAATGCTACACACAGAATTGTCTTAGTCTGATTAGTTTCTGCGAATTTTAAAACACGAAAATGGAACACCCTAAATACCTAGATATCTTTTTTAGCAAAAAATCAACTTGTCTTCGCAGTGGGTTGTATTTCCCAAGGATAATAGATACCTTCCAATATATTTTAAGCATAATAGTCCAGCACTGCAGAAACCCAATATCTATATTTTGTTACAAGCCGTTTTAGATACTTACAATCAACATGAAGCAGAGATTCTACAGGTAATATTTTTTTATAGGCTTGGTGCATTCTCCGCCGGTGCTGCCACCATCGGAGAATATCGTAAACAACCGGCATATACAAACACAGATTATAATCTTTGTTTTTTCTTTATTGTTTTTCGTGGTTCCAATTATCGGAATCGGGCACTAGTTAGGTGACTAGTTTGCGCACATAGCACGCCCATTTATGGCCTCTAAAATTGTGCACAGCGCCTGACCGGCACAGTTATTAGAGAGATATCGGAAAACCGAATAGCGTCATCCAGTATTTACGCGTACCTTATCATGGTTACGATATGCGCGAGTCAACCCCGCTAATAACGTTACCGCCTGACGTAATTTGCGGATCAATTACACCAAGCGCTCTTTCTAAATAGCCTCTGATAACGTTTAAAAATTGCTTAAATGGGCATGTGCGGGTATTTGACAACCGGAGCCGGCCGGCGAGATCTTTTATTTTAGGTTATGTTTGAATTGTTTTGAATTATTGCTTTGGTTTTATTAGGTAATTTGATATTTAAGTAGCTGGGATTAGTTTTAATTAAGTAAATATGGCTCAAAATATGTGGATTCCACCTCTTCCAATACTAAAGAACCTATAAAGAGTCTTAGGTTTACAGCAGATGACGACTTAGCCCTTCTAAGAGAATTTGTTGTTTGTTGCCCTAAACCCACTGGCAGACGTTAAACAATAAAGCACTAAAATACCTAGTAAACAAAACAATTTCAAAGTTTTAAATTCAAAGTTAGGTTAAGTTTAAATAGCAGCGACGCGATCAGAATTCTTTCCGATCCGATAACTATAAATGAAGAGAGTTAATACCACCTCACGTAAAGGAAATAATACCTGGCCTTATTAACGGCCATGCACGCTATTCGGTTTAGCGATATCTCTCTATTACGCTGTTTATTGTTATTTTACGCGAGTTTATTTTTGCGCACAGGAAATTTGACTCGTTTGCACATCGTCATAAAAAAACAATTTTCGTACCACGAATTAGGGACAAGATTTTTATCTGTATACTTATAGGATACCTAATCTGTGATACAAATACACTGATTTAAATAGCGAGGATACCCTGAGTCCCCTGAGTGTTTTGTAATTTCAATAACTACACTATTAAAAACTAAAATACTTATGACTTTAATATTATTTCAATGTGATTAACATTGGAACCTAACCTAACCTAACAAACTTCTAATTTCTGCCGTATCGAACGCTGCGGTCAGAATTTTTAAAATCAACCTGAAATACACCAAGGCTATACAGGGTGTAACAAGGACTCACCCCTTAATGAAGCCTTTATTTAATTTTGTTAATTTTTTTTCTCTGTTACAGTTGGAGAATTTTGGAGAATTCGTTGCATGGAAAATAACGGATCATTTCGAAGCCATTTTGAGAAGTGACATGGATAAGTTGACGAAATTAGTGCACTGCTTTTCACAAACCGACTGTGATATAAACCATGAATTGCAGCTTTTAAAATTTGAAAGTACGTACTAGCTAATCTTGAAGACTTAAGTTCTATTGTATAATCAGTGTTAATTTTCATAAATAAATGTAATGAATCATTAAATGTGTATTTTGTTTTAGCTGTCGATGTTGAGGGAAAGGCCAAAAAGATAAAATATGTCAGAAAGTTTTCAAAAGAGAGTACCTTAAAGTACTCCCTAGCCCCTATACACTGGCGAAAATTTGTTACGGATCTTAAAGAAGTGTACTCAAAAATAAGAGATGCCACTAAGTAAGTACCGCATTTACAATCAGTATAATTACGAGATATGGCGCTTCAAGGTCAACTTATACCGTATGATCGAATAAAAACGGCGTCCAGTTGGCTTAGAAATGACGATCATTGACATTCCCACATATAATTCTTCTTCTTCGTCTTCTTCCTTCTTCATACTAGGCGAATCGCCTGTTTGGTTTCGTCGTCTCTACCGGTTAGACTGACAAGTTGTCGCTCCATCGTTTTCGTGGACGTCCTAAGCTTCTGCGACCTAGCGGTGATTTGTCGCGTGCAACTCTCACTATCCCTCTGTTGTTCATTCTGCTGATATGCTCGTTCCATTCTTCCTTTCTGCTGAGTACCCACTCATTTACATTTTCCATCTTGCACGCTCTTCTTATGCTTTCATTTCTCTCCCTGTCCAGAAGCGTCTTTCCAGCTATTCTGCGTAGTACTCTCATTTCGATTGTTTCTAGTAGTTGTTTAGTTTTCGCTGTATCAGGTCGAGTTTCTGCAGTGTATTTCATATTGGTCGTACCGTTGCGTTGTAAATTCTCGCTTTAGTCTCCACCTCAATGTTTTTATTTCGCCATATTGTATCATTCAGGCATCCTGCTATTCTGGTTGCCTTCGTTGTCCGTTCTCGCACCTCCGCTTCTACATCACCATATCCTGAGATTTCTATGCCTAGATACTTAAACTTCATCTCTTGCTGAATAACATTGCCCTCAACTTCGAGTTTGCATCTTAGTGGTACTTTTGATGTCGTCATGCATTTAGTTTTCTGGGTCACATATAATTTTACATGTAAAATGACAGCGATCTTCATTTCATAGCCATCGCTGACACTTGTTTTTTTTCCGATCATATTGAACCTTCAATGAATGACAGTCCCCAATTTCTATATCATAATATGGCCGTATGATAAAAAAACGCCATCAAAGACGGCCGAGGAATGAAAATCGATAGTAGTTTTGGCGAGGTCAGTCTCTAGTCTCACACTAATTATAGAAAGATTAAAAAAGGATAGAATGTTCCCAGACACACAAATCTATTTTGAAAAAGTTATTTTTCTCGAATTTTAAACTATACACCATTTAAGAGCTCGAACACACTGACGGCCATGTCGCACCGACCCGGCCGCTGCTACCTCTAAAACCATTAATTCAAATGATACAACGCAGACCAACGACCTGGCCTTTGGCTGGTCGTTGCCAAGAACGGTAAACTAATAGGATTGCTCATCCTCATAAGACGTACGTTCGTCTCTTCCCGCGCTTCAGCTGACAGTTGTGACGTCATTGTAGTCCTTGTCATGATCGTGTGTATTATTAGTTGTCTATGGTAAACTTATAAAAATAACAGCTGAGAAATTTTGAGTTAATTATTTTGTTAATTCTAAATGTGAAAAAGGTGTCTTTAAAGTTTTTAGAGCTATAAATTGTATAAATACGTTCATTTTGTGTTGTAGATTGTGACAAAGTGCTTACTAAGTGCCTACGATATTGTTTATTAATTATTTTAAAGCAAACTATGGAAGTACTCTAAAAAGAATGCTTGCAAAAGGTGATGTTGGGAACTGCTGTTCTTAAAAATGCATTATCCGAGTATTTAATACGATATATACAGTTAATTTTCTATACTGCATACATATAAGGTGTTTCAATAAATAAACTAAATAATAAACGCTTTGCATCCGGCAACCAATAATGCACGTGTGTGTACTATTGGTTGCCGGATAAGGACTAATAACCATGACAAGGACTACAATGACGTCACGAAGCGAGTAGTTTTCGCATGCACCTGGTGGACACTTTTGGCTGAATGAGCAGTCCTATCACGTTAACTGTTCTTGGGTCGTTATCATATTTAAAGTTTTTCTACGATCACTTATTATTTTTTTGATTAAATTAGTTTTTTTAGTTGTATTGTAGTCATGTACAACGGGAACAACTGTATTTTAAATATTATATTTAATTTAATAATTTTCAAACATGGCCCATTAGACTATATTTTTACTAATACTAATTCAATACCCTGTACTAACACAAATACCAAAAAATAGAGTTAAAAAATTAAATATTTATGTTTTTTATGTATGTAAATAAGTCATAAATAAATAATTTGTTTTCGATTCTTAGGAACAATACTACTTGGGTCCTTTATTGATATAATGTGTTTATTTATTATTTTTATATCTGATGCAACACTCTGTATATCGTGATTTGTGATTTTCGCTCGGTATGGCTTTGAAGAAAAATTCCTTTATTTAATATTAGAACATTTTAATAAGCTCATGAATAGGAACTTCGCTTTTTAGTTAACTCGGATATTTCAACATTTCTGAAAACAATATTTTCTAATCGGTAAAACGTAAAAAATCGTTAGATCTGACAGCCCTGCCGAAACTGGTCGTTCATCTGGCCGCATCTATGTACGCAATATATCCGGCCAGCCGACGGCCAGGTCGTTGCGACCTGGTCGTCAGTGAGTTCGAGCTCTAAAATTAATCTTTACTCAGTATAAAAATAAATTACAACCTTCTTAAAGCCAACTAGCAGCAATAAAAATAATGATAATAAATAATGAAGAATACGCGCCAAGTAATGACGTCTAAGACTTGACCTCGCCAAAATTATCATAGATTATCAATCCCAGTGTCTTCGACGCTGTTTTTTTTTCTCGATTTTATGGTACTTTAAATTTGTCAATTTCTAGTCCGAAAATAACAATTGATAATGGTACACCGAAACCGGAGGATTTGAAGATTGTGCCTGTGTCGGAAGTCAAACCAATAAAAAAAGATAAAAAATACATAGAAAATAAAGATAAATATACGCTGGAAGTGAACTCTTCAGATTATAGAAGGCACAAAACATCGGATAAACATAAATCAGAGAAAGGTAAAAGTATATAATATACAGAGTGTCCCATACATACGAATGCGCACTACATGAATCTCGTAAACCAGAAGAAATACAGAGATGATTAAATTAGAGAAAAGTTGCGCCTTGCTGAACCCTACAACTTCATCTTTTTAAATCTAAAAAAATCCGATTATTTCCGAAGTTTTTTGAAAAAAAAAACGAATTTTCTCTCGTTTTTATTTTTTTTTCTCATTCTATTTGAAAAGATATTACAATAAAAATTTACATTTCCTTGGCCACTTTTCTTGCTCTACATGTTGACATTGTTAGATTTTCAATGTGACATTTCGTTTCCGAGATACCCTCATCAACTTTATTTGTTTAAATACGGACCTGTTTTTTTTTATTTAATTTTATAAAAGCTTATGACCTTCCCAATACAATGATATAGCACACTTCTCAAAAAATATGTATAATAAAGAATATTTCTTGTGGAGAGGGATAAAACATAAATTTGGCTCATATTTCGAAAATGACAGCTCCTAGTGAAAAACTAGTTACGCCACTGGATTCTTCGTGTAAAACTGTACAAAACTCAGTTTTCACCTTCTTCAATAAATTGTACGATAACCGAGATATAAGGGAGTCCAAAAAAAATGCTAAAATTTCAAATTCGCCCTGTATTTCAGAAACTAAAAGGGCTAGAACAAATATTCATTTTCAGCATTTTTAGTGTTTATATATCTTATCTTTCTATCTTTGCTCATAAACGAAAATCCCCGTAAAACACACGAAAATGGGACACCCTGTACGCATTCTTATAATATATACAGGGTGTTCCATTAAGGGAGGTCACCGGCCATATCTCGGAAACTACTGGGTATAGGAAAAATAAAAAAACTGTTATTATTGGAAATTGCGCCCTCTAGCAATTTAATTTGTAACTATTGGGTAGCAGTGGATTGAGTATTTGAAAACGCTTACATTTCTCTTTCAAACAAACCTAAGTTTGCTGAAATCGGATAAGTCGTTTAGAAGATACAGAGTTTTAAATACTGAGACATTCAAGAGCTTCCCCCACCCTTATTAAGGTCGGTACGCCAATGAGCCTCAGACAGAATTTATGCGGAATTTTTCAGGTTTTCTAATGCTTTTATTAAAGTTATAGCTCAATATGAGAATTTTCGAGAAAACTTGAATTGTATTATTCACCCTACCAATTGCGCCTCTTGCGGTAAAATGCGGAACTTAAAAATAATTTCCAGGATTTTCTCATGGTCATTTTAGTCTTAAGAATTTTTTTCCTGACTTCCTATACCCAGTAGTTTCCGAGATATGGCCGGTGACCTCCCTTAATGGAACACCCTGTATATACAGAGAAGACCAGGCTACTAGTAACATAGCAAGTTGCCGGACGAATTTACGTTTACCCGTTTTGCGTTCGTACTGGAGATTCAGTGCCGGCTAGTCGGCTGGTCAGGCAGTACGCCTATTATGTCCATACACTTTGGATTTTACATAGCCCCACAAAAATAAATCATCGGGAGAAAGATCTGGTGATCTAGCGGACCACAAAATAGTTCCATATCCACTAATTAAACGGTTGGGAAAAGTATTGTTCAAATATCCTTGAACAATACGGGCATTGTGCGCAGGACAACCACATCAGCAATTTGATTACTTGAAAACGTGGGATTTTGATCCGCGGTAGCACAAATGAACACTTGCTTTAACTCCTGTTCTTCATTAATCAACACATCAAGCTTTTTGTGTTTTTGTGGGAACACGCACCCATGTGTTTCAAAATTATTAATAACTCTTGATACAGTAGGTAAAGATGGAATTGGCCTGTTTACAAAAGTTTGTGGAAAAATTGTTTGTCTATCCCGATAAGACCTATTTTGGAAATACCATTATACAATTTGAATTTTCTCACGAACTTTGTAAACATCCATTATTTTACTTAAAAAATAAATTTTACACGAGAACTGTCGGGAGAATCTATGTATTCGTTTTGGCTATTAAAACACGAATAAATACAAATTCTGAAACATTCTTATCACATATCTGCCTATTTTTATTTTATTACATTTTTTCGCCTGCTTTTTATCCGGCGGACGGCTATACGCTAATTCGTCCGGTTCTGCTTATGTTACTACTATGGTGGTCCGGTCTGTATAGATTATACCAAATAAACTTTTAGTCACGTGATTAAGCTTGACCGGCACAGCGTTGTCTACTTTTACAAATTTTCTTTTATATATTCTGTTCAAAATATTTTGAGAAACAAAAATAAATTAATTATAAATAAACAGTTATTATTTACATCAACAAAACTCACCTCCTTAACAGCACTTAAGGGACATAAAGGGCCATTGCTACCGCTTTCCCGTTAAAAATATTCTAATAAGGTTGCGATGAGTTTTTTGCAACGGCTTGTAAGTTATCTTGTACTACTTCGCATTAAAAGAGGTTCTAAAAAGAACAATGTTCGACTGCAAGGTCTGCTAGTAACAATTTTTAAGATTAAAGTATCACAAGACAGTTCATTTAAACCAAAAACTTGTAATACAAAACTAAAGTGTCAAAACGAATGTCAATGTCAGGAAATAAATGTGACAACTTGACATTTTTTGCAGCAGAGCTACCACCTGAATCCCTAACGGGAAATTTAAATTCCAGTCAGTCAGCCCGGCCCAGAATATGTCCATGGTTGGCAACAATGAATTTAAAAATCGCGCCCTCGATTACGTAACTAAAAGTTTAATTGGTATCGCCTATAGGTCACAACTTTAATAATAAAAAAATATATTTTTTAGAGAAACATGTGAAGGATAAAGAATATAAATCAAAAGATTATAGGAAACATAAAACAAAAGATGAAACCGACTCCACTAAACAACAGAAAAAAGACGAGAAGACTGAATTACAACTAGAGTCAAAAAAAGAAAGAAATAATGAAGTAGCGGAAATAAATGATAGAGAAAAGAAACTACAAAAACATACCTTAGTAAAACAAAATGATCAAAACAAAAAGCAGGAAAAATTAGAAGATTCAAAAACAGAACGCCAGGCCAGAGTTAATAATGAAGAAACTGAACCTTCTACAAGTGCAGGGGAAAAAATTCCAGAAAAATTAGCCCAGGAAAATAGAACATCTAGTAAAGAAAAGAAATTAGTACGAAGTAGTGCCACTTGTGATGATGAACCCATTGAAAACAATCAAGTTTTACATGATGAAGATATTGCAGATGATTCAGGTACATAGATCAATCATAATATGTATTGTGTCTAACATTGTTATTTGACACTTATCAAAAGTTAAAGTAAAAAAAGGAGCTTTGGCAACATTGTAACGTACAATATGGCAATAAAAAACTTAGAAATTTTGTTTAAGCGCAAACCTAAAGTATGTATGAGGATGTATTTGAGGAAAATATTTTAACTTCTATAGGGTGGCTCAAACAAGTGTGAGTGGATCGTGATTTTTTTTTAAATGGGACGCCCTGTATGTTATTGCGTTTTTGACTTACTTTTAGATCACTTTACATAATCCTAAGATATGAGTAAATATGTTTCGATAATTTCAGGGATTTTAATAAATTAATTAAAAAAATATATTTTTCCACCTTAAAAAATGATTACAAACACAAGAACTGCCATGAAATCATAACTATATTAGCTATGTACTTTAGATGGTCTATACTTAGTTTGCTGTAAATATCGTAATCTTAAACCAATACAGGGTGTTCAAAATTCTACGCCAAACTTTGTAAAATATGAAATAATTTTTCTTTGTTTTTTTTTTAATTGAACACCCTGTATATTATTTTTATTAGATGGAGAGTTAAAAAATGAACATTTTTTGTACTTAGAGTATTTCAAAATGTTTAATGGTTTCGCAGGTACACGCAGTATTATTTCATATGGCTCTTTCAACGGTAAAATACGAGAGAAAAATCATTGGATGGCTTTGATAAAAATTGACTGTGGAAAATGCTATATGAAATATAAAACCGCGAATATCTGCGAAACCGTTAAAAATTTTGAAATACTCTAAATCAAAAAAATGTTCATTTTTTAATTTTCCATCTATTGAAAAAATAATATATAGGGTGTTCCGTCAAATAAAACGAAGAAAAATTATTTTATATTTTAGAAAGTTATTTTATATTTTTACGTAGAGTTTTGAACATCCTGTATGATTTATGATTACCATATTTATAGCTAAGTAAGTACAGTCCATCTAAAGTAAATACACCTAATATAGTTTTGCTGTGAGGACAGTTCTTGTAGATATTTTTGATAATTTTTTTAAGAAAGGTTCAATAATATTAATTTTTTATTTTTTTATTAATATCTCTGAAACTATCGAAACATATTAACTCATATCTTAGGGTTATGTAACGTGGTCTGAAAGGAAGCCAAAAATGCAATAATATACAGGGTGTTCCCCCAAAAAAATCATCCCGATCCACTCGCACTTTTTTGAGCCACCCTATACAAACCTACTCTGCACCATAGACTTAGAATAAAATATAGACTGAGCATCTCATTCATAAATAGCTGGAAGATGCGGACAGACAACGTCTTGTTATTGTTGTGTTATTGTTTTTGGCTCTAACGAGTGCGACACGAGCGATAGATAGGCTGTCTCCGTCGTAACGGTCGTTTCCTGACGGCTCTGCCGCCCAACGCAACACTGTCTTTTGTTTCTTCAGTGCACCTGCACTCTCCGTATCATAGGCGGGTATTTTTTAAATTTTAATGAAGCTATAATTCAATTAAAAATATATCGTATTTAAACTTTTTTATATTATTAAGATTTAGGATAAAGAAAATAGTTTAATATAAAGCAAAGTTTAGGAAAAATACGTCTTAGAGTCTAAAAACGATAAAAATAATAAAGTACGTGTTATAGAAGAAATTTTAATAATCGAAATTATTTAATTTTTGAAATTGATGATAAATTATTAATTTAATAAAATATTAATTTTAGTCAAACATTTACAACTCTAATATTAATCAAAACAGGATCTATTCTATAGATATAATAGAACAGAAAGAGAAAAAACTTTATAATTGTTTAATTTTTTTTTCCGGTAAAAGTGATGTCTTATTATGTAAATTAGAAAAAACAGGAATCTGTTCCATTAAAGCAAGCTTTTAGGAAGTGAATAAAATGAAAACTACATTTATTTAACTCGTTACTGTCTTTATTATAGAGTAAGTATAATAATGGTAATGGTGACTATACTTTATTCAATGGAAATATGCACCAAATTCAAACAAATATAAAAGGCATGAGTATAAACAGTATTACTACAGTAATATTGAACATTGGTTCAAAAATATTACATTAATATAATACAATATTACTGTAGGTATTACTGTCAACGTGCAAGCTTGTTTGAAGCTTGATGTATTTGTATGCGCTTGGTACATCTTGGCGTTGGAAAATGTATAGAAAATTATTAAGAAAAACTAGTACGTAATGGGGGATATCTTGATATACAGAGTGGTCGGAATTGTATTCAGGAAACTTTGGCAGCATAATCTGCAAATAAAATCAGTAAAAAAAATAGTATAAATTTATGTCCTAAAATGCTTCGTTTCAGAGATACAGAGTGTAGAAATTTCATTTTTATTTCGCTTTTTTCCAAATAATTTATGAAGAATGTATTGATTAATTCGTTTCCAAATATCTTGAGAACTATACTTGTGGCGAGTGTCAACAAGAGACCTTATTAAGTAAAAAACGTTGGAAATGTAAATTTTTCTCAGTAGTTTTATATAGATACAGACAAAAAGTATTACTCTTCAAATAACTTAAAAAATATGTAGGTGGCGCCCCCTATTAGTAAAAGTCAAATTGACATCTAAATCTAATTTTTCATGTCAAAAAACTCCCAAACGCCAATTTTCGTCCAAATATTGACGTCACTTCAGAAATTATTTGGAAAAAAATCGAAATAAAAATGAAACTTCTACACCCTGTATCTCCGAAACGAAGCATTTTAAAAACTTACAAGTTCATTTTTTTAGAAAGCCAATGCAACATTTCTGAGTTTCAAATAAAGATAAAAAACAGTAAAACATATAATAATAATATGTAAATTATTTTCTTGGATACATACATATATGGCAAATAATAACAGATTGTTTTATTAAAGATTTACGTTTTGGTTAATTCTAAAACTATCTTCAGATTATATGTGATATTACTTAAGTGATATTACATTATAAAAGAAAAAATGAAAATTATACCTTATAATCGAAAAAAAACGGCGTCAGCGATGGCTATGAAATGAAGATCGCTGTCATTTTATATGTAAAATTATATGGAGTATGTATCGATGGTTTTTTCCAAGCCAACTGGACGCCGTTTTTTTCGATCATACGGTATTACAAATTAATAATAGATTAACAGTCGAGAAAAAAAAAGAAAAAACTCTAGGTAAGTACTGGATAAATTTTAAAATGGCATATTTATTTTATCTTTGTTTAATATAAAAAAAACGAAATATCTACCTGGTTTACATAACCCTGTATAATTTGTGAAATAATAATGGACAAAAATGCAAGCGGTAAGAAAAATATTTACAAAAAATATGTACTTGTTTACATTTCTGGACCATTGTTCGTCATTTTTGTTATCATAATGGTGACCCTATCATAAAAACGTAGTTATTTCTATACCTGATGTGAAACTATAGGGAAAAAGTAATGTTTGTAAAATATTTTAGTCTTGAAAAAAAATAAGGAATGTTTGGTATTTTAAAATGTTTGGTAGCTTGTAATTTTTTCGACTTTCTCGATTGTTTATAGTTTATAATAAGCCTTAAAAATTGTTGTTTCATAATGGAATATCATTCTGGAATTCCTGTATGTTATTTTAGATTCTAAGGATGGTTTTAGAATAAAAAGAAACACATTTTTCATAAAAAAAAGCATTAAATTAACCAATGCCCAAGAAAATAATGTGTCTACTTCTTATGTACTTAATAATGTATCTACTCGTTATATTAATAACGAGGTTAGTAAGAACCTTTACGTAAATGATAAATATAAAAAATACAGATTTTCCAGGGTTTATAATTTACTAAATTATTATCTAAATAAGCGCCTTTCTACAACGCCACTGACGCCAAAATAGTAAATTTGACTTACCTGTGGAATGTTGTTCCAGGACTTAAATAGTCCAATTTCTTACAAATTTGGCACTGACGAACCATGTTTTATAGTTTTTAAATAAAAGGTAATCAAAATAAACACTAAACCGACACTACACACTAAGAAAATCGAATCCAAAAAAATACAAAATCAAAACATTCAATAAAAACAATAAAATAGCCATGGCGAAACTGTGACAACAAGGTTTTACGACACGTGCTTTACTCTACTATGGCTCTACTACGAGAGAATAAAGAATGAACAGGCGACCCGGCGATTGATGGGTGTTGCCAAATTGTAAAGAATTTGTCATTTTAAATAGTCTCCGACTTATAATTTAGTAGTATAGGGACTATTTAATACATCTTTCTACTATTAAACACTACTTTATTAAAATACAGTTTTAATATCTCAATATATGTGTATAACAACAAAAAAAATATTAATAATATTTTAGACGTGACAACATAGGCTGGAGGCGAAAGACTCAGACGGCCGAGGTCAGCTGCACCCAGGAGTAAACATGTTTACAAAAATTAATATTGGACCGCGCTTAAATGTAAATAGTGTAGTCTATATTTTATTCTAAGTCTATGCTCTGCACTTATACAAAATTCTCAAGTTTTTTATTCTAGGAGCTACAGATGCCCGACGCACTATTGCCGGACCCTTTATAGCTGTATCCTCTATAGTTTAGAGGACCTAAAATAAACTAAAAACAGTAAATAAATCAAATAATTTCAATAATATATGTCTAAGTGCCTAAGTTAATTAACAATTATCAAAGTCTTTCTTTGTTGCTTTATTGAATTAATTGTTTTTGTAAAGCGTACATTATTAATAAAAATACTCTTATCGTAGACCTTACCCAATAATTCTAACTATAAACACTATAACCTCAAGAATAACGAACCAAAGGTTTTTTTATCAGTCATGCATAATAGATTTCTTCACATTTGAAAAATGTTATAGTCTAAAAATAGATGATCCAAATCATTAAACTGTTTTTAATTTAAACCATTATTGGCATTATCGTTAATTAAATAAATTAATTTGTTTCAGTGTTTTCCCCAAGTGATTCCTGTGCAATTGACAAAGAAATTTTGAAAAAAGTAAAACCACCTAATGTCTTAGTATATGCCGATAGTGTGGTGGCTAGAGACAATGTTAAAGAGGTCTTGCACAACATTCTAAATAGAGAAAGGTATTTTTTAGTAATATTGAGTGTACAGAGTGTCCTTTTGTTTATTTTTTAAATATTTTTGTTAAATATTTATCTACCAGTCCTGAAGATATTTGCACTTATTTCAGACACACCCTATATTTTTATTTTGATGTTTGTAGGTATACAATATACGATTACCCAATCAGTGATGGTATGACTTGGAATGATACAACTGCCTTAGTCGTGGTCTGTGGATCAGTCGAGCCAAAATTAACATTTAATCTAATAAGATTTTTAGTAAGCGGTGGACAGCTTTTGTGCTTATGTAGTGATCTGCTGTATAGTGTTTTATATACGTTTACTACAGCTGAAGTAAGTTTTGTTTGGGATATAAACTAATCTTAAAATTTTCATGTTTCACATCTGTATAGGCTTGGTGCATTCTCCGCCGGTGCTGCCACCATCGGAGAATATCGTAAAAACACGGCATATACAAAGCCTATAATTATTAATAATAATTATGACTTATCACAATTTTAATTTCTTCCCCTAGGAGATGCACTTCCCCTAGGAGATGCACTTCCCCTAGGAGATGCAAGACCTTGTCGTTGGTGGGGAAGCTCCTGGTCAGGTGCTGGGGGGAATCCCCTCTAGCACTTGGCTTGGTCTAAGAAGCATCTCACTCATCGTCTTGTCCCTGACTGTAGTGTCGTGGCCAGGGAATTGCACCAAGACATATAACGATACCGGGCGGGGCTACGGACAGCCTCAACCTTGGGGCACCGGGGGCACCCCATTGTATTTTACCCCTTACTTCTACATGCGGGGCTCTGTAGAAGTGGACCGACTGTCCCTAGTGACTCATAGGAACACTATGAGATTTGGTAATAATAGTAATAAAAACATCACCAGTGAAGCTGTGGGGAAGCCCCCTAGCGACACTGGGAACAGTAACAATGAAAGTTCCAAGGGGCCAAACCCGGGGAGAACTGCAGGAGAGGTGGCTGACACTTGCGTGAGACCAACCTCCGCAAGTGGCATACGGGCTGCCGCCTTCTCCAAGGGTCGGGAGCCTACCTCCTACCTCTAGACCCAACAGGCGACACAAGCTACCGTTTCGTCTACCCGGCCTGGGTCGTAGCTCCATATACGTATTACTTTTTACAAATATACTCAGGGTTCCCTATTTAACCCCGTGTGCAATTTCTGTGCCGTAAGAAAAAGACAACATAACCCAGCTCCATATTAAAACTGCATAAGTCTATTTCACCCGGATATGGATTGAACTGCGATTGCGCCAAACTCCGATTGATTGTTGTTTTAGTTCTGTTTGTATTACTTTTTATTTGTGCGCGTAAAAGAGTGATTTTGTTTAGTTTATTGTTTCCAACTATTTTTTTATATTTTTCCAACTCCATGATAATGTGTTATAAATAATAAAAATATAAATCAAATTGAGGTTAGGGGAAATGTCAGTCAACCACTTCCCTTTAAAAACATCGACCAATGAAAACTTCTTCAGGTGAGGCATGCTCAGTTAAATGAATATCCGGGTGAAATAGACTTATGCAGAATTCCATATTGTTCTTTCACTGTTTGGGCTTCACTTTTTGGAGATTAGGCTGAGTATATTTGTAAAAAGTAATACGTATATGCGTAGCTCCTTTCGGGATTCAGTGAGGGACACGGGTCTCCGTAGGAAGCCTGGGACTGTATGATGAGTTATAACTCAAGAAAGGGGGACACAACAGATCTCTAAGGTCGCAGAGATTAACTCCCCTCCCACTTATTCTAAATTCTAAATTCTAAAATCACAATTTTAAGAGTTTATTTCAGTTGATTTGTTATAATTAATAATCCGCTAAATTATTATTTTTAAATAATTGTAGGTCAGGGAGCATGAACTAGTACGATTTTCGTACGGTAAATGGAATAACGTAAAGATGATGCATCATATATTCTGTTACCAAGCGTCGCCAGCTAAAAAACAGTTTTCTAAAGACTCGGACACGTCGAATCATAGGCATGTATAGTTCGTTTAACGACCGTTCAACGTTACGTCATTATTGTTTATCAGTCTAGATCATACGGCTCTGGTTTGTATTTTAATGCACACGATAGTACCAAAAAAACTTTTAATCGCGTGATTAAGCTTGTCCGGCACAGCGTAGTCCACTTTTACATATTTTCCTTTAATCAAAATATTTTAGGAAACTAAAATAATTATAAATATATAAACAGTTATTATTTACATCAACAAAACTCACCTCCCTAACAGCACTTAAGCTCCGCGCGCACAGAAGGGGTATCGGCGAGAGCGAGCTGCGCGAGCGGCACTACCGGTCGGAAAGTCGATTGTAGCCGCGCACTGGAGTCGCACGATCGACGGTCGAGAGTACGTCACCAGCATAAATTTGAGCATAGACGAGGAGAAATTTATTCAAATTTAGTCAAATTCATTCGGTATTTCAAAAAATTATAAAGTATTACTATTTATATTTTTATGCAACTTTTTATATTTTATGCTTTATGATGGAAATTAAAAAATGTTATTTAGATCTCTCTTAACAAACCACATAAAATTAGTGAAATAGAGTGGAAGATTGGGATAAAATATACTACATGACTCTTAGCTTGACCGATTTTAACAAATTTGGTATCATTCAAAAGGGTTTAATTTGTTCTTTAAAAACGAATATGAAAAATAGTCAAATAAAACTTCTATTTTTAGTTTTTTAATCTAAATAAGTGTCATTACAAACATTTATATATAGCTTTTATTTTAAGTTTTTAAAATCGTTGTTTTAAGTCAGTAGTAAATAAAACGAAACTTGTGTTTACATTGTGTTTAATGATTGATGTTTCGACCAATTTTAATTCGGTCTTCAGAATCTATAATATACGTATAACTAATTTTCTACGTTTGTGGTAAGAAAAAATTATATATTAAACACATTGTTAGTGGTAAAATTGTATTGTATACAAGAAGACCGAATTAAAATTAGTCGAAACGTCAATCATTAAACAAAATGTAAACACAAGTTTCGTTTTATTCACTACTGACTTAAAACCAAGATTTTAAAAACTTAAAATATAAAAAAAAAGTAAAAAAAAATTGAAAAAAGAAAAAATATAAATAGCTTTTATAGTACCGTATTATCGAAAAGGAACGGCATCAGCGATGACCATGAAATGAAGGTCGGTGCCATTTTATATGTAAATTTATATAGGAAATCAATCGTCATTTCCCATCCAACTGGACGCCGTTTTTTTCTATCATACGGTAGATATATGTACAAATATTTTATTCAAACATAAATATTATTTTCTCTATTTGTACCTTGTACGGAGCGATCAACATAGTAACATAGGATGACTATTTATCAGCTGTTATTACTAACGTCAAAACAAACCAAAAATTAAATAATATGATAAGTTTTTTGACGATATTTAAATTCGATTTTCAAAATAATGTGAGATAATCAAAACGAGATGAGAAATAAATGGGTTTAATCGGAAGATTTTCTAATTCAGTTATTGAACAAGTGTAGTAAACAATATAGGTTACGTGCTTGTAAGAAATTTTTATAAACAACGGCATATTAAGTATGATATGGTCTGGTACACTTTCGATTAATAATTCATCGGACATGTTTAATGTAAAACTGCTACACTAAAAACAGTCGCTCGGCGTACCGCCGATAGCTCGAAGCGCACCGAACGCACCGATCTAATGCGGTGCGCGGGCTTATATTTATTTTAACGTAAACTGAAAATTACGTGCCGCTTGCTCTCGCCGATACCCATTCAGTGCGCGCGGAGCTTTAAGGGGCCATTATTACCGCTTTCCCGTTTAAAATATTCTAATAAGCTTGCGATGAGTTTCTTGCAACGTCTGTCAAGGTATCTTGTACACTTCGCACTAAAAGGGGTACTAAAAAAACAGTATTCGACTGCAAGGTCTGCTAGTAAAAATAATTAAGCTTAAAGTATAACAACAAACGAAGGAACAGAATTAAATTATTCTGGGTGCCGGGCCACAGCGGCATCCAAGTCAACGAAAAAGCCGATGAGCTAGCTAGGCGGGGACCATCGGCATCCTATCTTGGTCCAGAGCCAGTACTGGGAATACCCAAATATATGGCCCGTAGTGCACTAAAACTCTGGATCAGGGAAAAGCAGAATGTCCATTGGAGAAACAGACAAGGGCACAAGCACAGCAAGGCTTTTATCCAAGGACCTAGCTCTAAAACCGCAAAAGAACTGCTAATGCTTAGCAGGAATAAAGTGCGGATTACAACAGGCCTCTTGACAGGACACATGGCTGTCAAGTGTTACCTGAACAGGCTCAATCTGTATCAAGGAAGTCTTTGCTGCAGACTCTGCGATAAAGATCCTGAAACAGCCGAGCACATAATATGTCATTGCGAAGCTCTGGATCGCAAGCGACACTTTTTATTTGGGAAAGCTAGGCTAGAACCGGAGGAACTGTGCTTCCATCCTATCAAGGACCTGCATAAGCTACTGCAGGGCACAGGGAGAGGTGAATGGGTGCAGATATAGAAAGGGGACAAACACAATAGGCCTCACAGGTCGCAGTGTTTCCGGCAGAGGACGGCCCCTTGTTATGGAAAAAAATCACAACACAATTCATTTAAACCAAAAACTCGTAATACAAAACTGAACGACAATGTCGGGAAATAAATAAATAAATGTGGCAACCTGACATTTTTTACAGCAGGGCTACCACCTGAATCCCCAGCGGGAAATTTAAATTCCAGTTAGTCAGCCCGGCCTCGAGTATTCCATGGTTGGCAACAATTAATTTAAAATTCGCGCCCTCGATTACATAACTAAAGGTTTAATTGGTATCGCTTATAGTATGCTCTAGGGCATCTGAAAGAGAGAGTACAACAATATATGACGTTACGTTGAACAACTTTTATTGAGTTTTTAAGTCATAATACAATGAAGTATGTTACGTCTAGCAATGGCAATGGTTCCAGTCCCGTAGCGCCTAGAACGCCATCTACAGTGAACGTCCAACACGCCGGAAAGGATTACACAATCCAAGTCCAAGTTCTAGGCACCGAGGAAACGTGGCAGACTCCAAGTTTGCTCTTAGCTACAGTCGAAGGTTCTGAAGGTCGATGTGTATTTTCTCAGGTATAATAACTCTGACAGAATAAAAGAACGTGAATTCTTATTAAATTTTCTTTTAGGTACATCTAGAAATCAATCCTAGCGAGTTTGTAGATGATGAAAACAAGTTCACTGCCCTGAATGAGAGCAACCAAGCCAGGATTGAAATTCTGCACGATATTCTTTGCAATCAACTCTCGTTGGACTGTAATAATGAACATAGCATTCCGGATTACACGCCCGCGTACTTTTTGGGTCGACATGATGTATGTATTAGTTTTATTCCGTAATATTTAATTGTAGATACAATCTAGGGGGAAGTATAACAAGTTATTCATCGCGATCTTATTGTGTCCCCCCTTTCTTAACTCATCATAAACAGCCTCTACACTATCCCCAAAATATTTTAAAAAATTATTGATTGATTTTTTTTTCGTAAAACATTTCGCAAAACATTTCTGGAAATACTTTCAGAAGTAAACTCAAATATAAACCCGTGTTATAAAAATTAGTTCCCACGTTTCCTGAAAGTATATATGATCTAGGCCTGAAATAGATCGAGACGCGCCGTGATTGGTTGTTTGTTTTTTAACCAAGATTAATAATAAAAAACAAACTTTCAGCTTTTAGTTCGCCTCTACGTCTGTCCGTTCTGTAGCTACGGGGTATCCGTGAGAGGGGAAACGATATTCTCTCGATGGTTTTCGTAAAAAATTAGACGACGCGTCCCATCAATAAAAATTCGACAAATTTGCAAGTAGCCAATAAAATGAGTGGGCGGAGCGATTTGCGGTGACGTACTCGTCAAGTCGACGTATAAAATATATTGGTGTTTATTTAAATGTTTTTTGTCCGCATTCCTTTCATAGACACAGATCCAGCAGACTTACTGTATCTATTTCAGGAAACGTGGGAACTAATTTTTATAACACGGTCTTATATTTATCGTAATATTTTGTGAAATAGCACGAAGCAATCAAGATTAAACGTTGTGGTGGTTTCAGAAAAATAAGTAAACATGGAGTATGAATATATATAATTAATTTGTAATGGAGTGTAATGTAATACCACTATATTAAACTGATGAAAAATCAATTATAGTTATTTAGAAAACAGTTACCGATGGTAGATTAAATTGGCTACTACATGTTATATACGCGTCTTCAAATATCAATCTTGTGGAATATATGTATATATCGACATAAAACAAGATGTAACTCATGAAATGTCATCGTAACAACAGCTATTTTAGAAACGTGTAGGTTTACTTATGAGATTTATGAAAAAAAAAGTCCTTTGCCTGGGGTACAGATACCGCCACGTTTTGCAAATAGCTCAAAACGAAACAAAATTGAACGAGGCAATAGGAAACGCCAAAAAAATCCCTCCACGCCTTCCTCACGAGTAATTTTTAGGCGCTTTTAAGAATCGAAAGTAGATCAAGGCAAACCGAAGTGGGTCAAGACAACTGGAACTAAACTGAAATGTGACAAAGTTGGGCGACGATATGCGACCTTCACCTGCTTAGAAAAGTTCTCCGCATAATGTAGAGGCTGTTATACAGTCTCAGGGCTTTGACAAAAGCCAGTATCTAAGACGCTTTTACAGAGGTTAGTTCTCCATCTCCGATATCAGTTGTAAACCAAAGTTTAACGAATGTCGTCTCGGCGCACTCAGTGATGAGGTGTTCTGGTATTTCCCCATTTTCACCACAGAATCTGCATTACCTTGTTTCTTAGCTTCAGTCTACTGAGATGTTCATTGAGAAGACAGTGTCCTGTTAAAAACCCCGTGACAATCCGAAGATAGTTCTTACTTAAGGGCTCGAACACACTGACGACCAGGTCGCACCGGTCAGGCCGCAGCTACCTCTAAAACCATTAAATCAAATGATATAGCGCACACTAACGTCCTGGCCGTCCTTTGGTCGTTGCGACCAGAAGACTGCACGGAAATATTATTTTCTGCCGGTTGTTGCCGGTTTTCTTCCAAATTGATAATTTTTCAGATGAAATCCCTCAAATTCAAGGCACAATATTTTATTTTCTATAAGATATAGTGTTTTAGTGTAGTTTTTGCACACGTGCGGAAAATCCAAAGAGATAGTATACAGACTGGATCAAAGGTAAACTTAAATCTAATTCCTATTTTTTTATCAAGGGTCGATTCTAGTAAAAACTCAAAACATTTTTATAGGACATACCTACTCTATTTATGGTTGGTATGATACCTGTTATTATACCTTCGAGTTTCGATGTTTAAAAAATAAAAAAAATAATATGTAAAGTTTTTCTACAACCACTTTTTTTTTATTAAATTAGTTTTTTTAGTTGTATTGTAGTCATGTACAAGGAGGACAACTGTATTTTAAATATGATATTTAATTTAACGTTTTTCAAACAGGGTTCATTAGACTATATTTCTGCTAGGTACATTATTTTGAAACAAAAATTAAGAAAGTAACTTAAACATTCATAAAAATAGAAGTAATTACTGTTGTAGATTCTTCGTTATATTGTAAACATTGAAATAACTGGAAGCTAAACTTTCTACCTGCTTATATTTAGAGCCAGTGTCTGACGATCTTTTTTTACGATGGCCCTAATATGTTTACTTTTAAAGTCGATAAGGGCGCCATATCAGTACAAAAAAGAAACAGAATATCTCCCTTTTTGTCGGTCGCGCGTACACAATGCTTTTTGTTTGTTGTGAATAGCAACTTCGCTTTTTAGTTAACTCGGATATTTTAACATTTCTGAAACAATATTTTCTAATTAGTAAAACGTAAAAAATCGTTAGATTTGACAACTCTGTTGAAACTGGTCGTTCATCTGGCCGCAGCTAAAAACGCAATACATCCGGCCAGCCGACGGCCAGGTCGTTGCGACCTGGTCAGTGAGTTCGAGCCCTAAATCAAGGAAAATCTTTGATTTTTCTCGGTCGTAAGTTCTGAGAAATTTCGTCGAGTGTCTTAGATCGTTGGTGGGTCCCCATTGCAGATTACAGATGGAGTCTTCCAGGTTCTTTAGTTCCGCTCTAACTTGGTTTTCACTTGGAAGCAGAACGATTCTGGTTAGTCAGTGGAGCGTTCGCTCTTTTTCTAACTAGATCTTTTGCTTTTTCATTATTTTTTATCTTTTAGTGGGCTGGCACCTAGAGTAGGGGGACTTTATTTTCTTTGCGTAATTCGTTCAGCTTCTCTAGGCATTCTTTGATTCGAATTGATTCTTAAGATTGATTCTTAAGTAAAATAATATATAAATCTAAATTTTTTAGGGACTTCTTTCTATAATCCTTTTTATGTCTTACAGTTGAAAATTGCACTACTAAACGAGACACACTGTATCAAAGATAACAAAATGAAGGCTGGCGATACTAGTATTGTATTTTGTGGCAAAGACGACGAATTCGACGACCCTAGCAGTACCTACTTACCAATTCTAGTCCATTCCTGTCCACAGAACTTCAATACCGTCAGTTACTTTGAGGTTAGTCATTCTTATATTTAATCTCCTCGTATATTATAGTTTGTGTTCCGATCTTCAGACTCTAAATACCAAATATATAGGAAGGCTAGTGATCTATAGTGACATAATGTCCAGTTCTCATCCAATCCTAGATCATAATCAACTAACGCATGGAATCGCTGTAATATGTAGACAACAAGTAGCTGGTATTGGTAAGTATTGATATACAGGGTTAGTGATGAGTAAGACAAGTTTTGAATCTCTAGAGGAGTCAGTTTGACTACAGGAAGGAGTACCTTCCTGTCCTCCTTTACCTTTATCGACGCGCCTGTTGTTAACTGAATATTAATTTATTTTAGGAAGATCGAATAATACTTGGTTAAGTCCACCAGGCAGCGCCCTTTTCTCGTTACAGCTGCATATACCGCTAATTTCAAATATAGGAAGAGCTTTACCGATAATACAGCACATTCAAATGGCAGCAGTTGTTAAAGCTCTTAAAGTGTTTACTGAGGATAATAATGTAAATATTGTTTTATATATGTACCTACAGTATATCCCCGGATTGTTTTTACAAGAGGAAAACTTGCATGTATTGAAAACTTATTTGTATTGAAAAAATGCATGTATTTGTGTATTTTTCTCAAAATATTAATAATAAAAAAGTTTTTCCTCTTGTAAAGACAATACTGGGACATACTCTAGTACCTAATTGAACCTTTTTAAATTTTAATATTAAAAACACCTATATTATGTATAATTTTAGAATGTATTATTTTAGAATATCAAAATAGGAATCAAATGGCCCAATGACTTATATGTCAACGGATGTGTAAAAATTGGAGGTCTAATCGTTACTTCAATTACTCTTGGTGATTATGCGATAGCAAACATAGGTAAATTTATAAATATAATATTCTAATATATCAATTTTATAATTATTGATATACATTCATTCTAAATCATTGGTCTGTATTTTAATGTGTGAGACAAAGATAAAATGGTTGTCTTACGTTATAACCAGTTTTTTTTTGTTTAGGAGGGGGTTTAATCACCGCGACCTTACAGATCTATTGCGTGTTCTCCTTTCTTGAGTTATAACTAGTTATAACTCATCATACAGTCTCTCATCATACAATGCAGATTCTGTGGGGAAAATGAGGTAGTACCAGAACATCTCATCACTGAGTGCGCCGAGACGACAATCATTCGTGCTATAAACTTTGATACGACTCATATCGAAGATGGAGAACTAACCTCTGTAAACCCGTCTTAGATACTGACTTTTGTCAAAGCCCTGAGACTGTATGACGAGTTATAACTCAAGAAAGGGGGTCACAATAGATCTATAAGGTCGCGGTGGTTAACTTCACTTGCGTCTAGCCGTACCGTGCAACTCTCCAACTCCAACCCACAGTTCCCGCCAAATTTAAATCGTGGGTTATTTCCTTGTATTTTATTATAAACTTGTAACTTTCGAGAGTAAGTTCTTAAGTAATAGTAAAAGTAATAGTAGCATAATTTAACCTAAATTTCAAAAACGTACAAATTATAATGTATACTAATATATAATTTCTTTAAGTGACTGACATACTGATTAATCACGATCCTGGTCAAACCACTCAACGTAAAAAGCTCAATTTTGGCATACAGGTTGATTCTAGGGTGTAAAGGTTCGATAAGAAGGGATTTTTCGAAATTCCAGTTCCAAGAGGGTGAAACCACCACTCAAATATTACAATATCTTTTATTTAAAAAACAGTCATGTTTCCGAAAAAACGCTTAAACACGTATATTTTATTTTGTTTTTTATATATTTTAAGATTTTTTAAAAATGTATACAGGGTGTTTCGAAAAATCTGGTCATTGATTAATCACGATCCTGTTTAAAGCGCTTGTTGTAAAAAGCTGATTTTTGGAAAACAGATTGACTTTAGGGTGTAGAGGTTCGATAAGAAGGGATTTTTCGAAACTCGAATTCTAAGGGGGTGAAACTATCCCTCAAATATTAAAATATTTTTTATTTAAAAACCGGTGAGTTTTTCGGAAAAACTAAAAAAAAAATATTTTAAGATTTTTTATAAATTTATACAGGGTGTTTCATAAAATATGACCATTGAGTAATCACGATTCTGCTTAAACTGGTTGACGTTTAAAGCTGATTTTTGGCAAACGGATTGACTGTGGGGTGTAGAGGTTCGATAAGGAGGGGTTTCTCGAATCTCAAATTCCAGAAGTTGGGTAATTTCTTAACCACGATTCTGCTTAAACTGCTTTACGTAAAAAGCTTATTTTTGGCAAACGGATTTTTCGAAAGTCAAATTCCAACGAGATGAAACTGCCCCTCAAATATTACCAAGTTATATCATAATATCGCCATATTGTTTTTTCTCATGCTGACATAAATGTGAGAAAATTTTATCCAGTTTGTATGTTAATGGAAATTCTTGCTTTGCTTTATCATCACCATTACAAATGATTAATTCGACGCGAACGAAGTCGCTGGTACACGCTAGTAATATATAACAGTTCTACAAAATCGAACGGATATTTCGCGTGCAATCTATAAACAAAAAAAACTTACACCCAAGACTAACCAACGCAATGAAAATACGCCTAACCAACGCAATCAAAATACTCCTAGGGCGTATTTTGATCGCTGTTACCGTCAGCTCTAAATAAATTAAAAAAAAAACTTTAAAAACTGCTTTAAAAAATAAAAACAGCTGTAAAAAAATAAAAGAAAGTTCTACCCCTACCGAGGATCGATCCATCATCGTTTCGTTGCTCCTGAAGCGGCAACCTCAACCACTGAACTACACGCTGCTTTCGAAACCAGGATATTGAAGCATTACTTTCTTCTGCCGTTCCAATACGAATGCCCCGAAACTGTGGATTGAGGTTGAAGAGTCTCCCATACAATCTACATCTACAACCCTAGCACTTTTTCTCCCTTTAGCCCATTTAAATTTCCATTACTTTATACCTCCATCATTATCTGACACATTTAAATTTAGACTGCAGATTTAAGATGACCGGTTTTGTATAATTCATATAATTTTTCTTACACACTAAGCATTTCAGGTTGTGGTGTTAATTTAAGCAATTCAAATCCAACAACATGTATTAACGATATTATAAAAGATTGCAACCGTAAGACTGGATCTAGTATACCTGAAATAACTCACGAGCAATATTTTGCTCAGGTTTTCAACGAAACTGAGAATTTTATTGATCGGTTCCAGATAGGAGATGCAGAATATTTCTTCGATTATTATTACGAGTCTTGGTTGCACAAGTAAGCATTTATTTTTTTATCAATTTCTCTTGATTATATGTACAGGGTGGGTCAAATTGGATGATTTTAAAGGGAAACACCCTTTTCTATAGGAGATAGACGAAAAGTAATGTCGGTGTCTGGAGCTCAAGTTTTATTAAAAACATGATAGTGAAAACCGCACATCGATATCTATTACCGTTTTGGAGTTACGGGGTGTTTTTCAAAAAGATGCAGTTTTAATAAATCGCTGTAACTTTTTTGCTAGAGAAAATTTTGTATTTTTTTTTCAAAATCTCTATTCATTTCTAAACAATTTTTATCTCTTGATTTTTTTTTCCGACGCATATTTTTTGCTAAAAAAAATAATTTCAAGAAATACCCCCTTAAATATTAGCATGTCATTAGGGAACACCCTGTATAGGGTGTTCCTTAATCCCTGTATACGGTATTACTTATAAGCTCTTAATCTACCTATAATATAATATATTTCTTTTGTAGTGATTCATCTATATCAGTTACATCTATAGACGGAAAAAGGCAAAAGGTTCGAGTCGTTGGTATTGATGAAGTGGGTTTTCTCAGAGTAAGAAACGTTGATGGAAAAATTACAACAGTACAACCTGACAGAAATTCATTTGATATGATGAAAGGGCTCATATATCCAAAGGCATTTTAATTTGTAGTAAATATTAAAACTATTTTTGTTTTTGTTACATTTACAGAAAATTTTATATATTTTTTATAAAAAATTTCTTCCTTTATGTGATTTATATTAATATCATCACCACCATTCCATAATTTCACCATTCCATATTAGAGTTGTTGAATTGAATTTTTAAAAAAAGTTGAGAGTCAAATAATTTTTTTAACTATCAATTTCATAAACTTTTTTATAGTTTTTTGTTATTTAATCGTGATAAAATTAGTTTTAATGGACTATAATGTGGTTCATGTGGTTGCTTGAAAAGCATAGAAGGTGTTTAGTCCTAAGATAATAATAAAAAAAACCATAATAACTTGTATAGGCTTGGTGCATTCTCCGCCGGTGCTGCTACCCTAGAATATTGTAAACAACCGGTATGTACAAATTCACGGATTTAAATAGCGAGTATATGAAAAATATAATATAATTATTCTAAAAGTTTTAGGAAGTATAATTTGTAAAAAGTAAAATAAAAAAGGAAATATTTTGATATCTTCAGAAGGTCTAACTTGTTAAACTTGTATTATAATGTATTATTCAAGCTAATAAAACTTTTTAGATGAGTTCAACTACGGCAGCTAGCATAATTTTATGCACCGATTTTGAAACAGCGTTACATCACACAAATCTCGTATCTCAGTGTTTTGTCGTTTCAATAACTGCACTATTAAAAAGTAAAATACTTAAATATTATGACAAAGTCACAATTTTAATATTATTTCAATGCGATCAACATCGCAACTGCGTGAAATACAAGCGAAAACTTCTGATTTCTGCCGTATCGAGCGCTGCGGACAGAGTTTTTAAAATCAACTGAAATGCACCAAGCCTATAAGATTTTTAAGACGATTTAAAGATTTTACAAGCTACCACTCGATTTGGTGTTTATATTATGTGAGTTGTCTTTAAGAACAATGTTGCTGTGTGTCATGCTTTAGTATAAACCTTTGAATAAACAGATTAAGGAAGGAGCATATTAACAAACTTATGTGGAACGCGATGGGTAGTTAATATGGCTGACATAAATTTGAAACGTCAAACAGAACTGTCAAAAATGGGGTCTATGATGTCGATTTCGTCTTAATGAATGAATACATGCATAGTATTCTACTCCTTCCCTAATCTTTTTATTTAGACGTAAAAAACAGAGCCCACGAGCTTGTGAATAAATACACGTTAAACTTATAGTTTTAAATAAGCTTTATGTCAAGTAAATATTAAGATCTACTCGGTGGATATTTTTAAAACGATAAATTATACATATAGACTACTAAAAAAAGTTTGTACTCTATTTTAGTGATTATTATCTGTGAGCGTTTAAATTTTTTTCATGTGAAGTATGAATGTACCTTAAATGTCAAGATTCCGGCATTTAAAAAGAAGTTGTTCAATAAAAAAGTTCTAAATAAAATATAAAGTTTATTATAAATAGGTAGAGACTGTTCAGCCATCGTTAACCTTTACGTCATCATCGTTTGTCAAATATCAATTTTAGGGTGTGTCTAAAATCAGAAAATTTTAAGTACTTTACTATATTATTTATTGAGCGAGTTTCGTTTTTTTCGGCATTTATTCATTTTTTTTGAACTCATCAGTTATGATCCCATTAATTCCAATCCTTTGAACTGTTGAAATTCTTATTTCTAAAGCATCAGCAACTCGCTAGATTATTTAAAAACGCTGTCAGTTTGTATTTTACATGAGAATATTACACCTTGGCATTGTACTTACTTCATATACCGCGTCCACGGGCCCAAGAGTGTTCTACCAGCGTCTCTTTCTCGAGAAAAATAATTTGTAAGCTTAGCAATGAGCTCTTGTTCATTTTGATTAAATCTTTGAGGCATTTTTGCGACAAAAAAATTTGAATTTTGTTTTACAGCAACAATCGAATTTTAATTTTGACCGTCAATAAAATTACAACCCCAAATCAAATGACAATGAGAATTACTAAAAATAATATGCAGTAATTTACGAAATGCCGTAATGACGTCACCAATCTCTTTCATCTGGCTGGCAAGTGATTGAGAGAATTCGACAATCTATGACGTGACGTTGAACGATGACTGATCATTCTATACATAGTTATTTTACAATAATTTTTAGTTGGTTCCTAGTTGATATCCGAGTTTTCCTTGATCCAATCCGTAAATTTGGTGACTCTAGCAAAGACAGAAGGCATACTCGCTTGACAGCTCTTGTAACTGAATGACACTACTCCAACTTGGACGTCGTTGACCACCAGAGGGCCTCCGGAGTCACCTTGACAGAACCCTTTGTTACCGACGCCAGAAAGACATAAGTGAACGTCGGTAATGATACCGTTGTATGAAGGATTTTGAGCTTTACATTCGTCATTGCTGAAAATTGGGTTTGAAACGTATTGAAGGATGTCAGTGACGGTTGTCTGGTCGTCGTAGGTTTTTCCCCAGCCTAACACCGTTCCTGTAATTTAGTGTTTTATTTTTTACTGAATTAATATTATCTTATACCGTCTTGGTTACGCTAACCATAAATTGAGTCATAAGTTTGATGTTTCATAACTTTTTATTTTGTAATCCGATTTTTTGGATAAAAGACACTTTTCTGTATTCCAAATATTTAATTTTTTTAATTATCCCATTATCTCTATTCTTTTATGAGCTACACATTTTTAAATAAGGTTTTGATTTCAGAGATTCTTTTATTGATAAAAACAATAATTTTATAATAATTTTAATAGCGTGTATGTCCACCTCTCGCAGCAATAACAGCTCGAGGTCTTCGTCATATCGAATCAACCTCATCCAGGTACTCGTTAACTACTCGTACTCCTAACTCGATACCTGCCAATACCTGGCATTATCATGCATCAGTATAAACTGATTTCCAATGAAAAAAGCAAATGGAACAACTTCTTGGAGGACATCCTCAATATAACGGTGGGCATTGAGAGCTTCATTTTCAACAAATTCAAGAATGTAAAAATATCAGTACTTTATTTAAAAATGTGTAGCTCATAAAAGAATAGATATAATAGGATAATTCAAAAAATAAAATGTTAGGAATACATCTAAGATTACAGGAAAGTGTTTTTTATCCAAAATGCCCGCCCTTTTTTTTCTAGAGGGTGTTTTGAAGTTATTGCCAAAAATGATGTTTTGATTTACCCCGGTATAAACTCACCTAACCGAAATATATAAGCCATTAAAACAATAAAAAATAATTCCAACAAATTTATCTATAAACTATTACCATAATCATAAAAATCGAATTACAAATTTAAAAGTTATGAAACATCAAACTTAGTAAAATTTAGGGTGGCGGAATAGACATGTTCACTAATTTCTAATTTCAATGAATTTCGATAGCTACATATGAGTAAAAAAACATGGCACTCAGAATTTTTCTTAAAAACTATAATTTTCTCACATAAAGGCAAAACAAAATTAAGAAATGCAGCAAGGCTAGAAAACGTACCCGGCTCGAGGCTACCTGTTTTTGACGTCACTGCTTTGATCGATCGATGGCGTCCGTACGATCGCGTACTTAATGCATTGTTTTTGCAGACGTTCGCGAAGGTGTATTGTTTATTTTCATTGGTTTGGTGTTTTGAAGAAGTAAAATGAGTTCAAATAAGTGGTGTTTTGTCCCTGCGTGTATTAATACTTCAAAAAATAATCCACAGAAGTTTAAATCGTTACTTTGCGCACTTGCGCCCCTTGCTTTTAGTTCTTATTTTCTACTTTTAAGTGCATCTAATTTTAAGCTTGTTTGTAAAAAGTTTTTTTATCAATTTTTTCACTGGTAAATTTTTCGCTTAATATGGGTCCTCTAGGGTGTCCAATTTGAAGACAACCATTGAGCAAACCGTTGAAGATACAAAGTCGGTTAAATGGAAGCAAAGTTACGTATTCGTGTGCCCAAAAACAATCTATGTTTATTTTATTTTAAATCCATACCGTTACGTAGATACAAGGTGAAAAAGAAAAAATTAACATTTTCGAAAAGCCACCGTATTTTCTTTATTATTCGAGCTAAGGTAATCAAAATTTCAATATATGGGCAAGGCAACATGGCAATGTTAAAAATGATATCAAAAAAACCTAGGCCTTCTATGTTGCGCACGGTCTAGGTCAGCTTTTATTTTTCTTATGAGCGCCATATTTAAATTTGGCATTTTAAAAAACCTTATTAAAAATGTTTTCAACCATGTATTTCAATATGGCGCCCATAGGAAGAGCAAAAGTGCACTTCGACCATGCGCAACGTAGTACGCCTAGACTTTTTTGGATATAATTTTCAAAATTTCCATATTGCCTTACCCCTATGTTAAAATGTTGATGACCTTAGCTCCAATAATAAAGAAAATATGGTGGTGTTTAGAAAATGCACATTTTTCTTTTTCTCGCTATATTTACGTAACGGTATATGAATATTAAATAAAATAGACCTAGATTATTTTTGGACACGCAAAAACGCAACTTTTCTTCTATTTAACCTATCTTAACGGTCTTCAAGATCCCCAATATTCCCCATGTAGGTACCTCATTTTAAACTGGACACCCTGTATACGTGTGCGAATTTTCAGGTCAACACAATTAAAATTTAAGATTTGGCTCCTTCTCCTTAATACGGCCCTGTATCTGATCAACAATAAGATAATTTTACATTGTGTTAGCTTCTATATACGCATGCAAATTTTCAGTTTAATATGGTAATTAAAATTTACAATTTGGCCCCCTCCTCCTAAATACGGGCCTCTGACAGCTCAAAAACTCAATAATTTTGTATTATTAAAAACCAATTGTTGTTTGTTATCGTTTGCAAGTAAACCCGTCCTTCATCTCACTAAGTAGGTTTGTTTTTAAACTAGTAATAAACTCCAAATATTAATCACAATAAACCAAATTTAATATACAAACTACATCCGAGCACAACGCGATATGTCGTATTCTAGCTTGTTCTGTTAGAAATTCCACAGCGTGCAGACAGCACCGTTTACTCGCGCGGAAATACCGATCGAAGCAGTGGCCAATAGGTGAGCGTTTAGCTGATTCAAACGATTACGATAATTTCGCACGGATTTTTGAGGCATAAGCCTTTTAAGGAATGTTATGAAACTTTGCATACTGAGTTTTAATGTCATAATGAATGATTTCATGAGAAGTAGGCACGTTTTAATTTTTTTGTCAACATTTCTATTTTGTGCCGGGGAGTTTATATAAATAACTATTATTGTACCTTGTTGACCTGCATAACTATCTGATCCACTGGCAAGTGTGATTGTTTGGACATAGTCGTTTATTTGAGCAGGTGTATTTAGTTTGACCAAACCTATGTCGCTTGTGTAAGTAGTAGAGTCCCAGTCTGGGTGGATTACATAAGCGCTCGTCACCTGTCTTTGCCTATTTGACTCTGAATCGTCAGAAATGTTTTGAGCTCCTAGAATCACGTCCAATGAGATTGCACTGAAACGTTTAATATAAAAATAAATTCGTAATATTTAGTGATAAGCAAAGGCAAGATCAACACCAAGATTCCCTTGGTGTTGGTCTTGGTCTTTTCGTTTCGCTGCAAGATTCTTGCAAGTCTTGCACTTTTTACATAGAAATTATTTAAATAAATAGTATTTTTAGTAATTTAATAGAAATAGAAGTTTAAGGAAAACTTTATTTCGAAATCGTAGACAGACTTTGCCTTGCACATAATTTTTTTTCTACAAATAAGCACGAGATTCTATTGTAGATATTTTGACAAATCGTTTAATCACACTTTGTAACTACCCAACGATTTAAAATACTTCAAATATTAGTCCTATATTATTTACGATACAAGTGAGTTAACAACATCATTAAGATACGCGTGTGAAAGTTGCACAATGAGTGCGTAGCACGAGTTGTGTAACCACATAAATATCTTAATGGAGTTAACTCACGTATATTGTACAATATTTTATCTAATTCTAACTATAAAACACACAATGAATTGTAAAAATTATTGTACTTAACTATATACCTATCCTAAAAATCAATTACCTTAATATCTTTGTTCAAATAACACCATGCATGGCAATGTCAATATGAGAGTAAATAATATTGATGTCACTAGTTAAAAAATTCGGGAAGTATTCCCTCTGACATTGAAGAAGAGGCATTCAGAGCCATTTCTGGATTGCTTCCAGCAAGATCGAAACAGAAGTATGAATATACATACTCTAAAAAATGGTGCACAATGGTGGAAAAAAAAGACACAACTATGGAAATGAAAAGGTACTATATTTTTCCAATTTAGTGCAAAATAAATATTTACAAAATATTTTTTTCTCTTTGGTAGTCATCTAAACAAGGAGTGCGATAATGAAAATGCGTGAGTTAAGAAGCTCTTAACTCACTCAAAATGCGTGAGTTAAGAGCTTATTAAATCAATTACGTAGATAAATTATATTTGTAACAGATGTGTTATGATTAGGTACTTTTAAAAAAAATAAGTCCTCATTTTATCGTATAAAATATTTCTAAGAAATAATCTATTAAAATGTTATCTTTTAATGAACTTATGTGAATAAATAAATAAGTACGTTATAGAAATAAAAAGAACTATTGTTTATCTATCGAGAGAAGTTTTAAACAGCGATAGTTGTGGAGTTTTATGCGGTTTCTCGTTTATGAGTAGAGATACAAAGATGGTGGTTTTCACATCACTGTCCTACTTTTTTATGAAATTAAAGATTCAAGCAAGAGAGCGTTCATTAAAAAATATATTGTAGGGTTATTACATTCTTAATCTAAGGTTATTACACAACGTGTACGGTACAATATATTAGAATGTTCAGTCATCGTTCACCGTCACGTCATATATTGTCGAACTCTCTCAATCACTTGACAACCAGATGAAAGAGATTGGTGACGTCATTACGACATTTCGTAAATTACTGACGGACATCGATAAATGTCAAAATTAAAATTTTATTGTTGCTGTCAATGACTAAAGAACATAAGGACAAATAACACACGGGAGCAAATCGTTACCTTTCTTCCAAACAGTGCCATGGCACATCTTTTCCTTAACATAGCCGCTTAAAGCTTTGCTTGAAGCGATATTTTTTTTTTTTGATAAATGTTTTTACTACGCCTATGGTGTATCCGGTGGTATCATACTAATTAATTACCAATAAAATGTATTAAAATGTTAACAAAAGGTACAAAACTAGTATCGACGTATAGCACATATCAAGTACATATAATATCAGAGAAATAATTATCAAATTCAATAAAAAAAACCGCTATAAAGGTGGAGTGAATTGTTTATTTCCCTATAAAACATAACTCTTGGCTTTTTCTTATCTTGTGCCTTTTACACTTGAAAGCTGAACAAATTACCATTGTAATAGAGTTTATACAAAGTTCACTAACACAACCAACTATTAAAAATCGCTAAAATTGTCGCTGATGACTCATTCGTTATGTCCAAAGAAATGGCGTCTAAGGTCACAAATTCTGCTGCAGCCCGTATACGGGCGTTGCATGTCCTTGTATTCTTTAGTCATTGGTTGCTGTAAAACAAAATTCAAATTTTTTTTATTGCAAAAATACCTCAAAGATTTATCCAAAATGCACAACAATTCATTGCTAAGCTTAGAAATTATTTTTCTCGAGAAAGAGACGCTGGCGCTGGTAGAACACTCTTGCCCGTGGACGCCGTCTATGAAGCAAGTGCAATGCAAAGGTGTAATATTCCCATGTAAAATACATAGATAGCGTTTTTAAATAATATAGCGAGTTGCTGATGCTTTAAAACTAGGAATTTCAACAGTACAAAGGATTGAAATTAAAGGGTTCGTAACTGATAAAGAGTTCAAGAAAAAATTAAAATAAATGCCGAAAAAAACGGAACTAGCTAAATTTTTAATATAGGAAGGTGCTTAATTTTTTTAAAACTCAAATTTGACAAATAATGGTGACGTAACGATGAACAATGGCTGAACAGTCTCTATATTGCACTTATGAGTTGATTGGTGGGCAGCTTTTAATATGACTTCAACTTTTACTCTATATTCTCATATCGGTATACATATAATGGTAAATTTTTAGGAGACAAACAAAAAATGAATACATACCCTTCTAAGCAATGCGCTGCTGTTAAAATATAGTTTGATGATATAAGCGAACCTCCACAAAAGGCGTTTTTTAGCTGGTAATCTATGTAAAGACCCACTTCAAAAGGGAATTGATGAGGAGTAGCATCTTGTCCGCCAACAATTCTCAAAGAGCTAGATGAATCTCTTTTGTTTTGATAGAAGAAATCTCTATTTAGAATATTTACATCATTCTAAAAGAGTACTTTGCTAATATATATAAATTACTATACGGGCTGTTCCCTAAGTAGTCTAAAAAAATCAGGGTATGTAGAATGTTATGAGAGTTATCACTGCGACCTTACAGATCTATTGTGTGTCCCCATTCTTGAGTTATGTATAACTCATCATACCGTCTCAGGGCTTTAACAAAAGCCAGTATCTGAGACGTTTTTACGGAGGTTAGTGGAGGTTAGTTCTCCACCTCCGATATCAGTCGTACCAAAGTTCATGGTACGAATGGTTGTCGTCTCAATGTATCAAAACTAATGACAATAAATAAATAAGTGTGGCAACTTGACATTTTTTACAGCATAGCTACCACCTGAATCCCCAGTGTGAAATTTATATTCCAGTTAGTCCGCCCTGCGCCGAATATGTCCATGGTTTGATCCATCTCGATTACGTAACAAAAAGTTTAAGTGGTATCAAATATACATTGCATAATATCTTAAAATTGCTAGAAAATGGGCAAGAATATCGAAGCTGGCTTTCATTTTTTATTTTTTTTTCTCGAAAACACTAGTTCAGTGTACAGGGTGGGTCAAATTCGACGCTTTTAAATGGAAACACCCTTTTCTGTAGGAGATAGACAAAAACTAATATCGGTGTCTGGAGCTCAATTTTTGTCAAAAAACAAGATGGTGAAAACCGCATATCGATATCTGTTACCGTTTCGGAGTTACGGGGTGTTTTTCAAAAATATGCATTTTTAACAAATCGCTGTAACTTTTTTGCTATGGAAAATTTTGTATTTTTATGAAAACATTTCCAAAGCACCTTTTTACGTAGAATTTAATAGTTTAAGTATAATTTTTTTAAAATTAATAATTTAAGAATTTTCAACAGAAGATTTGATTTTTGATATGGGACACCCTGTATATTTTTACTTTATTGAAAAGAATTTAAAATTACCTTTCCAAAAATATAACACAGTTGATATTTTGCTCGATTCCTCTTCGAGATATATGAGTATATAAAAATTCGCCCGGCTTTAAATACTAAGTTTAAATAAGTAGGCTATGAACGGCACCGGCTGTAATGCAAAAAAATTCTAGCTGTGAGCATCAGTTAAAACGAAAATAATATTTGCTATGAGAGATGCAGAATTTTATAACAATTTAAAATATATTTAACCAACATCAACACATTTAAACTATATCTAATAATAATAAAAATAAGTAGCAAACCAAGACATGAGTTTTTGCTACAGGTGTTCGACATATCGACCGTCTTCTGTTATGGGCAGACGGGGCAGTTTTTGAACATTTCTCGCGGTATTCATTAACTCAGTGGGGGTGAAAGATACCCTCTCATAACTGCTAAGTATTTTAATTTTGTCTAGATTATACGGAAGAATAAGGGACCTTTATTCTTCCGCAAATATATCCATAGGATTAGATCCATGAGTACTAAGTCAGGCGGCCTCGACGGCCAACGGCTGAGATCTTGGTTAGCTATCCAATTATTCTTGAAATTGGCTGCAAAAATTTGCTGATAACTCCAGCGTTCAGAGGTGATGCGTCGTCTTGCTGGAAAAAGGGGTCCAAAGCCTACTAGTTAAAAGTGGCGAGCTTTTAAAAATTCTGTATTTCGAAGGGGATTATAACAAAATATCAAGTGTGCTATATTTTTGAAAAGGTAATTTTAAATTCTCTTCATTTAATTAAAAATATATAGGGTGTCCCAAATAAAAAATCAATTTTTCTGTTGATAACTCTTAAATTATTAATTTTAAAAAAATTATACTTAAACCATTAAATTCTAGGTAAAAAGGTGCTTTGGAAATGTCTTCATAGAAATACAAAATTTTCCATAGCAAAAAAGTTACAGCGATTTTTTAAAAATGCACATTTTTGAAAAACACCCCGTAACTCCGAAACGGTAACAGATATTGATGTGCGGATTTCACCGTCATGTTTTTGATGAAAATTGAGCTCCAGACACCGATATTAGTTTTCGTCTATCTCCTTTAGAAAAGGGTGTTTCCATTTAAAAGCGTCGAATTTGACCCACCCTGTACAAGAAAAGTCCCAGAGAACAATTTTGTGGTTTGGTTTGGTGGCGTACCATTATTTTAAACCGATTAATATATTTTTTTTTTATTTTTAACACCCGAGAACTCCTCTAACCATTCTGCTTCCAGACTGGACCAGAACCATTCTGCTTCCCAAGTGCAAACTAACTTAAAGCGGAACTCAAGAACCTTGAAGACTCCATCCGTAACCTGGAATGGGAATAATCAGACGATCTAAAGACTCTCGAAGAAATTTCTCAAGACATACGAAAATAAAAAAAATCATAGATTTAAGAAAGAACAATCTTCGGACTGTCACGAGGTTTTTAACAGTCTTTCCAAGTACTAGTAGATTAAGCTAAGAAACAACAGCGAAAGCAGATTCTGTGAGGAAAATGGGGAAACACCAGAACACCTCATCACTGAGTGCGTCGAGACGACAATCCTTCGCGTCATAAGCTTTGATGCGACTGATATCGGAGACGGAAAACTTAGCCTACTTAAGAAACAGCCTGTATAATTATTTGTAAAAAACGCGAATTTCTAGACAAAATATTAAACTAAAGTATTTTTTTATAAATATAGATAGAATAAGGAAGTACCTGTGAAAATATTGGTTGAAATATTCCAACTAATAATAACAAATATTTAACTCCCATATTGCAAAAATTCCTCAAAACTATTGCAAATCTACTCTACTTATAGCACTAAATACACTAATACAATTCTAATTTCACAATTTTACTCAAATAAAATCGTTCGTATATGCACCATACCTACTTATAATTGTTTTTTTTTACTGATTTCAAATATAATCGCAGTGAAAAAAACCTTTTGAGTGGTTGATTATATTTGAATGGAGCTTATGCCAAAATGTGTTTACTTGTTTCTACTTGATCTGTTCAAATAATAAAAATGTAATTAACAATTTCTTATCATCGTTAAGTAGTAGATATTGCAGTGATAAAAACGAACTTCCTTGTATAACAATTTAATTATTATTGCCGAAAATTTTGTTCTAAGTATGTCTAAAAAGAAGATCATTACAATTTGGAAATAAAAGCATAAAGAACATAAAAACACAACTTATATTAAATTAAATTTTGTGGTACTTTATACAGAATGGCCCACTTTCGCGTTTTTTACAGGCTTTTTCGTTTATGAGCAGAAGTACAAAGATGCGGTTTTCACATTACTATGCTACTTTTTTATGAAACCAAAAATGGTACACACATATTTGTCTTAGTTCCTGAAATACAGGGCGAAATTGAAATTGTTGCATTTTTCGACTCCCCTCATATCTCGGCCATTATAACTTATCGAAAAGGTGAAAATCGAGCTCCATAGAGATTTCCAAGTAAAGTTCAGTGGCGCAACTTAAACCAATAAGATACGAAGAGGGTCGAAAAATGCAACTTTTTAAAATTCGCCTTGTATTCAGGAACTAAGAAGACTAGGTGTGTGAAAAAGAAATGCTGCTGGTAAAATATTATCATAAAAATATATAAAAATCTGACGTAGGCCTTTTATAAAACTTTAAAAACTTAAATATTTTTGATGACTTAAGAGCTCGAACACACTGACAGCCAGGTCGCACCGGCCAGGTCGCTGCTACATCCAGGTGGCCAGGTCGCTGCTACCATTAAATAAAATGATACAACGCACACTAACGACCTGGCCGTTGGCTGGTCGTTGCGACCAGTAGACTGCACTACAATATTATTATTTTCTGTCGCTTGTTGCCAGTTTTCTTCCAAATTAATAATTTTTCAGATGGAATCCCTCAAATTCAACGCAAAATATGTTATTTCCTATAAGATATAGTGTTTTAGTGTAGTCTTTGCACACGTGCAGAAAATTCAAAGAAATAGTATACAGACTGGATCAAAGGGAAACTTAAATCTAGTACCTTTTTTTATCAAGGGTCGATTCTAATAAAAATTCAAAATATTTTTATATGACATACTCTATTTATGGTTGGTATGATACCTGTTATGATACCTTCGAGTTTCGATGTTAAAAAAAAAAAAATATTTAAAGTTTTTCTACAACCACTTGTTATTTTTTTTATTAAATTAGTTTTTTAGTTGTATTGTAGTCATGTACAAGGGGGAAAACTGTATTTTAAATACACACACCGGGAAAATCTAGGGATATCTTTTTATTAAAGTTAAAAATAAATGTTTTGAATAAACAACCACATATTTGTAGGCCGATTCTTTCTACTTCGATTGAAACGAAGTAGTCACACTAGTTATTTCTAAATTTGGGATATTTGCAGAAGTGTTTATGCATTTTTTGTCAAATGTATAAAAAGCACCTAGCATCAATTGTTCGAATTTAACCTGTACTGGATATGTTTTTATGATAACTGGCCAGAATACATTCAAATAACTCTGTTTAGTATTAAACGACATTATGGAGCGTAGACATCTTAACAGAGACGAAATGCTAAGGGCCATGGGTATGCTCGAAGCTGGAATGCGCCAAATCGACGTAGCTAGAGCATTAAATACAACGCAAAGTGTAATATCGCTATTAAGTGCACGCTACCGTGATGTGGTGATGTTGCTGAAAGGTACAGAGGTGATGTTGCTGAAAGGCACACAGGGCGACATCGCATTACTACCCCTCAGCAAGATCATTTTTTACTCTTACAGCACCATAGATTAGTTTAATTCTCCAGGAAACACATAATGTAACCGTTAGTCCTGACACTGTTCGCAATAGATTAAGAGAGGTCAACTTAAGAAGCAAACGCCCCTGGAGAGCTCAACCCTTAACGAGAGGAAATCGAGAGGTACGATATTTGTGGGCTCAAGATCATGTTCAGTGGTCGAATGAACAATGGGCCAATGTTCTCTTCACGGATGAATCACGCTTTGGAATTCATCCGGATTCGAGAAGGCTTAGGGTATGGGGAGAACCGGGAAATCTTATTCGGTTGGATCATGTTCAGGAAGTGCACCCTTATCAAGATGGAACAGTTATGGTCTGGGGAGGAGTCCAGTTAGGCCGAAAAACCGATCTCGTTTTTCTTGAAAGGTTTCTAACAGGAATCACATATCGTGATTTAATTCTTGAGCCTGTCGTGTTACCATATGCCAATGATTTTGGGAGAAACTTCATTCTCATGCATGACAATGTACGGCCTCATACAGCCAGAGTGGTAAGTGAGTTTATCAATGCTCATCAATTAAACATCTTACCCTGGCCGGCACAATCTCCTGACCTCAACCCCATCGAACACGTATGGGACGCGGTCCAAAGAAGAATTTTGAGAATGGTATGCCTCGTGAAATTCGTAGGGATCGGGTTCGGGCCGTGAATGCAGCGTGGCAGGCTGTACCTCAAGAAGAGATCGACAACCTGATCAGGAGCATGGAGAGACGATGTAGGGCTGTAATGAACAGTACAGGAGGCTATACCCTTTATTAAGTAAAAATGGTTTTATCTTTTTTTTTAATTCACAGTTTAGAATTAAAAAAAATGTGTGTATTTTTTTGAGTTCAATAAAAATCAAGGAAAATTTGAAAAATTCGGTAAATTTCGCGTTTTTATTTCCAATACGTCCTGTAAACTATTTGTTTATTTTAATTTTATTATTATATCAGAAATGCAAATAATAAAATTACTGACGATGGCTGGATAAAACTGTAATATCCCTAGACTTTTCCGGTGTGTGTATTATATTTAATTTATTGTTTTTCAAACAGGGCCCATTAGACTATATTTTTACTAGGACTAATTCAATACCCTGTACTAACACAAATACCAAGAAATAGAGTTAAAAAATTAAATATTTGTGTATTTTATGTATATAAATAAGTCATAAATAAATAATTTGTTTTCAATTCTTAGGAACAATACTATTTTTGTCCTTTATTGGATATAATGTGTTTATTTATTATTTTTATATCTGATGCAACAATCTGTGACGGCCAGACGGGCCAAATTGCTTCAAAAATATTCTATTCGGTTTTGTCTCCGCATATCGTAGTTCTTTTGTGATTTTAGCTTGGTATGGCTTTGGAGAAACATTACTTTATTTAATATTAGAACATATAATAAGCTCATGAAAAGGAACTTCGCTTTTTAGTTAACTCGGATATTTTAACATTTCTGAAAACAATATTTTCTAATTGGTAAAACGTAAAAAATCGTTAGATATGACCCTGCCGAAAGTGGTCGTTCATCTGGCCGCACTCAATACGCATATATCCTTAGGGCTCTAACTCACTGACGACCAGGTCGCAACGACCTGGCTGTCGGCTGGCCGGATGCATTGCGTTTATAGCTGCGGCCAGATGAACGACCAGTTTCAACAGAGTTGTCAGATCTAACAATTTTTTACGTTTTACCAATTAGAAAATATTGTTTCAGAAATGTTAAAATATCCGAGTTAACTAAAAAGCGAAGTTGCTATTCATGAGCTTATTAAATGTTCTAATATTAAATAATGCATTTAAAATATTTTTGGATTTTTCGTTAATAAATACTGGTGTTTGTAAATGGAGCAAGTAAAATCTCCAACCCCGTTATTTCTATGTTTTTCAAATCCGCGATGCCTGCTATTCCATCAGTCGTTTCATAACAGAATATTAGAATATTCTACATCCTACGTCTATGTAATTTAATATGTGTAGAGTGCGACATGTAACTCGAGAGATTTTTAGCATTATATCAATAAAGGACAAAAACAGTATTGTTCCTAAAGGTGCGTCCAGACTTGAGCATTTTAGCCCGAACGAACCGAGCGCGCACGAACAAGCAGAACAAATAGGCCGAACAAAAAGCATTGTGTACGCGCGACCGACAAAAAGGGCGATATTCTGTTTCTTTTTCTACTGATATGGACTTCTACTGATGGCTCTTATCGACTTTAGAAGTAAACATGTTAGGGCCATCATAAAAAAAGGTCGTCAGACACTGGCTCTAAATATAAGCAGGTAGAAAGTTTAGCTTCCAGTTATTTCAATGTTTACAATATAAATTCCTCTTTTTTATTGTTACTGAGAATCTACAACAGTAAATACTTCTATTTTTACGAATGTTTAAGTTACTTTTACTCTTATTTTTTTTTAAATAATGTACCTAGTAGAAATATAGTCTAATGGACCCTGATTGAAAAACGTTAAATTAAAAATAATATTTAAAATACAGTTGTCCTCCTTGTACATGTCTACAATACAACTAAAAAAACAAATTTAATAAAAAAAAACAAGTGGCTGTAGAAAATCTTCAAATATGATTTTTTATTTTTTAACATCGAAACTAGAAGGTATACCTAGTAACAGGTATCATACCCACCATAAATAGAGTATGTTATATAAAAATGTTTTGGAATTTTTACTAGAATCGACCCTTGATAAAAAAAAAGGGATTAGATTTAAGTTTCCCTTTGATCCAGTCTATATACTATATCTTTGGATTTTCTGCACGTGTGCAAAAACTACACTAAAACACTATATCTTATAGAAAATAAAATATTATGCGTTGAATTTGAGGGATTTCATCAGAAAAATTATTAATTTGGAAGTAAACCGGCAACAAGCGGCAGAAAATAATAATATTTTAGTGCAGTCTACTGGCCGCAACGACCAACGGACGGCCAGGACGTTAGTGTGTGCGGTATCATTTGATTCAATGGTTTTAGAGGCAGCAGCGGCCTGGCCAGTGCGACCTGGTCGTCAGTGTGTTCGAGCCCTAAATCTGAAGTCAACTTTCGAAAAATGACTTAAAATCAAAGGACTTAATCATTAAAATTATTTAAATCAAAAAAGACTTAAGATTTCTGTGAGTTTCCAGCTCTGTTTGTACAGAACTAAATTTTATAATCGAAATTCTTATCTATACTTTGCTATAAAATTTGATTTCGCGGAACCAACTGATAAACATCCAAGATAATATTTTTGATTCATAGATTACACGGTATGAGGTGTGTATGCTTTAAAAAAATAAATATCATTTTCTTGCTTACGTAAGATTCTAACACCTAGAGTTCATTATTTGAATTATAGTTGTAATTCTTTATTCAAGCCATCTTTTTCGGTAAAAAAAGCGAAAATGTATTTAAGTACATTAAAGTAAAGTTCTAAAATCTTGGTATTTTTCTTACCAAAATATTTGAACAAGATAAGGTGTCTATACCTACTTCAAAAATCATGAGGAGTCTAAATCTATTTTTAGTGTTATTAAGTTGCTTATTTTTGGAAATTATTGGTCAAGATGTTTTGACTGAAGCCACAACATTGTCGAATGTAAGTAAAATCAGATTTTTATGTACCTATACATCGTCTCTCTCAATATTTTTTTCACTATACATGGTTCGGCAATAGTGCGTCGGGCATCTGTAGCTCCTGGAATAAAAAAAACTTGAGAATTTTGTTTAAGTGCAAACCTAAAGTATGTACGGGGATGTATTTCAGGAAAATATTTTAACTTCTATAGGGTGGCTCAAAAAAGTTTAAGTGGATCGGGATGATTTTTTTTAAATAGAACACCCTGTATTTTATTGCATTTTTGGCTTCCTTTCGGATCACTTTACATAATCCTAAGATAAGAGTAAATATATTTCGATAATTTCAGAGATATTAATAAATAAATAAAAAATATATGTTTTACCTTTGTTAAAAAAATATTACAAATACAAGAACTGTCCTGAAAGCAAAACTATATTAGGTATTTAATTTAGATGGTCTATACTTACTTTGCTATAAATATCGTAATCTTAAACCATAGAGGGTGTTCAAAATTCTACGCCAAACTTTCTAAAATATAAAATAAATTTTCTTCGTTTATTTAAATATGGAACATTTTTTGTATTTAGAGTATTTCAAAATGTTGTGTATGTTTTTTTTATATTTCATATGGCATTTTCCACAGTAAATTTTTATCAAAGCCACCCATTATTTTTTTTCTCGTATTTTACCATTGAAAGAGCCATATGAAATATTACGGCATTTATTTGCGAAAACATTAAAAATTTTGCATTACTTTAAATACAAAAAATGTTCATTTTTTAACTCCCCATCTAATAAAAAATAATATACAGGGTGTTCGGTCATACATACTTTAGGTCTGCATGCACTTAAACAAAATTCCCTAGTTTTTTATTGTAAGAGCTACAGATGCCTGAGGCACTGTTGCTCAACCCTGTATACTATTTTTTGTGTAAAATTTTAGGAAATAGAAGATCCTGATACTCCCAGTTTCACATTTTTGAAAGACAGAAAAAGTAGTGGACTTTCCAAGAGGATCATAGGAGGAAATGTGGCAACAGCAAATCAGTTTCCATATCAAGTTGCTCTGTTCGTTTATGAAGGCAACACTGTATATTTTTGCGGAGGCTCCTTAATAACGGATTCATGGGTATTGACAGCTGCCCATTGTATAGATAGGTAAGCAGAGCCGCAACAGTTCAGTCATTGGGGATCAAAAAAGGGGCCTGCTTGGAAAAAAGTCCGGAAGTTTTGAAACTTGGAAGGTTTATAGCTTTTGGGGTCCCTAACTAAAATCCATAAACTGCACATTTCCAGATTTGCCGCCGGTGCCGCCATCTTACCAAGATGGCGCCCAAAATCGGTATTTTGTAAATATCTCGAAAACCATGCGTTTTTCACAAAAATTTGAAGAGAGCAAAATTAAAGAGAATAAAAATTTCCTATAAAAAGGTTAGATGAAAATTTTCGCTAAAGTCAACCGTTTAGGCAAAAAATCCCTGGAAATTTTACAATTTTGCGTGAAGTATGTATACTATATAGTCGATTTTCCGAAATCAAATGTCATGAAACAGTGGCGTATCATTAATTCGCTCATTAATTTATGAATAATTAATTGTCGTGCTGGACAGCATTCATTGCGAACTTACCACCAGGTTCAGCATTGGTCTGGTTGTACCAAATATGTTGAAGAATGGGGTTGGAAGAAAACAAAAACAGGCATTACTCCCGTCACAACGTTGAAAGATCCAGTTCCAAAATCCCTAGTGGCATTTTTATCCTGTAAATGCAAAACCAACAACTGTGGTAAAGCCACAAATGCCTGCGGATGCAGAAAAGCAGGATTAAAATGTTCAATGATTTGTGCATACCGCAATGGGAAATCCTGTGACGTCACTGAAGTGTCACTCGACGAATCCGATGAAGAGGGGTTGGACTTGCGTGTAGATATCCCTCTGGCGGCTGAAGATGAAGAGTTGGACGTATTGAGAGACCACCCTGATGAGCCCAGCACAGCAGACACGATCGACTTTGACATCAATGAGCCATATCCGTCGGGCTTATGCAGATAAGTTAAAGTTTTTAATTTACCCAGTGGAGTAGACCTCCGGGGAGACTACGTTAAAATAAACGCGCCATGTACTTTATCTCTTGGGTGGTGTGGAAAGAAGTACACATTTTCAATAATTAAAATTAAGAGCGAATTAATGATACGCCACTGTTTCATGACAAAATTGAAGAAACTAAACTAAAACTAGTTTTAGTAAACCCTAATCGACATTTGATTTCGGAAAATCGACTATACATAATATATCATATTTTAGGCAAAATTGTAAAACCAATCAATCCTAATTTATATGTCATATACTAACATACCAAATCTCGTTTTTTTATCTGGAAAAATAAAAAAGTTATGGGGGTCTGGCCATTTTATTTATAGTATACGATCTTTGAATCAAATTTACCTGAAATCTATTCTTGATTTTTAGCGCTTCATATGTTATCGCAGCTCTGGGATCTCATGACCTCTCATCTACAGAATCTAGTAGAATAGTACTGAACAGTTCAAAATTCATCATTCACGAGGACTGGGACGAATCCCTACTACAGAACGATGTAGCTTTGATTCAATTACCTGAGTCAGTGACTATAAATCAGCAAATTTCAACTATTAAATTAGCAGAAGGAACAAATACTTATGACAGTCTGATGAGCATATGCCTGGGATGGGGCATTACAATTTATGGCAAGTATATATTAGTCTTCTTCCTCTAGGAGATGCGAGACCTTGTCGTTGGTGGGGAAGCTCCTAGTCAAGTACTAGGGGGAATCCCCTCTGGCATTTTGGCTGGGTCTAAGGAGCATCATACATCTCACTACTGTCTTATCCCTGGCTGACTAGGAAGCCTTTTCGCGGTGATTAACCCCCTCCCACTCATTCTACATGCATTGCACTTATTTAAGACTCACCCTCTATAACTCTTTTTAGGGTCTACCTCAAACGTATTGAGGTATGTCGATTTAGAAGTTATAACAAATGAAAAATGCAGTGCCTACAGAGACTACTCAGGTTATATTGTCGATACTCACATATGTACATCAGGTAAACATTACTATTCATTAATTAAGTACAATACAAAATAACATTTTAATCATTTTAAAGGAAATGGGACCTTGGGATCATGTAACGGAGACTCTGGAGGCCCACTAGTGATCAATGGAGAACAGATAGGAATCGTCTCCTTTGGAGCAGCAGACTGTCAAGCCGGGCTCCCTTCTGTGTTTACTAGGGTAACTGAATATAATTCATGGATTCAAGACGCTTTAAACGGAACTTATATTTATACTGACCCCAGTAGTTATCAAGGCAATAATGGATATTCTATACAACCAATATCAGTTTTGAATTATCTGTTAATAATTCTTTTTATATATAGACAATATATTTAATAACAAATTAAATGAAAGGAATTTTATTTTTTTAAAAGGCACAATAACGTTTTGTCGACGCCAGCAAGTCGTAGGATATGCCGTTGCGTGTGGACCACGCTTTAATGAAAAAATGACAACAATCAACTTCTACTTATTCTATTTTTACACATCTATACTTTTTACATATAAATAAAATGTAACTACAAAATAACTAATAAAATGCCTTTTTAAGTTTGGGAAATAACTGAAATATATCACATATAAAGAACCACCCTTAACTATAAATACAATTTGTATAGTTTAAAATATCTAGTCTGTCCATTGGGAGGATACATGACAGTGACAGTTGTATCTGTCATTTTTATTCGAAGTAAGTTAAATTTTCTGTCATTTTTGGCATTTATCTGTCAAAATTCTCCCTGACTCTTTGGACGGACTTTGGATAAGAAACTCTATGTTGAAAATGCTCTAGCTATAAGCCATACCCCTAAAACTATACCAAAAACATGGAGATACTTTGATTTATTACTGTGGTCATCATTAATATCACTAGGCGTTATTATCTCTTCAGAATCTTTCATAATAAAGTTATTTATATTTTCTCTATTACTATTTACAGCCTTTTTTAAATCATTAAGTGTAGTGGTATTTTTTAAAATTGTTTCATTGATTTTTTGAACATTTTCTAATAACACATTGCTTGAGTCATTATTAACAGGTATAGTTAGAGTCTCTAATCTGTCATCAATGATTTTTTTAAGTTGTTCCTTTTTTATAGTAGAATAAACAAAGGCTAGAAATGAACCTGTGATACTTAAAACTATTCCGAAATATTTGGTGTACTCCATTTGTGCTCTTTGCTTTTCGTGCGAGTCTCTGATTGAATCTGAAAATGCAGTGAATAGTTCACGTTCTGCTTGATCATAGTCTTGGAAGGTTTTTGCAATTGACTTTTCTAGTTTCAACACCTAAAAGTTGTCAAAATATAGTTTATATTACTTTCGGCATTGATATATACAAGTATATAATATGATCTAGGTTATTAACAGTTCTTTACCTCAGTTTCTTTTTTCATCAAGTCTAGAAATTTTTCCAAATCATCTTGCCTTTTAACTTTATGAATTTCATCTTGAAGCTCAATTGATTTTATACGGATATCATTTAATTGCCTGCCAACTTCTCTTCTTTTTTCTTGGATTTGTAATAGTTGATCCTAAAAAGCAAACATACATCTCTTAGACTACAAACCAACGTTAAATGGTTCTAATAAACTTACCTACCTGTAGTGCCGTGACCTTTTCTTGAGATAAGTTTACCTTATCTAATCCTGTTATTTTCATGTACCAGTCGTTAAGATTTGTAAATTTTTGACTTAGAATCTTTACTTGGTTTTCTTTCACTGCCTGTATATGCGGGGAAGCTTCCGCAATCGTTTTACTTATCGACCTTTTAAGGGCTTCTAATGTTTGACTATTTACGAATTGTTTGACCGCTGTAGTTACTCTCATTTTGTCTGAATATGTTGAATTACGAATATCTTCAAAGTATTACGTTAAATTATGTGTTTAAAGAATATAAAAGTATCTTTTAAGGACTTCGGTGACATTTCATAACCTCTAAATGCTCTAAAGTTACAAAACAAAAGTTGGGTTATAGTAGTAGTATATTAGTTTAATGGCCACAGCTGCCAGGGCTATCCGGCCGGATGGTAGAATTAACTACCTACGGTTGAGCGTTTATATAGATGATGACACACAGACGAGGATCGCTATAAAGCGAGCCTGGGAAATCCCATACCCCGACTGTTGAGTTGAAGAAAATGTTGGCAAAGGAAGATCCTGCAAAATAAACAAATTTAATAACAATTTCATTTAAAATGTGAAAGATTAATTCCACAACTATCTAAGAATTCGCCTATAATATTAACTACAATTGGATGAGTATGCAAAGCGGAGGTAAAATTATGAGGGGATGTTTTGTAAAAGCCAATAAGTGATTTATATAGTTTATCTACTAAAGCGGGAAATTTATTGCATTCAAAAAAGATGTGGTTTAACGTTCCAATTTCTCCTCACTCACATAAGGAATCTGCATTTACACCTATACGATGTAAATGGGACGGAATTAGACAATATCCGCTTCTTAATCTGAAGAAGGTTGTCAATCTTTTCTTTGTAAAATCTTTACATGATCTAAACCATATGCTTTTGTAGGGAAAAGTAACAATTTCTGCATAATTTGTCCCTTTTGTACAAGAAATCTCCTTCCATCTGCCTTTCCATAACGACCAAAACTTTTCCTTAAGAATTGGAATAAAATCAGTAAACCAACATTTAATCTCAGCATCTCGACCATCTGTCTTTCCAATATTTGCTAATTGATCAGCTTTATCGTTGCCTAAAATATTCGTGTGACTGGGTAGCCATACCAATGAAATTCGAAATTGTTTTTCTCTTAACTCAAATAGTTTACGTTTTGTAGCAAATGTAATTTGACTGTCCTTAAAATTAGGATAAGCTGCTAATGCTCGTAAAGCACTTTCACTATCACTAAAAATTACAGAATCCTCCAATTCTTTGCTTTCAATTACATTCAATGCCATCATAATAGCAACATTTCTCCAACAAATATGGAAGCATATCCAGGAATCATATAGGTGGCTTCCAAATTTAAATCCGGGCAAAATATACCCACTCCAACATTTTTATTTACTTCCTTAGAAGCGTCCGTAAAAAACTTAATTTTTTGTTTAAATTTTAACTCAATAACTTCTCTAAATTTAATAGAATTATTTTCACTCTTATTTAAATCCAATCTTAAATATTCATTTTTACTAAAATAAAGAGGAAACTTATAATAATGATGCATATTAACAACATCAACATCTTGAACATGAGGAAAAATTTGATCAATGCCTTCAATAAGAGGAGGAACATGATAATATCTTGACCAAAAACCAAATGATTGATTATATGCCCCATAAGCTTCTGTAACAGACTGAATAATGGGATTATCCTGAATAGAGAATGCTTTTAAAAGCAATTTAGTGGCCAAAAAATTACGTCTAATATTAAGGGGAAGTTCTGCCGATTCTGATAAAATGATATTAGTTGGACAGGAACGCATAAACCCTAAACAAATGCGTAAGGCTTGAAAATGAACTTTATCAAGTTTTTCTAATAACTTTTTAGAACATTTAGCTAATAATATACTACCATAATCTAAATGTGACCGAATATAGGACTTAAAAAAATTTAACATAGTAATTGGATGTCCCCCCCACCAGGTTTTACAAAAATATCTCATTAAATTAATACCCTTAGTAGCTTTAGAACACATAGCCTCAATTTGATGATTCCAAGAAAACCGATTATCAATAAAAATACCCAAATATTTAACATATTCAACCCATCTAATAACATGATTTTGAAATTTAATATCTGGTAAAATACGATTATAAAATTTTCTTTGAATTAAAATACAGGAAGATTTTTCAGGAGAAAAACTCATTTCATTTAATCTCGCCCATTCCTCAAGACTGTCCAATGTAACATTTAATTTATTAACTATCAAATCTATATCATAACCTTGAGCCAGGAGAGCAATATCATCAGCATATTGAATTAATTTAACATCATCCCCAATAAAGTCACTAACATTATTAATATAAATATTAAATAAAATTGGAGCTAAAGGAGATCCTTGTGCTAAACCCTTATTAGTAAAACCAGGACCAATCAATTTTTTTGAAAAATTATCAACAATATAAATTTTCCTGTTGGTATGTATCTCTTTAATGTATTTACAAATATTCTCTTCAATACCCAATTCAGCTAATTTACGAATCAAAATAGAAATATTAACTTTATCATATGCATTTTTCATATCTAAAAAAACAATTACTGAAAATTTATTATATGAGAGTCCAGAAATTATCGATGAACATAAAGAAGTTAATGCTTCAAAAACTCCTTTACCTTTTCTAAACCCAAACTGAGAATCACTGAGAATTTTGTGGTTTTCCACATACCAATCCAATCTACATTTCACTATATCTTCCATAATTTTCCCTATGCAAGATGTGAGAGTAATTGGCCTGTAACCGCTAATATTATTTAAATTTTTATTAGGTTTAGGAATTGGACAAACTAATCCTGTTTTCCAATCGTCTGGAATTAATTCTGAATGATAAAGAACTTGATTAAAGAAGTACACTAAAAATTTAATATGATTCAAAGGAAGATTATTGATCATGGAATAAGTTATTAGATCAATGCCTGGAGCAGAATCTCTCTGCTTTCTAAATATGGCAACCTGTGTCTCCTCAAGAGAAATATTAGAACTCTGACACTTTTGAAATAAAATGTCAGGATCTACATCTGGAATAATTGGGGGCGCTAAAAGGGCAAGCATATCTTCAGCAATGGAACAATTCAAAGGTTTTCTTAACGAAATTTGATTAATTGATTTTGAAAAACGTTTTATTTTACACCAAACCTCATTAATAGGTGTTAATGGAGATAGACTACTACAATAATTATTAAAACTTAACTTTCGTTTTTCTCTGAGAACTTTTCGACATTGTGCTCTAGCCTTTCGAAAAAGTATATAATTCTTCTCCGTAAACTGTCTTTTAAACGTCTTAAATGCTGCTCGTTTACTTTCCCAGGCTATATCACAATCTTTATCCCACCAAGGATTACCTAGTCTCTTTTCTTTCTTATTTACCGGAATTGACTTGTTGGCCGCATTTTTAATCTGCTGAACAAAATGATGATAAGACAAACTGTTACTTTGACCATCATACTCCGTCAAGCAATCATAAAACAAAGGCCAATTAGCTTTCTTAGTATTGTATCTATTTAAAAAATTATTGTTATTTAAAAGCATTGATACATTCTTGCAAAGAATGGGAAGATGATCGCTCATACCTATATAATCTGACAAAACCTCAAACGAATAATCTTGTAGTAATGAATTATTTCCCAGAATTAAATCTGGAACACTTTTATGCTGATTGGGAGGAGTAATCCGCGTGGCATCTCCATTATTCAAAAAAGTCAAATTATGAGTTTCCAATATGTCAGTAAGAATAAAACCATTGCTATTATTAACATCTGAACCCCACGCCATGTGTTGGGCATTAAAATCTCCCATTAACATTAACTTTTTCACCCCAACCCCTGCATAAGCAGTCAGATGAGTGAAAAAATTTTTAGGTAAATTTGAATCTGGCGGATTATAAATTAATGCAAGATAAAACATTTCTAACTCAATAATTTTATGTTGAAATTTTGCTGGAACTGAAATATTGCTTATATCAACTAAATTAAATGGAATCGAATCCCTGATTAAAAAGGCAATGCCACCTTTTCCATCATCTCTATCTGCCCTCAAGCAAACATAACCCAAAATATTAAACGAATTATTTCTATTTAGCCATGTCTCATTTAATCCAATAATATCAGGACTAAAATCTCTTATGATATTCATTAAGGTATCTCTGTTAGACAAAACACTTCTAATATTCCATAAAATAATAATCATATATAAATATTAAACATTATAAAAAATAACAAAATTAAACCTGACTGGACATAAATAAGAGTAAATAACCATAAAATAATAAAGTAAATATAACATGTAAGAATTTAAAAAATAAAGTTTTTATATGGCTCTTTTTGACTTCTTTGTAATATGTTTATCTTTAGTTTTAACATTTGTATCATTTATCAACTTTCTTAAACTTGAACTATCTACAAAACTTTCTTGAGACTGAACAATATTTTGGCTAGATGATTCTAAACTAAAATTGGATGACTCTCCAACCTCCATAGATGCATCTATATTTTCATCAATTTTGGATTTATTTTCAGATTGTGATAAATTATTTAAAATTGGACTGGATGATAATCTAGCCGAATCAGGAAAAAGGATGTCTTTATAAGATATTTTGGTTTGTATCCTCTGTGAAACGGGAGAACGAGGTCTACTTTTCTTTAAGGTAGAAATATAATGATGCTTCTTTACAGATCTAGGGACAGACAAATTAACTAAAGTCTCGGGAAAATGCTGACTATCTGGAGAAGAAACGTGTTCCTTTGGAAATAATTTATTTGCTTCAAAAAAAGATATGTTATGCTTAGCCATCGCATCATTAATCATAAATTGCCTTTTAAATTCTTTGCATTCCTTGTTAGTGGGATAATGATTTTCTTTACAATTAATACATTTAATTTCTAATTGATTTAAAGAACATCTATCATCATCTTCATGAGTATCACTACACTTAATACATCTTTTCCTACTCCTACATTGCAGAATTCTATGTCCAAATCTGTAGCAATTATGACATATAATTACTGGAATTTTATAAGTATGAATTTCGCGTAAAACATTGAACAATTCCAAATCCAAAGGAACTTGATTACCTTTAAATGTAATAATAAAGGAATTAGTCCTTTTCCTTGTCATGGTATTATCTTCATTTCGAGATCTTTTATAAATTCTACGGGCATTTAAAATTTTGATTCTGGAATTACCCCTTATACCTAGTCCATAATTAATAATATCTTCTTCATATATATCATCACCCATGTTCCACACTACACCTCTACAAGTGATCATCCTGGGAGGAATAGTAATTACCCAATTTTTATTTAAAATTTCTTTATTATTGACAAATGAATTAGCTTGTTCAGGAGTATTAAAATATATGCCCATTCTATTTCTCCCTTTACTTTCGATTTTTTTAATTCCCTCAATTTTGTTTTCAAATAAATATTTTCCAACATTCATCGGATGAAGGGAACGTTCACCTTGGATAACTGCAAGGAAGGGAGGAAAAGCAGAAATATCATACTCTGAAATTTTATTTGTATATTTCCTAATATTAAAAAAACATTGAGAAATTTCTTGCTGTACTTCAACATCATCTATAAATTTATTTCTAATTCCATAAAGTTCCTCTTCCAGGTGCTTAATGACATTTACGGGTATTTCTTGACATGTACCTTTTGAAAAGCTCAAAATTAAATTGTAATTTTGGGGCGATAAAATATGGGCTAATTTTCGAACGAAATCATTAGGAGGACCCGTAGGCCCCCCTTCCCCATTTAGCATAGGATCAGGAACGATCAGGAAGGGTCAGCAGGATTTTAAGGCTAGGATTATATAAGCAAAAAACTAAAACTACTTAATAAAATGGAAAACACTCACCAAAAACAAGTACGAACTAACAACAATGGGAAATTGGAACCTGAATTAAATTCTATATCAGAAAAAGGATTTTTTTACGCTCAACCGTCTTTCACGTCCGACCGGCGCCAACTATAAAAAAGTTGGGTTATGTTTTGAATCTTCTTCTTCTCAAATTACATGGCTACGTGCCATTAATATCTTACAAAAATATATATGATTGATATAAACACAATAACAGAAACTATGAAACCCATCCTTGATATAATACCAACATGGCGGTAGATTTAAATTAACGCTTCTACTGTCACTAAAGCGTTAAATTAATACGATTTTATATTAAATTAATTTATATTATAATTTCTAATAGGAAATTTGTCGAAAATTAAACTTAACAAAATAGTGGGCTTTGGATGGAATTTGACTGGTCGCTGTCAGATGGCTGTCAGTAAAAAGTACATCAATGCCAATTATACAAATGTTTTATAGAAATTTCTGTCCAAATTCTGTTAATATTGATTATGAAAAAAAAATAATTTACGCGCCCATGGAGTAAACGATGTTACGAAGTATTTTTAGCTTAATACACCGCATGATAGATTCAGATAAGAAATACAATAATACAAAATCCAAAACTGTAATATATTGCTGTTCGAACCTAAACAAAGATATAGGCAGAATGGATCTTGAAATCGACGGTAAAAACCACAAATCAATGTTGAATCTCGAACACAAAGAGAAAATGCCGATTGAGAAGGCTGAAAGTTCGTTTCAAATTCAAACGGACCAAGGAGATACGGTTACTTGTAAATATAAACTAGACGTCAACATCCAGATTAAAGAGCCTAAAACTGAGGAAAATGAGAGCAGACGTGTTTCGTTTATTAAATCTGAGAGTCCCCAGGAGGATACAAAGTCCGAAATATACACTCAGACGAATGTACAGGATTTAATAAAGCATTTTTCGAACAAAAGAGCGGAACACTTTCCAAAAGGTACATATACTTATAACTTTTCAATTTTTTGCTGATTACTATTTTATTAATTATAGATAATGATCAAATAATGTCACTCCTGGAACAAATCCAAAAAATGAAGACAGGCTTGCAAAGACTTCAAGAGATCGCAAAACAGTTTAACTGTTCAGAAAAATTCGGGGAAGACGTCAGTTTTTTGGTAAACCACGTCAAAAAATCGCTGCTCTTCGAAAACAGTGACACAACCAAGAACGAAAACATTGTACCGAAACCATAATAACCATGTATTTTTGTCTATATTTATGAATTCTTGTGCTAATTTTTTATCTCTGTAAAATATTGGAAAATGTGGGACTTTTTTAATAAAACGAAATGGAAAAACTTGCTTTTCTAAACACATTTCTTTTTTAAAAAGTTACACTAACTTTGCTTACATCGTATTGTACAATTACAAAAAAGAACACATTTTTTAACAAATTTAAAAAATATAAACAAACGCGTAGGTAAATATTCTGTATACAATCCTATATAGGGCGATTCCCCGCGATGGTACGTTAGACGTTTATGGAGAACCGGTGAATTTTTACACAAAGGCACCTGCTCCATCTATTTAAAATATTTTCAGCGTTACAATGTTGCCGGATCATTTGAAAAGTGGTAGCATCTTTCTTATTTTAAATGGAACACGCGGTATACTATTACATTTTTCGAAACTACTTTCATATCTCATAATTTTTCTATTATACTACCCTATACTTATAATAGTTTTTGAGACAAAAAATAAAACGTGTAAAATTGACAAAAATATGATCGTGAATAAGCATTGGTAAAATCATGAATTGAACATTTTTAAAGTTGAAATTTAGGTTATAAGTTAATGAAAGTCGATATATTGGATATGTCTAAATAAACCGATAGAATATTACACAGAGAGAGCAAAAACATTACTTATTTCAATTTGTTATAAAAATGCCTAAATCTTTGTTATTTTAAATTCAACCCTATGTTTATTATTTAAATATCAAAAGACTAATTAAAATACTTTTCAACTATACAGGGTGTCCCAATAACACGCCCATGAGGTATTTTTGCAAAAAAAAAATTTTGAAAATTTGGAATTTTTTGAAAAAAAATTTGGAATTTTTTTTAATTTTAACTTAAAAAACATAATTTCTTGATAATATGGCAACATAGGTAGTAGCTTAAATTTACATGAAAGAAAATCCAGAAAAGATCCAGTGGTTCTCAAAATTTTAGCAAAAAATGATTTTTTTTGGAAATTTTCCAAATAAAATAACTCGGTTATTTTGGACTTATTTGAAAAACGGTAAATAGAAAAAATGTTTCTTTTGACCAGATCTACCACCCCTTAAAATATTTGTACTTATTTCTAGGACACCCTGTATATCTTATTCCTATACCTAAATCTTCCAGTTTCTTAATTAGAGCTATTTAAATATTAATAATTCTATTGTTATAGTTTCATTTCAAGAATTCCGTTACCATGACAATTTTAGAAATTTGGCAAGTAAAGTCTAATTATTGATACTTATAGTTTGGATATTTGTCATGGTAACGATTTTTTTTACACGAAACAAACAGAATTATTATCTTAAAGTGTTTTATTGAAGAAACCAGAAGGTTTAAGTATAGAACATGATACATCGTTTTTCAATTTTTTTTACAAACCAAACCAAACCAAACCCTGTTTGATATCCAATTGGTTGATTTAGATAGATCGGAGATATGTCGACTTTTCTTAACCTATAAACCAAATTTTAGCTTTCAATATGCCAAATTTTTGATTTAACCAATGCGTTCAAGATCATGGTTTTGACAATTTTACACGTTTTATATTTTATCTTGAAAACTATTAGAGATTGGTATAGGTTAATATAATAGAAAAATTACGAGATGTGAAAGTAGTTTCGAATATACAGGATGTTCCATTTAAAATAACAAAGATGCTAAGACTTTTAGTATAAAGCGGCAACACTGTAACGCTGAAAATAATTTAGACAGATGGAGCAGGCGACTTTATGTAGAAATCCAAATAACCGTTTCTCGATAAACGTCTAACGAACTATGACCGTGAATCACCCTGTACAGAGTGTTTGAAAAATGCACTGCCAAATTTCGGGGTGTGACTCTTCATGAAAAAAATAAGGAAAACAATTCGTATAAAAATAGGTCAAGAGATGCATAGTTTTAAGTTGTTTTTTAAGTTAACTTTAATTTAATCAGGTATAAATACGCTATTATTACTAAAAATAACATTGACAAATTTCCAGAAAATCAACTACAGGGTATTTAAGATAATTACAAAAAAAAACTATATTTTTTAAAAAAGTTTCTTTTATTCATCCTGTATCTTTAAAACTACACTGTTCTGTATCCATGTTTATAAGAACCAATTCTCATATTTTTTAACAAGGAATCAAACCCCGAAATTTGGCCACGCATTTCCCCAACACTCTGTATAACCCTAATCATTTTCTTCTAAATATAAATATGTCTTATGATTATAGAATCGAACACAGACTATTTCGAAAAAATAATTTACTGCTTTCCAAATAAATTTTGACTTTTATATCTGAAAAAATATCAACAAATCAAGATAAATATAACAAACTAAAGACTAAACGAAATAAATTTAAAAAAGAACTATTATTACTAAGTATAAATTACATTGGTATAATCTAAAATACATTTCTAGTATGTTCACAGTGTTTTTCTTTCTTTATATTTTGCTTAAGAGTCAGTATTGCATAAACTATGCGCTGATTCTCAACAAAATATCACAGTCAGTCCATTTTCTAGTTACAAATCCAGCCATAAATTAATAGACAACTAGTTCGGACTAAAAACTTATGTTCTGTCCTTTGTAAAACAGATAAGACCGTAAAAATAAAACTATGCAGTTTTTTTTATCCAATTGCATCCTTTTTATCTAATCTACATCTTTACAGTCATTTTCGTCACTCGTTTAGCGCAGAATGTGCTTTTAAAATACTTTGTTGCCCTGTATAGTTACAAAATCAAGTTTAAAACCGAAACTCTACTCGTTAACTCAGTCTATCGATTTTAAAATGTCTTTTCCTCAACTTTTTCTGCGTCAGATGAGAGTGCTTCTATAAGAGCTTCCATACAGTTCTTAGGAATAACCGTACCTAAATAGAAGAAAAAATAAAAATTATTTGTGTTCCTACGGAGCGACCAACAATGGTTGAAACGGTTGGCGATATACTCTGTTTTATTACTCAGGTAAGATTTCGACAGACGATGACAGAAAAAAAAAGCAATTGACGTCCATACCAATCCATTTATTTCACTAAAAAAGTTTCTAGTATTTTTAAATTAATTATGGATGAGTTTATACAGGGTGGTCCGAACTGTATTCCGGAAACTTTGGCAGCGTATTCTGCAGATAAAAATAAGTAAAAAAGTTCGTATAAATGTATGTCCTAAATTGTTTAGTTTCGGAGATACAGGGTGTAGAAATTTCATTTTTATTTCAATTTTTTCTAAATAATTTCTGACGTAACGTTAATTTACGTAAAAAATGTCTTTTGGTAAAAATACCTTGGAGCAACCGTTCTCATGATATTTAGAATGGAAGTAGTCAATGCATGCCATTATTGACAAAAAATAAACATGTTGAGTAGATAGTTATTTGACTGAAATGATAAATTTGGCAACTTTTTATTTTTTAAAATTAATCATAACTTTTTTTCGAAAAATGATGATAAAACAATTATTTATGTTGAACTTTTAACACAAAATCATTTCAAATTTATGACTTCAGTCTAACTATTTAATCAACATGTTTATAATTTATGTCAGGTAACAGGTATTGATAATTTCGATTCCAAATATCTGGAGAACCATTACTCGTAGCGATTTTTACTAGTAGTGGGAACTATCGAATGAATACTATCGAAACATTCGATAGTTGCAATTCATTCGAATAATTCGATAGCTAGTAAAAAACATTCGTTGAAAACTATTCGAATAAAAATTTATGATGCGTCATCTGCCTTGAAATATTGTATTCTAGTAATTCGGCAGCAAAAACCATTCATTTAGAAAATTCATTCATTTATGAAATTCATTTATTCGTCAGGATCGATTATAATAAAATATTAACTGGATTTTAGTTGTCGCCAGGCGACGTAGGTTTCTTTCCGAGAAACCCGACAGCGGTCGGTGGCAATGCTATGAAAGAAGCCGGCATCTTTGATTTTTTGCGGAGTCATAAAGATAAGGACACATTTTTTTTATTGAGGTGCTAGTATTTACACAGAAAATACATTATGAAGGGCGCTGTTGCCATATATTGGTATTAGTTGATATTAGCAAAGAATATTATTGTTTGTCTTTAGTTAGTTAGGGATAGTATGTCTATATATTTTGCATTTTTTTTTATTAATATTCTGTTGTTACACTGCAATAATACTTGTTATTTTGGATGTAGGAAAATGATTTTTAATGTTTTTAAGCAAAGACTGGTTTAATAAAAATAATAATAACAGTAATAATTTGTTATACCTATTAACAACAAAATTTAAAATAATTTAATATAAACATTTTTTTACGTAGTAGCAAAATATAAACAACATATTAGATGTCAAAATTATTTATATTAGATCCTATTTAAAAATAATATAGTCTTTAAATTTTTTGGCAACGTTGGTTTATTAAATAATAATAATTACAGAACTAATTTGTTATATTAACAACAAACTTTAAAATCATGAAATATAAACATTTATTAATTTTCTAAGCATGCAGTGTAATGGAAGGAAAATATAAATAAAAATTAGAAATCAAAATTATTTATATTAGGTACTTTATATTACTATTTAAAAATAATATTTACTTTTACTGGCATTTACTTTAAAAAATAAATGAAATATTTCTTCGCAAAAAACTACATGTAAGAGAATTAGCATAAACAAAATACAAACATCGTTAACTTTTTTTTAAATTGGCACGTATAAAACTTTCAATTTAATTTTCTCACCCCATAGTTTGAGTTCGATAACCCCATTTACTTAACCACATTACTTAAATATGATTATTAAGTTCGACTAATTCATATTATTAAAACATCTAAAATACAAATATGTATTTTTAAAATTAATTTTAAGTTCATCTCATCTCTCTTAAAAATTGCTACTTCTCAAAATTTCCCATTAAAAAATAGACCATATATACCATATAAAATAAAATAATTGAAAGATCGGGCTACGGAAAAACACACAAATTTTCGGAAAAATTTTGACACCTGCACACGCACCCAATCGTCAATTAAAAAAAACTTCTATTTTAGTATTTTAAATATTTTAATAAACGCAAAAATAGCACAGTATTTATAAGGTGAAGTTATAAAAATTTGGAAGAACTAATAATGCACTGACGCACACAAAAATCAAACGAATACTAAATTTCATTTATCAAAAGCATTCGATAGTCGTGGCTCAACGATAACCATTTAGTTGCACGGCGAGGTTGTCACATATGTTTTAGTATACAAATGAATGAATGATTTTATTCGAATAAAACCATTCGATAGTTGAAATCATTCATTCAGTAACCATTCGATAGTCTAATTCATTCGATAGTTCCCATCGCTAATTTTTACCAAGAGACCTTTGCATAAAAAACGTAGCAAATGTATATTTTTTTACTAAGTAGTTTTATACAGGTGCGGACGAAAAGTTATTACTCTTCAAACCAGTAAAATAAGTAGGTGGCGCCCTCTACAGGTAGGAGTCATATTGATATTAAAATCAAATTTCTCATGTCAAAATATTGACGTTACTTCAAAAATTATTTGGGAAAAAATAGAAATAAAAATGAAATGTATATCTAATGACTACTTACTAATGACTAGAACTACACCCTGTATCCTGTATCTCCAAAACTAAGCATTGTAGAACATACATTTATACAAATATTTTTTATTATTGTTATCAATAGAATATACGGCCGAAGTTTCTCGAATACAATTCGGACTACCCTGTATATGCTAGCTGTTACACAGGGTAAGTCTTAAATAAGAGCAAATATTTTTAGGGGTAGTATATTTCGACCCCAGAAACACGATTATGAGGTTTTTAGAGCAAAAAAAAATTGGAAAATTTGGAATTTTTGAATTTTTTTTATAAATCTTTTTAGTTTTTAGTTAAAACATATAATTTGTTGATAATATGGCAACATATGTTGTAGAATTAATTTACAAGGCAGAAAATCCAGAAAAGAACCAGTGGTTCTCAAAATTTTAGCAAAAAATCATTTTTTTTATTTTCCACCAAATTTTCAACCAAGATATTTAAATAAAAGTCTACCGTTTGTGTCCGGGAAGGGTTCATAGTTTCATAGTTGTCGATTTTCGAAAGAAATCAGTATATGTATATTATTTCGTATATTTATAATTTTATTGATTTTATGGAAAGCACTGTTCATTAAAATGTTGTATCCTATGTTATAGGGCTTGTTTCTCTCTACAATTTCCTGTCTCACAATGTACCATTTGTGTCGGGGAAGGGTTCATAGTTTCATAGTTGTCGATTTTCGAAAGAAATCAGTACATGTATATTATTTCGTATATTTTTCATTTTATTGATTGTATGGAAAGCACTGTTCATTAAAATGTTGTATCTTATGTTATAGGGCCTTGTTTCTCTCTACAATTTCCTGTCTCACAAATTACCGTTTGTGTCGGGGAAGGGATCATAGTCTAAAATATAAATTTTAGATTTATTTGAAAATCGGTAAAGAGAAAATATGGTTCTTTTATCGAGATCTACCAGCCCTGAAAATATCTGCACTTATTTAAGACTCACCCTGTATATAAATAACAGTAACAGTTTCAACTGTTATTTAAAAACAACGGTTTTTTCCCGCCACCTAGTTTGTATTAACACAAACCCTAATTTTCCTAAATAAAATAACTTGATATAGATTTTTTCAGTTTTATACATTTTTTTTTCATAATATTTTGAAGTAACTACTATTAGTAACCAACTATTTCAATAATTGTTGAGGAGCATAGGTATAGAGAAATCAATAAAAGTTGGCATACACGTCATCAAAGACATCGAAACTATTACCAAATTAAATTTCTAACAAATAAAAAATCGTTTGAAACTTGTCACAAACACTTGTCAAAAATAAAAGAAGTAACCGTGGCAACATTGCGACCTGCACTCATCAACTGTTTTGATGACGCGCCAAGCCAAATTTTATTTAGTTCTCTGTAGTATAGGTACAAAATAACTTACCCACTACTTTCAAATCCTCCAAGGTTCGCAATCGGATGACCTGCATCTTATTTTGGGCACCGCCTTTAGCAGCTAAGACACCTTCCACACGACTCCACACAGACAAAACGCTACCGCTTACCACATGGTACGTTCTTCGTCGCAAACCTGTAAAAAATCAGATCAAAACATTAGTAATTTATTAGTTCATACAAGACTTTTATTGTCTAGGATATGTAGACATTGTAATTGTAGTCAGGCGTAAGTTTGTTGGGATATCAAGAAGAATGACAGCCCCAAACAACTGGTGTAAACAAGAGAGAGAGACGTATACTAAGGGCTGGCAAAGATTAGTCTTGGGTCGAGATTTCCGTGTGTAAGAACAGTACAAAGCGTTTATTAATGTACTGAACAAAGAGAGAACAGTAAAAACGTTACAAAACATATGAAATAAACCGAGAAACTGTGCACATTGCTAAGAGACGTGGAAGGGGATATAGCAGATTCGTGGCGATCGACCCAATCAGTACTTAAAATTCTCGGGAAGAGTGTACATCATGCGTTCAGCTTCACGATTTATTACGTCCCGTGGTACTTTATTTGTTTATTTATTAACGAGTCGTTGTAATTTTCCCTAGAGCTTGTAAATTTTTAAGTGCAAATTAGAAACACTTGCGCTTTTGGTAAAAATAAGTGGAATTTAGTTGGTGTTCGACAGTGGTCGCGCTATTAGAACTCTGATTTCAAAAATCGATACCTCGAAATCTATTAGAAATAATTGATTGTAGTTTTTTTCAAAACCTTTCTTAATATTTCTGCTATATTTTCTTTGCAGACAGTATGTCAATCTTTATAAATAAAAAAGTTACACGATTGCTAAAAAATGCAATGCACTAAAAGTAAATGAATGTTTTTTTTTAATTTTTTAATAGAAAAAAAGCAAGCCTATCGAATTTATCTTATTTAAACATCTTGTAAAAGTTCCGAACTTCAAAATAAAAAAGTTTCAATATCTAAAGTGGTTCTTAAGTTATCGCGTGTTATGTGTTAAAAAGTTGAGTTTTTAAATTATCGCGATTACTGACAGTTTCTCGTTATAAAAAAATGGACACCCTAACGATATCCTTATAATTCCATTTCAGATGCTCAGAAACATATCTAAAGATTTTATCTAGTTATTTTTTCGAAAAAAAGTCTTTTAAAAATAATCGTTTTGCAATCGTAATTTTACTTTACTTGATAGGGAAAGGCGTGCCGGAGAAATGTGGCAACGTCGCAACAGCACACACCGTCGCATTTCTCTCACTCCGACTTAATAAGAGCCCTATGCGCTTTACTTCCACACATGTAAATACCGACCCAAAAGTAACAGTTACCAGCACGGTATATATTATACATACCGACTTCACAGTCTTGACCGCTACTAGCATTTCGACAGTTCCCGCGCCAGTAAGCGTGTGAACAAGTATTCACCGACGAATCATACTGTTCAGTCCAGGATTTTTCGGCATCCGCAGATTCAACCTTTTTGTATTTCTTCTCCAACTCGGCCAAACTTTCCTGCCTAAACTGTAGACCTGTATTCGGCCGATAGACCGAATACATTTGCTCTTTCTTGCTCTCGGACTTTTTCTTGGTACTCCCTGTTGTGCCACCGTCTACGGCAACAGCTAAAATCGCCGTGTGTTTGGCGTTTCTTGCCTAAAATTGAAAGTTATATTGAGTCAACAGGTATTGTGTGTTGAGAGATTGTTCAAATCCCCTTTGAATAAAAAGATCAAGGAAGGAGCATATCAAAAAACTTAGGTCAAGCGTGACGGGGACCAAAAATGGCCGACTTAAATTCCGGTTTATCAGTGTCGTTTTGATTTTATTCAAAACGTGTAAAAATATGATGTAGGGTAGACTCAATAATTTGTTGTTTTATTTTACGTGTCAACAGAAAATGTTGGTAGTTATTAAAATTATTATAAAAATATATAATTCTAATTAATAAATAACAAAAACCTGTTATTTTGTTAAAACCATCAGTAAATTGAGAAGAAAAAAAACTGTTCTAAGGCGTGGGGCTCTTAAAATGTTGACTCATAAGTTTTTATTGGACGATAAAAGCAATATATGCGAGCATTGCTGCAACTGCAGTTTCTAAAAAATTAGTCAAGTGCGAGTCGGACTCGCGCACGTAGGGTTCGGTACCATTCATTATCTATAAAACATTAGACACTATATTATTATAAACTTTTTTTCCGATTTAGCTGAAATTTTGAATGCGCGTATAAGTAATTTAAAAAAAATGAAGAAACGCATTACTAAAAATTGTATTAATCGATAATAAATATGTAAAAAGTAAAAATAAATATGTAAAAATATGTAAAAATTAAAAAAAAAAAGATTAAAAAAAAGTCGCCTTGACTAGGATTCGAACCTGCCTTACTACGGCTCCAACGTCATAGCAGCGTAAAGTCCTAACGCCTTAACCACGCGGCCACCGAGGAGTCGAAAGATTCTATGTAAAATTCTTACTTAAAAGATAATGTTTAGTGAAAGTACTTTTTATTCATAAACATTTATTTAATTCTGTTTTTAGTATTTGTTCTTATAGCGGCAACATAGATACATTATCTGTAAAAATTTCAACTGTCTAGCTATAACGGTTCATAAGATAGACCTTTGTGACAGACGGACGGACGGACAGCGAAGTCTTAGTAATAGGGTTCCCGTTTTTACCCTTTGGGTAGGGAACCCTAATAAAAATAGATAAGTTATAATAATTATTTATTAACACAAACATCCGATACGCTATTAAAGCAAGTAACTCAAATTGACGTATCTAAATTCTTTGCATCTAATCTTTGACAAGTACTAAATAAAAGAAAAAATGCACGAAAAAATAGATGATTAGTTAATTTTAGTGAATTTCATAAACAATTGCAAAGGGAATTGTAAACCAAATGATTGGTTTGGTTTGTATATTGTTATATGTATATTACACGTATATTATATAGTCACTTACTAGTGAAAGTTATTCCATTATTTCCCTCGATTTTTGACCAAGATCTACCGTACGCTAACCAACCACCTGTTTCAAAAGTCTTTTTTTTTTCTCTCCACCTGTTAATTTAAGTTCTGCCACAATTTCTTTCTATATTTACTACCTCTAAACAACTACCAGTTGTAGAATAAATTAATAACAAATAACATAGAATAAACTCAATAAAGACTTGACAAATCCACAAAATTTCAAATCAAATTTAAATTAATGTGTAAAATGAATCGTCAAACAGAACAGTCAAGGATCCCCACCCTAGGGCCCCATGTCCTTCTACCATGCACGAATACATGGATCATTATATACCTTTTTAATCTTTTTATTCAAAGAAACAGACAAAAAAAACGAATAAATTTTTGCATAATATTTTTACCTGATGGGAAACCCAGAAGCCTTCGTATTCTCCCGTCAGATCTGACAATTTGTCTAGTGCCTCCGGCCAAGACATGCCTCTTTCTACGTGCACCGTGTGCAGTTCTGTGGGTGCAGTGCCTGTGGCATGTTTCCTAAGGAATGTCACTACTTTCACGCGTTTCACTACTTCACCGCCGGTGCCCAGATCCAATATTCCTACATAGAGTATATAAAAATTATGTTATCTAACAAAATGAGATATATAAATCAATGCAAGTTGGCGCACGTCATTAAGTCAATTAATAAAAATTAGTTTTCTTATAACCTTTATATCATGGTTAAAAAAAAACAGTGTACTATGTGCGCATATTGAGTGAAACTTCTTACTAACAGCTATTGAATTGAAGGATTTTTTTTAAATTTTTATTAAACATTTCATAGAAATTAAGATAGCGACACAACTTTATAGGCAAATGTTAGCGTTATTCGAGGCACCATTAAAGAAAGCAATATACACTTAGCCCCAGAGATGTTACAGCTTAGTTATTTTGCTATACAAGAGAAAAACGAGAGCAGCCCACGCGTAATTGCATTTTTCTCTGTTAGAAAAATATGTTATCGATATATTAAAAGAAAGCCCCTTGCTAGTTCCGTGACAGAATGACCCGTGGCCCGTGGCTAACGTCATGTTGGTAATGAATGACCTAAATCAAGAATAGTGTTTTTTTTAATCCTGGATGTTAAAAAATTATTGAAATCCTTGGAAACTGGGTATACCCATTACTATTCTTGATATAAAAAGTGCATTTTTGATTATTTACTTGGGCTAGGATATTAAAATATTGGTTAAAATATGATTGGATTGTATGACATAAATAGACGTAAGTATGGTTATTTGTTTAGATATTATTTATAAAGCTTACTATCTGTTTTGCATTTTCAGTTTTTGATGAGACAATTGATTTTATTTGTGAAATGCCCACAAAAGATCTACCAATGATTCAACAATAGTGTCTTTACTGCATAATGGGTCATTCCTGCTGCATTTTTAGACCATTTGAAAACCAGATGTCACATTTTCATAGAAATTAAGATAGCGACGCTACTTTATAGGCAAATGTTAACGGTATTTGAATCAATTTAGTGTTCTTACCTATTATCGTTCAAATCGATGTTAACAGATAATAAATATTTTGCATTTTTATCTTTTATTTTTAAATATATTTTTGGAACTGATGGTTTTAGTAATTATTAAATTAAACGAACTAAAAAACAACTCTCAACCATAACCTGTGCCATAACCCTATAAAATAATCAATACAAGGCATATCTCCTGTCAACGATTACTTATCTGATCTGATGCTTCGCATGACCTTCGCGTCATGACAAGGTCATGCCGTCCCGCAGCGGTCAATCAAGGCCGACTCGCGGCCTTCAATTTTTACTCCTAACGCGCGGAAAGAAGTTCCACTTCAAAAAGACAGAGCGGTATCACATCAAGTAAAAGAATTGGGCTGTAAAAAAGGTGGCTGACCAGCGCTCCACAGTGCGGCGGATGGTTATTCTAGCGGGACAAAATCTCAAGAGCAATGTTTGGGACTTAAAATCTAAGAACGTAGCAAATGGTCTAATATATAGCAACTATATGGTTAAATTTATTTATTTATTAACAACTTAATTTATTAATAAATAAATACAAGATAATAAAACTATGATATTATTCGTACATGACACACAAAAACCGTATTGTAAACTATGTCCAAATACATAAAATTATGATATCAAAAAACTCTTTAGCAGTTTTTTTTTTAATTAATTTGTAATCTTGTGACACCCTCTATAATTTATTTTAAAAAAAATATATTTTATTTTGTAAATGATAAATAAGATAGATATTTTAATTTTAATTTTAACACTCGGTAATTGTAAATTCATATATAGTAAGTATCTAAGACAATTTTTTAAACTCAGTGCCTTTTGATGGAGTTGTTTTGTTTTTATACTATCCGATTGAAACTTTAGATTGGAATGAATCTTTTTGGGCATTCACCTGTTAAGCTTGAACTCCCTGTGACTGTGACTACCTGTGTTGGTAACTATTGGTAACTCAAAAGATCTACATCATTCAATATATCGATATTTGAAAAAAAAGTGAAAGTTTGATATCTGCAGAACAAAGGCACAAAGGATTTTAACAAATAATATATACATACAGTAGAAAAGTACATACCTTTGGCAATCTTCAACATAATTTGGCTTTCTAATAAAATGTATAAGCACTTGTAAATATTTTGTTTTAGTATAATCTCTGCCTTGCTGAGCAGAAAACGACCAAATTTGGTTGATAAAAATGTATCGAAATACAAAGAATATTCATGCATTTTTGTATCAATTGGAATGTCTACTATTTATTCTTATCAGTACACATTTTTGGCTTATTTCTAACCAAACGCTTTTGTCCCGCTAAATTTATCTTCCAACGCACTGTGCGCTCGTCCGTCAAATGCAAAAATAACTGTCACTGTCTAAAATCTTTAGCGCCAACTTCAACTCGGTCAGTAGGTGACGTAAAAAAACTGACAGTGCAGGAAGATAGGAATCGAACTATCCTTATCTCTATAGTATCCTTGAGCCGTTGCAACATTGCGACATGCATCTGTCAAATATTTTTATGACGTGCAAGCCAACCAAACTTGTACCGACTTTCCCTATAGTTACCTAGATCAAATCTGCCTGATCTCTTTGCTTGCGTTATAATGGCGGCTAAAGTGTCGGTAAAATATCTGAAAATTGAAACAATGGAATAGAAAAAAGGTTTAATTTAAGAGAGTGATAGAAATACTTACTTAAACAGCCTGTTCTGTAACTCGACAGGCATACCTAAGATACGGTTAAGGAACTTTGACATATTATTATAATCTTTATCTAATGACAAGACACCTGGCATACTCTCACTATTTACTATCAGACCGACACCAACCTAAAAATTATAAAAAATATATATTAAATTATATAAGCAATAATACTCCTATAGGACTAGTAAAGACTTTAAGCATCTGACCAGAGAGTGCTATGGCAACAACATGCAGAATGCTGGAAACAAGGATCAAAATCAAGTCTTACACGTTTTGAACGTGTAAGACTTGTAATGGAAAATCAGATATATTAAAAAGAGATAAATAAGTAAAAAATAACAGAGTTATTTTACTTTGAAAATTTCCAAAAAAAAAAAATATTTTTGCTAAAATTTTCGAATTTTCAAATTTTTTTTTCGCGAAAAAACCTCATAGGCGTGTTTCTGGGGTTGAACTATAGTACCAGTTAAAATACTTGAACTTATTTCTGCGACACCTTGTATAGTGGTGAAAGTAGTGTTGTAAATGGAAATATTGGAAACTTCCAAACGTGTCTCGGAAATATTGGGAATATTGGAAATATTTTTAAAAATACTTAAATCTTGTCATTAACGATTCAAACCCGATGTTTATTAATATATCTTTCATATTTTGTAACCCTATAAACATTAAATTTACTATAGAGCAGTTTTACAAACATATAATATGGTGAATATATCGAGTTTCAGGATTCACCAACTTATTTGCAACCTCGCATTTCTACGGGAAAGTCCCGAGCTCGTAAGTCGTAGCGTAGTAAAAACTCGCTGGTCTTCAATTTTGACCAATTTAAAAAGTGTATACAATACTAGGCTCAAATTACAAGGAGTTTCAGTTAGTCAAGGAGCAACACAAATGATTGATAAAAATGTTAAGCAGTGGATATTAGATGACGAAGTATTTTGGGCCCAAATTTCCAACGTAATTAACATTTTTGAACCTATTGGCAAATGGTTAAAAATTGTAGAAGGAGATTATAGCACTATTCATTTTGCTGTAAAAGCATTTTGTGATATTAGAAGGGTAATTTAGAATAATCTTGCATGGTCCTCACTTGACGACAAAGAAAAATCCGAATTGTTGGAGTTTGTGGACAAAAGAGAAAAATTTGTTATTAAATCCATTCATTATGCTGCAGAATTACTAAATCCAAAATCACAAGGTTCTAAACTTGATGAAACCCAAATTCTTTCTGCCATAGAATGCATACTTAATATATCAAAAAATAAACTCAATATAAAGGAGCAAGAAATAATAGATGAAATAGCAGATTACCGTTGTAGAAGTGGCAAGTTATTTGGAAATAACTTCATATGGAAAAGTAGTTTTGATAGCCCAGTCTCCCGGTGGAAAGGACTGTGTTCTTCATCTTCATTATCACAAGTAGCTTCACGAATGTTGATGATGCCAGCATCTTCGGCTGCCACGGAACGCAGTTTCAGCATTTATAGTCATATTCATTCAAAAAAGAGAAACAGGCTTACTAATGATAGAGCCGCTAAGCTACTCTATGTATCCCACAATGAAAACTTGCTGAAGAAAATAAGAAACGGCAATAGATCAATTTTTATTTCCGATACTATTGAAGATTTTGAGGAAGTAGACTGGCAAGAAGTTGTTATTGAGTGTGATGCTGATGACAGCGATAAAGATATGCCTCTTGGTCGACTAGTGTGTCAAAAATATATTTTTTTGTACAAATTTAACCTTAATTTATTTTTTAATTTGAAGAATAACTCTTTATTTGTGTTTATGTATAAGCATTTTGTGTTTTGCGATGTTTTGTTATGAGTTTTATAAATAAATATTTCAGTTTTTCTTATTTTTTTAAATATTTCATATATTTCCAATATTTCAGGAAATATTTCGGAAAATTATTTCTGGAAATTTTACATCACTAGGTGAAAGATATCAAAATGTCACAGATAAAAATATATTTCCGTTTTTTACACGTAGTATACTTACTAGAGCCCCGGCCACATCCTTGAAGAAGTCTCCTTTATAATCTCTAGGTGGAGCCACTACAGGAGCTTCATAACTAAAATTAAAAAAATAAAAATAAAAAAATATCAGTATAGTTAAAATGGCGACAACATTTAGATAAAAACTGGTTATCGAATGCCCGATTTGATGACACAAAACACAAAATTCTTTTTATTCCACAAAAATATTAAGTCTTTACCCCATTACGGCCTTCATTGTTGCTTCTAAAGCCGTCCTACCATACTTATTATCAATATTAAACTGACTCAGATCTCTGGTTTCCGTCGCACGTCTGTCACCGTGAGTTAAAGCTCCCAAACTTTCTAACCTAAAAAAATCAAAAAACCTTAATAGTATACGAAAAATTCAAATAGTAAATGTAATATACCTTTTTGCTACAATAGAAGCAAACCGCCTTTCACCAGCCAAGTCGGATATAAGAAAGATATACTCGGGAGCATTGACTTGGTTACTTCGATGCGTTCTACCAAACTGTTGAATAGCTCTGTCGGCCGACCAGGGTAGCTCCAGAGTTATGTGTACCCTTCTCCTTTGGTTTTTAACTCGTCGATCGCTAGAGTTTATGAATATTTAGTAAGTAAAAAAAATTAACCATAAAGGTCGAGACACACAATGTGTTGACGTGTGAAATATATATATCCATAGTCCACAGTGCCTGAGGATATGTATATCTAGACATTTAATCAATTATTACAAACCTTTGTAAAGAAATACCACTTGAGGCAGCTTCAGATATAATGGCAACGTCTTTTTCTCCATCCATGAACCTTTGTTTTTCCGTTAAATTTAGCGTTTCCAATGGCACATCGATCTCTGATCGACTCTCATATTGAATACCGCCATCTTCTGTTTGTACTACCCTACCTTTTCTGCCTAAAATTTATTCAAATAATTTATCAGTCATATAACAATATAAGATTTTTGCTACAGAAAGTTCATTGACAATACATATAGAACGTTCAGCCATTGTTCAACGTCACGTCATATACTGTCGAACTCATCAATCACTTGCCAACCAGATAAAAGAGATTGGTGATGTCATTACGGCATTTCGTAAATTACTGCATATTCTTTTTAGTAATTGTCAATGTCATTTGATTTGGGGTTATAATTTTATTGACGGATATCGATCAATGTCAAAATTAATATTTGATTGTCGCTGTAAAACAAAATTCAATTTTTTTGTTGCAAAAATGCCTCAAAGATTTAACCAAAACGAACAAGAGCTCATTGCTAAGCTTATAAATTACTTTTCTCGAGAAAGATACACTGGTAGAACACTCCTGGGCCCGTGAACGCCGTATATGAAGTAAGTACAATGTAAAGGTGTAATATTCCTATGTAAAATACAAATTTATAGCGTTTTTAAATAATATAGAGAGTTGCTGATGCTTTAGAACATAGGAATTTCAACAGTCCAAAGGATTGGAAATAAAAGGATCGTACTTGGTGAAGAGTTCAACAAAAAATGAATCAATGCCGAAAAAAAAACCGAACTCGCTCAATCAATAATATAGGAACGTGCCTAAAATGTTCTAAAAAATATGAACTGATCTCAGACACACCCTAAAAATCATATTTGACAAATAATGATAACCTAACGGTGAACGATGGCTGAACAATCCTTAGGAACAATCAAATATTTCAACGTGTTTCAGCTGCGCGCAATATCAATTAACAGACTGTGAGCAGAATTTCACAAAAAGTAAAAACTAATGTTAACCAATTAGAACGTTACATTTTTAAGTTTTCACTCAGAAATCTTAACTACATTTTATTAGAATTTGTCTGTATAATAATCATACATAGACAAAATAATAATGTCCGTATAAAAAAACATTTGTATATGTATTAAGTCTAAAATCACTGACAAATATACAAATTTTATTTGACACTCAAAAGTTAAAGTAAAAAAAGTAGTCGTGGCAACGCTGCGTCAAATGTTTCGATGACACGCAGGCCAACTTTTATTGATTTTCCTCTATGTACCAACCTGTCATTTCGGCAACATTTTCAGGACCGCCGAGTTCGTCTATAAGTTGATCCAAAGTGTTTGGGGGCAGTTTGTCCCCTAATTTTTCGATAGCTACCAATAGTTCCTCTTTCATACAACAGGCCCTTTCAATAGCGTCCATGGGGGGAGCTGATGACTTGAAATCGCCCGATCCGCCATTAGCTTTTGCTAAAAAAAACGCAGGTAAAAATATACCGGGTGTTTCTCAACAGTGGCTCACCCCCTATAACTTTTTTATTTTTCAGATAAAAGAACGAGATTTGGTATGTTAGAATATGATATAAATTAGGATTGATTGACGTATTCAATTCTCGGTATTTTTTTACTTTATTCGATAGAAAATGACACTCTGAATAGAATGACATATCATATGTCAACTTTTGACATTTTCGTATTTGGTTTATTTGAAATTGTAACATGCAGTTCATAACGACAATTTGACTCGCAATACCAAGTGTGTGGTACCAAAATATTCGTAAAAAATGCTTTTTCCAACTATGCCAATGAGCCACCCTCGTTCATTTGAAAAAACTGAGTTATGATTAAAAACACGATCTACCCGACTAAGACAAGACACGAAAATATTAGAGAAGATCAAATCTATTTTTCCAAGGCTCCTTGATTAAAAATTAGCGTTTTTAAAACAGCCGCGGCATTCTAGATTGAAATTTAAAATACGATTTTTTAAGCAAAGATTTACAAAGTTAACATATTGTGAAGGTACGCGGCGACATCTGTTGGCAGAGCATAAAACCACTATGCCTGTTTACATTGTCGAGAAACCTGGCGAATTGAGTAGAGCGCCATCTCTGAAACTTACGTGGAAAATCTCGATGTTCTGGAAAGAATTTAAGTAAGAAGAATACTACAGATAATTTCCAAACGTTCTAGAAGCAGCCCATAGGATATATAAAGCACACCCGCGCTCGGCAGCGACTCAGTTTGTGGATTGTGCTCCGTAATAGCAAATTGTGAACTATTTGGCGAAGGTGCTAGAAAATTGAGTAATAGTTGCATAGTTGTATAAAAGGTGTATATAGTGGGAAAATAAATTCATCTAGTATTTTATCGTGAGTCTAAATTAGTGGACTCACGGAATCCATAACAACATTATATATCATTCTATTCAGAGTGTCATTTTCAATCGAATAAAGCAAAAAAATACCGTGGGTGCCATTTAAAAATCACAATTTGTAGTCATTTCCGGTTAAACAGGAAGTGACCAAAAACAATTGAAACCACCCATCAATCCTAATTCATGTCACTAACACACCAAATCTCGTTTTCTTGTCTGAAAAAATAAATATTTTTTCTTAACTCTTGCAACTTACCTTTATTGGTCTTCTCTGTTAGCATAAGAGATAGTTTGTCTTGCGTAGACTGTCGTTTTTTTGGTGATTTCTTTTGTTTCTTCCCTTTTTTCTTATTCCTGCTCCAAGGATCATTATCTGAGTCACTAAAATTTCAAACCAAGTTAAATTAGAAATATGTTTTGTGAACAAAAATCTCCAAAATATATTACCTGTCAGAATTAAAAGGATTAAAGTCACTGGACATGTTTGAGTCGCTGTGTTCCTCTGATATTTCGCTTTCATTATCAGACATTTGAAAATCTGAGTCGCTTTTCTCGCTGTTGTCACTGTCTGAAGTCGACCACTTGTTTCTTTTTACCGCTCTGGCTGCAGCTTGTCTCACTAAAAAAGTAATACAAATGAATAAAACAAAGCCAATTGACAAAAAAACTGTTATAAAAAATAATACAACACTGTTGTAAGAAAAATATTAAACTAAAATTTAAATTCATACTTGGTTTTCTTTTTTGGGCAGAACTGCTTTCTTCAGAATTGCCATTGAGGGATTTCTTTGAAGAATCTCCTATACCTAACAGTTTCTGGATTCTATTCCTGTCCGGAGCCGGAAAGTGTTTCTCTACTAATGTCTGGAACACTCCTGTAATTTTAAAGTGTTAAATGAAAAATCTACATAGAATAGTACGCTACTATAGTCTATCTCACGAGAGATTATACAACAAACGACAGACGTCAATTAAGGGTTAGACAAAAAACCTTTACGATTTTCATGTCTTAATTAGTTTATGTATTTTTTTATTAAGTTTAGACGTTCTGGTTAAGTTGCATAGTTACAGCAGCTAAACTGCGCCAGACTTACAATTTTCAAATTTCATTTTGTTAATATTCAAATTTATTTTTGGGAAATAGAAGCAATTTTTTTATTATTATTATTAATCCTAGATCATAGATCATAATAACAGGTATCATACCAACCATAAATAGAGTAGGTATGTCATATAAAAATGTTTTGAGTTTTTACTAGAATCGACCCTTGATAAAAAAAAGGGATTAGATTTAAGTTTACCTTTGATCCAGTCTGTATACTGTTTCTTTGGATTTTTTGCACGTGTGCAAAAACTACACTAAAACACTATATCTGATAGAAAATAAAATATTGTGCCTTGAATTTGAGGGATTTCATCTGAAAAATTATTAATTTGGAAGAAAACCGGCAACAAGCGGCAGAAAATAATAATATTTCCGTGCAGTCTTCTGGTCGCAACGACCAACGGACGGCCAGGACGTTAGTGTGCGCTATATCATTTGATTTAATGGTTTTAGAGGTAGCTGCGGCCTGGCCCGTGCGACCTGGTCGTAAGTGTGTTCGAGCCCTTATAATTCCATTTCAAATGCTCAGAAACATATCTAATGATTTTATTTAGTTATCTGTTCAAAAAAAAAAGTCTTTTAAAAATAAGCGGTTTGCGATCGTGATTTTACTTTACTTGATAGGGAAATACCGAAGCATACCGGCAACGCCGCAACAGCACACCGTCGCATTTCTCTCACTCCGACTTAATAAGATCCCTATGCGATTTACTTCCACACTTGTAAATACAGACCCAAAAGTAAGAGTTGCCAGCACAGTATACAATATGATTGAATAAAAATGGCGCCCAGCTGGCTTGGAAATGACGATTGATGATATTCTCCATATAAACTGACAGCGATCTTCATTCCATAGCCATCGCTGACGCCGTTTTTTTTTCGTTTATAATGTACTTAAGGCTAAGATATTAAATATTGTAAATATTATAGATCTTGCAACTTTATCTTTTATGAAAGAGATTGTACCTTTTGCCGTTGATACAAAATCAGTAAGTTCTCCATCATCTCTTTCTAACTGTTCCAACGTTCTAGCTTCTCCGGTACTTTGCAAGCCAATCACCACACATTTGCCCATTTTTATAGCCTCGTGAGCTACTGCGACTGCGTGAGGTACTTTGGCGGCGATACACAAATATTTGAAGAATCTGAATAAAAAAAATAGAAAAGGTGATGACTATAATTTTTGATTTACACATAAAGATAACTTGGCAAAAAAAATCTGATACGATTGATTACCTTTGATGAGCTGACCAAAACTGTCCCCACATTGTTTTTCTCATACGATTTTCAGCATCTACCAGTTCAGCAGCCTCCTGAAACTTTTGCATGGCCTCCACCCATAGCTTCACACTCGCATCATATACTTTTTCAAAATCTTTGGACAGTGGTACCTCTTCAATTTTGAAAGCGACCCCGTGAAAACTTAACTGCCGCGCAATATACATTCCTTTAAAAATAAAGATGATAGTACCGATTGTTACAGCGGTTATGTACCTATTACCTCTAAGCTTCATATCCATGGCAACTATTTCCATAGCTCCAACTCCCCTCTTTTCCACAGCCGATATGAAATCAGCGAATTCTTTAAAAGGAGTTCCCTCGCCCCAGAGACCCAGCCGAACCATGTACGCCATGTTGCGTGGTTCGGAAGCCCCCGTGGCTGAGGCGTAGACAACTCTGGCTTTGGGGAGCTTGTTTTGAAGCTCCAGAACCGTCAAACCTTTAATAAAAAATAAATATGTAGACTATTGTGTAGGTGTAGAAGATATAACAGAAGCTCTATTCCAAAACAAAAGGCACATTACAGCAATCTACAATTTCACATCTTTAAATATAATTTTTTTTATTAATTTCAGAATTGAGAAATACTGTTTTTTCTTGATGAACTTTGACAGATAAAGTGTCATAATAAACTTTTATGCGCTAATACGCTACCGCATTTACGTAAAAAACACGCTTTGCGGTATTGTGACATTTCAAAAACGATATGTCGCCAATTGAGATACTGTCAGTCAAAAAATACAGGGTCCGGCACTAGTGCGTCGGGCATATGTAGGTCTTAGAATAAAAAACTTAGGAATTTTGTTTAGGTGCAAACCTAAAGTATGTACTAGGATGAATGTCAGGAAATATTTTAATTTCAACTGGGTGGTTCAAAAAAAATGAGTGGATCAGGACGGTTTTTTTTAAATTGAACACCCTGTATTTTAATGCATTTTTGGCTTCCTTTCAGATCACTTTACATAATCCTAAGATATGAGTAAATATATTTTGATAGTTTCAGAGATATTAATACATAAAAAAATATTTTTTCAGGGTTTTAAAAAAAATGATTAAAAAAACAAGAACAGTCCTGAAATCAAAACTATATTAAGTATTTACTTGAGATGGTCTGTACTTACTTTGCAGCAAATATCGTGATCTGAAATCATACAGGATGTTCAAAATTCTACGCCAAACTTTCTAAAGTATAATATAATTTTTCATCAACAATTCAAAAATGAACATTTTTATATTTAGAGTATTTCAAAATGTTCAGCGGTTTCGCAGATATTCGCGGTTTTATATTACACATGGCATTTTCCACAGTAAATTTTTATCCAAGCCACCGAATTATTTTTCTCTCGTATTTAATAGAGATTATAGTTTAGAAAAGAACTGTAAAATGCATTTTTAGGGATTTTCTTGGGAGAGGTTATTCTACTTACCAGTTTTAGTAGGTTTTGAAGAACCTACGGGACACAAATTCTTAGCTCGATGACACTCGTCAAAAACAATAAGTCCGTCAAAGTCCTGGCCGCACCATTGCAACAGCTGCTTTAATCGTGACTTGTATTTACCTCCCGCAGAATTACTTTCTCCGATTAGAGCCGAATACGTACTGAAAATCACTCCTTTTTTCACATTATTGTTTGTAGCAGACGAAATTTTAGCATACTGAAAAAAACGCATTGTTAGAATTATCGTAATGTCACAATAGAACACACTGTATAGAGAAATCAATAAAAGTTAGCGTGCACGTGTCTACTCAATTATTTTGAACACGAAAGAGACCATGGTGAGCCCCCTTTGCCGTTAAATTGTGTTAGAGAGGTAAAAATTGATATTGTTGCTTATATTTTGCGGCTTTTATTCAAAATAATTTTTTTACGGACTGTGAGTAGAATCTCACCAAAAATGAAGACTAACGTTAACCTTTTACTCAGAAAACTTGCTAATAACTTTATTTAATTAGAATTTGTTTGTGTAATGATCTTAAGCAAAGTAACAATGTAAATATGAAAAAATATACTATCGATCCCAAATAAACTTTGAGTTACGTCATCGTGGGCGCGATTATTAAATGCATTGTTGCCAACCATGGACATATTCGGCGCCGGAGTGACTAACTGGAATTTAAATTTCCCGCTGGCGCACGGTGGAGTATTAGCATGAAAAAGGTGATCGAAATTCAAAAAAGCAAATGTGTTTAAGATTTCCCAAAAAAAAGATAAATGATAAGTTAAATCATGTTTGCCATGAATGGCGTTGCTATGGGCGTGTTTAGTTGCATTCATTTGTTTAAATGAAACGTCAAAGTTGTTACTTCTCACAGATAAGAGGTATGGTTTGGTTTGGTTTGGTTTGGCTAACAAATAATGGCTAAATTTTATGTTTAAAATTATAAATTGTTGTTGTTCTTGTGTTCCTTTTACGTTTATATTATTGTTTTGATTGAAAATGACTCAGCAAGCTGCAGGTATGTATTCTACAAAAACATATTATTTATTTTGATATTCTCTATACTAACGATTTTTTTTGCAACTAAAAGTTAGGCGTTCAGAAAATTTGATTAAATTTGTGACATTTTTATTATACTTAGAGATTTAGTTGCGCATTTCGAAGAATTCAGCAATTGTCTATATACGTTTTACTTAATAAACATTGGGCTTTCATACAGTAAAATAAAATACTGCGACTTTTTGTGACTTTGCTGATAAAATGAGAAAAACATTCTTGGTTTCCTCTAATTTGCAAATCAGTGATATACTAATGCGAGGTGTAAACCGCGATGGCATTGTTGTGTACAAAGCGATCGCATTAGTGCCATTAGCAGTATAGCACAATTTGGCATTAGTAGCGGCTTTAGTGGTATGGGCATTTGTCGCGGATCAGTCGTAGCATTAGTAGTATTAGTTGCGATATTACTACTGGCATTAGTGGCATTGGCCGTGGAAACACTGGAACAGTGATTTTCTTTCTTTTTTTTTAGAATCGACGAATTATCCTTTATTTTATTCATATTATTTCCTCTTTAATTGAAAATAGCAACAATTTACATAAGGTCTACATAAAAAATTTCGATCAACTATTGGTGTCAAATACCCCACTGTGTGGCGATTCAGGAGGTTCTCTGCTGTAAAAATGTCAACTTGTCATATTTATTTATTTATTTCCTGACATTGTCATTCGTTTTGCCACTTTAGTTTTGTATTACGAGTTTTTGGGTTAAATGAATTGTGTTGTGATGCTTTAAGCTTAAAAATTTTTACTAGCAGGCCTTGCAGACGAACATGCATTTTTTTAGAACAACTTTTAGTGTGAAGTGTACAAAACAGCTTAATAGCCGCTTCAAAAACTAGTCGCAAGCTTATTAGAATATTTTAACGGTAAGCGGTCCTTTATGTCCCTTAAATGCGGTTAAGGAAGTGAGTTTTGTTGATGTAAATAATAACTGTTTATATATTTATAATTAATTCATTATTGTTTCCTAAATTATTTGATAAAAAGAAAATATAAAAAAGTCGGCAACGCTGTGCCGGTCGAGCTTAATCATGTGACTAAATGTTTATTTAGTATGATCTATAATAATATGTATTGTGTTTGAAATTGAAGTGAAAAATTGGTGACAAAATTACGAATGTTATTAGACACTTGACAAAAGTCAAAGTATGAAAGAAGCTGTGGCAACATTGTGACGTGTACTCGTCAAATATTTTGATGACGTGCAAGTAAACTTTTATTGATTTTACTATATTAATAATTACTTTGAATTTATTTAAAGGATGGACATCGATTTTTCCAGCTCCTATGTCACGAAGATCGCGTTCTGCGTCGTATTTCAGGTCGTTTGACACTGAAACCCAGATCGCTCTTTTGCGACCCTTTAGGTAGTTTTCGAAGATCACACCGGCAATGGTTCTGCCTTTACCCACTCCAGCACCATCACCTAAGAAATAAAAATATATTTTAGTAATTTCCTTATCAAAAAAAAAATAATAAAGACTATATTTTTTATGATTTTAGTTACAACCGTAATTTTCAGATTTTTCCTATGGCTATTTTGGAATGTCTGAAGCTAATACTACCCAACATACAAAACTTGAAGGAAGCAGGCCCTGAAGCTTCATCAACTACTATTGCATTACAGTTAAATCTGAATTAAGTTTAATTATAATACAGCCCGGTAACTGCAATGCTTACATAAAATATATTACATAAAATAGTTTAAATAAAGCTTCGTTCCAAACTTCAAAATTAGTGGAATAAATTAGTGACTTCAATTATACTCTATATTTGATTTTACAATCATTCACAACGTCTAAAAAATACAATTAAATTTAATAAAATACTCTAGCAATAATATTAATACTAAGGGCTGGCAAAAGTTAGTTTTGGGTCGAGATTTCCATATGTAAGAAGAGTACAATGCGTTTATAATGTACTGAACAAAGACAGAACAGTAAAAACGTTGCCAAACCTATGAAATAAACCGAGAATCTGTGCACATTGCTAAGACACGTGGAAGGGGATACAGCAGACTCGTCGCGGTCGCGGTAAAATTCTAAAGAGTGAACATCATGCGTTCAGCTTTACGGTTTAATTACATCTCATGATACTGTATCCTATAATTATTAACGAGTTGTAGTTTTCCCTATAGCTTGTAAATTAAGTTAAAAAGAATATAGTAAATTAGAGGAACAAACCATAACTTAAACCACTAATTTCGAGGTTCTGAACAAAGCTTTAGAAATTATAAATATGTACCTATTAGAAATCCTGCTCTGCTGCCATCAGGCAATATATGTTCATGCGCTTGGGAAGTATATGTTATACTTTCGAGCTGTAAGGCGGATAGTGCCCCAGTTCTAATAGTTTCTTCTGGTATGGATAACTTGTACCATACGTCTACGGGTGCGACAGATGACAGAGAAGCCGTCTCAACAACTGGATCAGGATGTTTTTTGCCTGAAAAAAAATCAATCTTGTAGTTAAAATAAAACACAACTAGTGTTTTAAAGGTTTGGTTGTATAGGAACATCAAGGTGGGTCAAAAATATCGACTATTTTTTTTTCATTTTATACTCATGAAACTTCTACACCCTGGATCTCCGAAATTAAGCATTTTAGAACATATATTTATACAAACTTTTTTATTTATTTTTATCTGCAGAATATGCTGCCGAAGTTTTCGGAATACAGTTCGGACCACCCTGTATATTATAAACGATAATCAGAATTTAAAATAAAAATTACTTTTTACGATTGATGATAAAAAACAACACACCACTTGCAGATCAAAAAGACAGAAATGCCACATGAAACTGAACAGAGTTGCCATATTTTACCTATCTCTTTTTAATTGATGTAAGAGTAATAAAGTATGTTATGACAGTAACGAAATGGTGTTTTAAGAATGGAGTGTAGTGTCTTTTCTTTTAGTTAGATGTCTCTGGACAATATAATGAAATATAATTACATACCTAATTTTAATTTTGAAGGCATATAATCCGCGTAAGTTTCTGCAACGCCCAGTTCTTCGTCGTCAACTTCTTCTTCTTCTTGGTGATGATGCATAGGTTTATTATCCATCTGATTCATCCACATCTGCTGTACAGCCTTTAAATAATTGTATTAGTACAATAAAAAATTAAAAGAAATAAAAAAAAAATAAAAAATAAATAAAACAAAAAAAAATAAAAAATTAAAAATAAAAAAAGAATAAAAATACAAAACAAAAAAAATTACTTTGTTGCTAAGCGGGCCACCCCAGGGTGGAACAGGTCCGGCACTGTATAACATGGCAGATAAATTCTGGAGAAAAGGATTTCCATATGGGTTTCCAGCCATTCCAAATGCTGCCATTTCCACTAAAAAATTAGTCAATATAAATTATTTTGTCAAAAAATCAAGTATTTAGCTTAAGGAAGAACTTAAAAATAATAAAAAATCATGCTCTGACAAACCTACAAAAATAAATTATATAATTTCATCTGCCTGTGCGTATTAAAAACATGCGATATGATTAACTAAGAATTATTATTTAACTAATATTGTAACTAATTAGAATTTAATATTCTACTTTATTGTATAGGTAAATAAAAATAATAACTAACAAATAGGTGTTTATTTATACAGTAATAATGCATTGCAGATTGAATTAAGATAAATATTAAATAATGATAAAACTTCTCGTAATTAAAATTTTATTAAATCAGTATTAAATCAGCTAAAATAGTATATGAAATGAAAAAAATATACAAGCCCTGGCCACTTGATTTCCGTGATATGTACTTTAATGAATACGACAGAGATAAATATATCCGACCAGTTGACAGGCAGAGAGATAAAATAAAAAGCGGCATACAGTGTTGCCGGTTCATACGAGAAATAAGAAATCATAATCGAAGATAATATATCCAAGCTATTCAATAATGCTCATTTCTGTTCGACAGTTGTTTAAAAATCTATTAGAGCTGTAGTAAAATGAGTAACTAATTGTGAAAAATAAAGTTCCAACCCTATATGCAATATTTTTCATAAACGCCTACTTGTGCGGTTTGAAATTTTGATGCAAAATCCGGCAATACCGCACAGAAGAAATGTATCGACCTAACTTTTATTTGTTTTTAATACATTTGATTTTACATTTACGCTGTCTACATTACTGTCTTACACGTTAAAATCCAAACCAAGCAGTTTCAATGACCAGATCGGTATAATCATGAAAAAAAATACATAAAATTAATACACAATTTAACTAAAACTGCAATGCTTTAATACCTAAATGGCCCACCTTAATCTTAATCGTTATCTCTTCCATAATAATTATTGTAAATAAAAAAAGTGAAACAAAGATATACAGGATGTTTCAAAAGAAATGCGAAAAACTTTTTTAAGTGGCGATTCCTTGGAAAAAATAAAGGGTAGTTATAATCGTTCGATCAACGCAGTGGTGCTTACAAAAAAAATATCAATTTTCATCTAAATATCGATGATAGTTCAAAAATTATTTTGAAAAAAAAAATCGAAATAAAAATAAACTCTTTTACTTATTCGAATTACCCTGTATAACAAACTATCCTTTATTCTTAACAAAGAATCGCCCATTAAATATTTACGCTTTTTTTAAAACGCCCTGTATACTGTCTGTTGCATCGCCGACCTGAACATAGAAAATCCCATGTAAATTTTAAAAGTGTGATAAGTTGACCAGATAAAAAAATATTTGAAACTTTTAAAAGAACTTCTTAAAATGAAGCAAGTTGTTCGTTTTCAATAGCTTCTACAGTTGATTGAACAAGTATGAAGATGCGCAATCTTCGTGGCATAAAACCTGTCCGAGATGTAGCTGGCGCTAACATCAGCGTGTCCGAGATTTAGTTTAGCTCTGCGCCGCTGCGCGCTGATAGTCGTTCACAGCGCAGCGTATAAAGAATATGTACTGTAGTTCTGCTTTCAGTCGACAGAGCGAGTGGTTGTCGGAGACAGTGTTGCCAGAACTACGAATCAATCCGTAGTTTTACGGATTTTGTGTACAGTACGTTAGTAATACGGATTTCCTATCATTAAAGAATTTAATATATTATATGATTGAACAAAGAACGGCGTCAGAGTTAGCTTGGAAATGAAGAACGCTGTTATTTCGCATGTAAAATATTATAGTAAATGTCAATAATAGTCATTTCCAAGCCAATTAAACGACTTTTTTCGACCATCTGAAAAATTCAGTATTTCTTGTATTTTTGTAAGAGTAAAGTTTCAACACATAAACGCGGATTTTTCTTCCATAGATATTTCAAATATATTCAATGTATTACAGATATAATACATAGGGTCAAATGTATTACAGATATTACACATTTTAATATGGCAACACTGTCGCTTTCAGTTCCACACCGTGTTCGATATGCCTTCGCTGGCCGAATTAGAGAAAATAAGTGTTTTATGCGTTGGCCACAGAACGAGTGGTGGCTCCACCGTTTTTACAAATCTCTGTACAAATTTTTTTACAAATCTCTGTAGAAGAAAATCATAATAGATTTATCATATTGTGACATAGCTTGTGATTGTTATCTTTGTGTGACAAGGATTATTTTAAATTTTCGCGTAATTTAGTATTTTTGTTTATCTCAAACCTAAATCAAAAACGAATTAGTATAATTATTCAAAAAGAACAATTTACTTCATTTTAAGTTCTTTAAAAAGTTTCAAAAATTTTTTTCTGTAAAATAAAATTGAGAAAAATTTACATGGCATACCTACGTTCAGATCGACAATACAACACACGGTAATACCCAAAAAATACTGAAGCAACTAAACTACGTGTTAAAAGTGCAACTGTGAGGCAACAAGCCACGCCCTCTCTAAAGATGCACTACGATGCGCAACGTATCATCACTCCAGTGCTTAAGGAAAATAAAGAGATAAATTCCATATAGAGTCTGCACTTACTCTGCTGCAGAAATTGTGCAGCATTAAAAGCGGCCGCTGAGGCAGACTGGGATGAGCCCCCGGCAGTACCTTGGGCAGGCGCCCCAAACATGTTGGCCATGGGACCGCCAGTGAGACTACTCAACATCGAGGCCATAGCGGCCAAGTTACTCATATTCGAGGTGTTTCCCGGGCCGCCGTAAGGGGGTCCCACTATACAGATCAATCAAATAATGTCATACACCTCTCATCCAAAAATACCCTTAAGGAACTAGTATATTGCACAAACCATAACTTAACATAAACTAACATGTATAGAGCAACCAACAATGATTGAAATGAAACTAAGAGAATTTCGGATTTTCATTGTCTTTATTTAGTTTACCTTAATGAATAATAATAGGAAATATATGTTGTATTTAAGAAATCTGTCTAAGGCTTAGATCGATCCTGTCGTGTTAAGCCATATTAAAAAAATCCAAACACGCGTGCTTTGATTAAGGCTTGATTAAGGTTTGCAGAGCTTCAGGATTTGCCATAAAATAGCGAGCAATTTGTTACAAAACCATATAAATTATATATCACTGTAATCACAAAACTTCAATCTATTTCCGTATTGTAACGGAATTTTAAATTATGTCTTTATTTTCGAGAAAATTTAGTCCAAACATAAGGCATATTTTGTTGATGTTTACCTTCAAAATCTTAAAAATAAAGAAGTCGTAATAAAATGTGCTACAATACGGATATAGCATAATTCTTTATCTTTAATTTTCTTCGTTATTTGTGTAAAAATACCTAGCCAGTTTTACATAAAACGTTAAATGCCGAACGCTTATTTTGCTACTTTTTCGGACTAGTGAAATTGGCCCTTAAGCCTCGTTCAGAATTGATTCTGAACGTTCTGATCCTCGTTCCTTTTTATTTCAGTTAAAATATGGGTAGTGTTCTTATGAAAGCCGATGGTTCCTTATAAGGCCAATCAAAAATTTAGCGGTTGGCCTTGCTAGGGTACATGGGCCTTACTAGGAACATTTTCAAATCATTAAAATATGAACACTTAGTTTTTAGTTATAAATATGTACCGGGAAAATTAAAACAATATTTTATGTTTATAATATTATTATTTATAAGGGTTATTCAACTTTTTAGCTAAAAATCATTTTGGCCTTACAAAGAACAAATCCATAAGAAGACCATTATAGGTAATTTATTCTTTTTGTAATTTCATTCTAAAACGCATTGGCAACTTATTTGTTATCAATATAATACTCATTACAATAATTTTTAAATAATTTCCATTAATATTTTTAGTTATACAATGGTTTTCAAGGAATCTTCGTTGAGTTCTTTAAAGAAGATTATAACATGTTAAGCATTTAATTTTTCGTTTAAATGAAAGAGCTTTTCATGCAGTTTTACTAACAGCAGATATTTTGATTATTACAACACTAGTTTTAAGTTAAAGAACTCATTTATAATATTGGCCTTGTATGGGGCCCTGTTCCTTCAAAGGCCATTTGGAGGAGCTTAATAAAAATTAAGTTAAAAAAAAAGTAAAAGTAATGTATAGGTTACACAATAAAACAAAGTATTTATTAATAATTTGTTTCTGTCATTTATGCAGTAAATGAACTAATAAAAACTTTTATTCGTTAGAGTGGCCTTCCAGGGCTCACCCAACTACCATATTGCTTATATTATATGTATGTACGCTACCGATTTCAATCATTGTTGATCTATCCGTATTACTAACTAAAATAATGTAAAATTACTTCACGAGCTTTTGTAAATAGAAAAAAGTGAGTAATACATTGTTCTAAGTCGTTTCAAACATAAAAGATTAACATTAAAGATTTTGTAGTACTCAAAATAATTAAAAACTCTATAAATGCAGAAAAATCAGTATAAGAGTGATGGGTAATATACCGTACAATCGAAAAAAGGCGTCTGGTTAGCTTGGAAATGACGATATAGATAATTTTACATATAAAATGACAGCGATCTTCATTTCATAGCCATCCCCAACTTCTTTTTTTTCGATCATATTGTATTAGCAAAAATGTAAAAATATATTTAAGTACATTTCAAAACTCAGTTATAAACAATGTAAATTCACCAATTACAAGTTACTCTTGGCTTTGAGCTTTGAATGCAGACAGTTAAAAAAAAAATATAGCGTAATTTCATACAAGAATTCTGTCATCATTCAAAACCTGCTTGACCAAAAAATATCCCGCTTATAAAAAATATGAAACATTAAATACATTTACCTTTATACCAAAAAAAAAATCCAACCAAACACATAACATAATTTTCACTTATAATATCACAAGAGCTTAAATTATTTTCGGAAATTTTTTTTGAGGGCACGAATATTTGAAAAATTATCCCGAGTCGAAGACGAGGGATAATTTTCCTAAAATATTCGTGCCCGAAAGAAAATTTCCAGGAATAATTTAAGCTTGCGTGGTATTCGGTAAGAAAAATTTCACACCTAAATTTGAAAAAAAAAATATTAATCCAACATGACATTTTAAAATAATTTCAATTTGTTAAGTTCAACCTTTTCAACTGTCAAAAAATTTCCACTAAAGTTTCGTGGCGCCTCGAAAAAATTTCCGGAAATTTTTTCAGTTGCCATGGTAACTAGTCAACATTAAAGCATGTTATTGGTTGAAAAGTAGAGGTGTGAAATTTTCCTTAAAATTAACCAATGTATAATATTTAAATGTTGATTTATGTACTTACTTGGTGGCCTCATCATATCATACGCACTGGGATGCATATTCATGTTCATACCTCCCATCATTTTGTTATTGGCCAGCATAGGTCCCATAGCACCCATTTTGTGTTCTTGCTTAATATCGTTCTCGTGTTTTAACTTAATATCGCGGTTTTCACCCAGAGTTGCGACTGTTGCCAGATCCTTACCCCCACCTAAGAAATATCCAAATTTACATATTTAACATGAAGCCCAATAACCACACTATCTATTTCATAAAATTTCATTTCCATGCCACCAATAAAGAAAATTTAATCAACAATTTAAACTCAGTTTTTTCTAAACTCTCTGACCACTGGCATATTCTTCCTAGATGCAACTTTCAGTGCTTGACGCATATACGGAATGGGGTATACCAGAGATATTGCTGTAGCTCATATGATAATCATGATAGCAAACTTTAATTTAATTAATAAAAACTCACCTGGTACTTCAATTTTATCAGGGTCCTCGTCATCATCAAAATCGCTGCCAGATAGCTCTTCCTCGTCCATGGTTTTCTTTGACTGTATCGATGTGAAAGAAGCCAAAAAGATAATTTCAATTTTGTAAGAAACTAAATATTCTGGAAAAAAGTGACACTACTTTTAATTTCTACTATAAGCAGGATAACTACATAGCCCATTCAGTTAATTCATAGTAAAGATTTAAGTAGACAGACATTTATGTAACTTCTATACAATATTATGATGACCTAATCTTAGGTAATACATTATATACCTATATACAGTAAAAACTGTCTATATTTTGATGTTTTTTCTTAAAAAAATCAGAAGTTACTTGAGTAATATACTGATTCAGCACTATAAAAATGAATAAAACTGCTTCAAGTATTCTAGTAAGATGCAGTGTGGATTTCTTTATTTAAAGACAAATATGGCGTAAACCAACGCCCTAATAGCTCTCCTCATTAAATAATTTAACTTTAATACCATTCCCGAAAGATATATTAGTATAAAACACTTTTAACCCCAAAGTCAAACTTTGTTTTTTTTTGTATTTTTTGGTTATGAATTTTTAAACACCAAGACCAAACGAAAAATAAAACAAGAAAAAATAAAAATCAATGATCGCTTCTACTGGGTAAAACTACAAAGGGGCAAAATCTAGAATAGGTAAAGATATATTTTGATAATAAACCACAAATAACTCATATAAAATCGAGAAAAGAAGGAACATAGAACAAAAAAAATGACAAGTTCATTTTTTCGGCCAAATATATTTCATGCAAGATCAACGTGAAGCAATTATGTAACAGCAGCATTATAAGGTCTGAGATGTTAGTTTTCTTAGAGATATGGAATCACTCACCACTTTTTTAGATCGCGGCATTTCTTGAAAAAAACAAATATACTGCCAGAGGTTTTCACAAAACACGCCAAAACGCCATACGTTTACCCATAATGCCTGTGTACAACGTTGACAAATTGTCGATCTTAAAAGATAACACAAGATTATATAAATATCAAACTATTTAATATATTGTCAAAATAACTCATCTCTTTAATCCAAACTAAAAATATCATAATAAAAAAGCAGTGCCTTATCGTAAAATCTACAAAAAATGCATATTTTCTGTTTGTAAAATTAATTCTACGTAAATTTTAGTGAAAACGTGCAACGTCCGGCAACGCCGACTAGCAGATACCAACATTGATTTCTAGGGACAAAAGAAGAAAAGACACCAAAAAGTCAGGGTGAGTTTTAATTTCGATTGTTTAGCTATCTGCCGCTAGAGGGACAATTAAAAATACGACTTTTTTGTCTTTCCCAGAACTAGCGTTATGGATTTTGATACGTTTGACCTACCCAATGAAAACGATCAATACTCCCAACAAGATAAAGTAGGGATGGGCAAAATCGCTTATTTTAGGTGGTCATATCACAGTTTATAAACAAATTTTTCGTTATTTTTAAGCCGGAATATATTATTTAGCATAATCTATCATTATTATTACATTTAATTCTCCATTTTCTTTTAAAAAATCTTGGGCTATGTACCTAATTTACTAATTATAGGTAGTATTGCTAACACTTAGGTATACTTGCCTTTTACTTGCGCATTTTTCTATCCATCGTATAACTTTATAACATACAACCAGCATACAACATAATACAGGATAATACTTATTATATAGACTTCACCGTTCTTTTTTTGTGTTGTTTATAAGAAATAAAACACAATTAACTTTATATACTTTTGAATTAGGAAGAATTACATTTATGATGGAATACATAAACATATAGTCGGTACAGAATATTAATAAATATATAAAACAGAACATATAATATACACATCAAGTACATATATACCTACAGGGTATTTTGCCTCTTAGTTTCAATAATTAATAATAACATTTACTTTTATAATTAAAACAAAATGACCAGAAACATTCGAAGAGTATTATTATAGTTTTATTCAGATTTCTTCAATAACTTCTTGCGTTCATTTACATCAATAATTCCCAGATTTTTGGCAGCCACTATACAATGTAAAAGAGAAATGAACGTTTTTGCTAGCATAATCGGTGTAGTCAAATACAAAATTATCCTGAACAAAGACAATCCAGCAATTATAGGGCCTTCAGTAAAATATAAAAGGTAGAGTGATGCAAAAAATGCTTCATTTCCAGCACACATAAAGAATAAAACGGTTCTGTTTGTATAATAAAGATTCATAATCGGATTTTCAGACACATCAATGAACTTATGGCTCTCCTTGCCTTGGAGAATCGAGCTGAAACGTTTATAAATATTATACAGTCTATATTTTTAATGAAAAAACTATTTTCTTACGTATGGAGGTATATCCAGTGACAAGCTACATCAATGCACATCGATAAAAGCAAAGGAAACATATATTTAGGATACAAGTGGGCTAGAACAGCTACAAGACCCATAGTTCCGCATCTATCGGTAAGTTGGTCTAACATGGCCCCAAATTTCGTGCCTTGATTGAAATATCTGAAATCGGTGAATGAATTAAACACTATTTTGTTGTGTTAGGTTTTTTATACCGAGCAGCATGTCCATCGAATGCATCTAGTAATGCCGAAGTAACATAGCACAAAGTCGCGACTATATAATTTGTTGGCATAAAATAAAAAGCAATAATTGCTAAAACAATCCTGGCATAACCTGCAATAAAACTGTGTTTTTAAAATAAATCAATAATTAAACGTATTTAGGATACCAATGATGTTGGGAACGAATAGAAATATATTTTCGTCAGTTTCTGAAGACATATTTCGAAGGTTTTTGGTTTTTAATACTCTTATAATTAAATTATCTTCAAATCTTTAAATTTATTGACCGTCTTCTGTTTTTGCGGCTTCTTTTGACAGATAATGAATTATTAAACCTATTTTAAGATTATTACTCAAACTACTATATTATTCTACTACAGCATAATTGTACTAGCCTGTAATAGATCTTAAAAACCTTAATATTTAAAGTAATGCGATTTATTTACACCAGTAATTTTGTCCTTGCCATTTAAAATTAGTTCAAAAATTCGGTAAAAATAATAGGCACATCTCTACTTTTTAGGAATGCCATAGGAATGGGTAAGGAATAATGTTCTTAGATTGTATAAATTATATATGATCCAGGGTAGTTTTTATTTTTTTTATAAGACCTGATAGACCTAGCCAAGAAAAGAAACAAATAAAACGTAAAAATAAGGGCAGAGAGTAGGCTAGACAAATATTTTAAACTTTCTGATCATTAAAAGACGAATGTTATTTGTTTCCAATGTTTGTTTCGATTGAGAAATGTTCTAAAATGTTTGTAAATGCTTCAACCTGTACGTAATTTTAAGAAATTAACACACAGAAACTAACACATGGTAGATTTTACTCCATATATCAACATTAAATAAAAAGCAAACAAAAATGTAGCGTAGTAAACAAGTAAATATATTTTTTTTTATTTTAAACCCATCCATTAAAAATAATAGTTTTATGGGTCACCGCTTGATGTCGCTCTCGTCGTTTTTGCTGTCATTTTCCAAAGTTTTGGAAAATGTCGAAAAAATAATGGCGGATCATGAAAATGTGATTTTCCTATTCGCGATAATTTTAACGTTTTGAACGATTAGCAGATTCGAAAATCGGTTACGTTAATGTTCGCGCGGTGCCTTTAAACCCGTTTTAAATATGTTACAAATACTGTTAATGTAGTTTCTTTGTGTTCCAAGTGAAAGCGTATTTTTCATTTGGTTGGGCTTTTTGGACATGGCCCCATTGCCCGATAATGATAAAACCGACAAGAATAAAGAGGACAAAGACGAAGATATGTTAAAGGGGGCCCAGAAAGATGAAAAAGTACGTAATTTGCGCATCTACACTTCTTAATTTCTCAATAAATAAGTACGAAAATTGCAGTGTACAGTCAGCGAATTTCTGGTAGTGTTTTAATATCACTAAAGAGTCATCTGTATAATTAGTATACATTCTAGAAATCAGAATTCCACACTCTTAAATTCCTTTTTTGTTGACATATAAGAAACCTGTTTTTTTGTTTTCATGACTTGTTCAAATATGTCTCTAATTGTAGCACAATTTACGTATTAAATTTGAATTTGTCTCATGCTGAAAATTAAGCTTTTATTTAGATGTACACTACGAGATGCGTTTCTTTGTGTTAAGTTTGTTATTCAGATATTTAATCAATATGTCGTTTTCATCTGAACTGTTTATTTTTTAAGAACTGTAAATTTATTGATTATATATTAACTTTGAATATTTTGTAAGTACACAAAAGCTGTTTTCGCAGGAGAAACAAAAAACTCTCTCAAGTGAGTTCCATGCCAATTATGAAAAAAAAATGTCCTTAGCGCAATACTCAAAATAATTCTTGAAGTTACGGGGTTTCCAAAGTAAGGTATCGATATATTAAAACAACTATGTATACAGGGCATTTAAAAATAGAATGACAGCAACGCATACTACAGAAAACCTTAAAACTTTATTATGACTTTTTTGTGACACCCTCTATATCACGAAATATTTTTAGGATTGTGTACCTTTTCGCGAGTATTTTGAGGGGAAAAAATTGTAACAGCGAAAAAATAGCCTCACATGGTCGAAAAATCAGTTTTTCGCAAATATCTTCCAAAATATCCAATTTACAAAATTTTTCTTGAAATAATAAATTGCTTAGGTAACCTATAAAAATGTTCCTTATGATTTTTTTACGTAGAATTAGTAGTTTTCGAGATATTCCGCCTCGAAGATCTCTGAATTTTCCCTCGAAGTCTTAATGCTCCTGAGATCGATTTCATAAGTGTATCATCGATTCATAGGACAAACTGTTTAATAACTTGGCTAAAATTTTATATTTTTTGATGATTCAAAGGTCATTTAAAAGGTAGAATCAATATCTATCACATTTTAGAACTTGTTTGAATTTTGTCATATTTTATGATAATAAAAAACCAGGTAAACATTCTTTGGCCCAAAAATTTTCAGATTTTTACAGACTTAATCATATATTTTCACTAATAATAGCTTATTTCTCAAGAGTTGTTCTTAGAGTCTCTTTAAGCAACTGAGAAAGTTTGAAGTGAGGAGTTGAAAATAATGATAAAAATTCAAAATTACCTGCAATATCTTGCAACTCTTTCAGAGTACCTATATTGTTCTTGTCCATTTTCTTGGATATAATAGACTACCTTCACCATTCGGTGTGAAATATCAACATCCAAGGGACTTCCTACGCCCCTGGATGGTCTAGGGACTATAATCTATAGGCTTGGTGCATTCTCCGCCGGTGTTGCCACCATCGGAGAATATCGTAAAAAACTAGCATATACAAATACGCGGGTTTAAATAGTGAGCATACGAAAAATGTATTATTTAATTTTTCTAAAAGTGTTAGGGAGCATAATTTGTGAAAATTCTAAAAATAAAAATAAAAAAGTAAATAGTATTTCGATATCTCCAGAAGGTCTAACTTGTATTATAATTTATTATTCCAGTTAAAAAAAACCTTTTTAGATGAGTTCAACTATGGTAGCCAGCATAGTTTTAATCAATGATTTGGCTAGTGAGCTAGTGAGGCATAATTGGTGCTTGGGGCTATTTCGGCTTTCGGCTATAAAGAAATGTTTTAAAGGTACATAATTATAATTTTAGATGATGTTTTCATAAAACATTTAATCACTAGTTGATTAAAAAAAGTAGACCATTATGTCTATTTAATTTTTTGATTATGTAACGAGCACTTTGTTTGGTCACTTGTTTCGTCTTGAATCCATTTTTGCTATTGATCAAATCGGTGTGAGAAATTATGAAGCTATAAAATGTTGTTTCGGGAGAGTTGAATATCCGGGAAAGTTGAGTTATTGAATGTTATTGCACCTAACAACGCTCTAATTACGCTCTCCTTTACGCGTTAACATTTTTTCGGCAATTTTATTAACATTTGAAATTGTCACAACACAACACGACGCCTAGTTCGAATTCTTTTTCACTTATTTTTTACTACCCGAAACAGCGTTACATCACACAAACCTCGTACCTGACTGTTTTGTAGTTTCAATAACTGCACTAGCAAAAAACCAAAATACTTAAATATTATAACAAAACCACGGTTTCAATATTATTTTAATGCGATCAACATGACGGCGCGCGGCGGCGTGAAATAGGTAGGGATGATTTCAGATTTTTTCCGTTGAAGCGCTGCGGTCGGAATTTGTTGAAATAAACTGAAATGCACCAAGCCTATGAACCATAAAACATCTGTATTAAACTTTTTTTGATATCTTTGACAACAACGACGATATTGGACTTCCTTGCACTCTTGAGCCACCCTGTATACTGACAAAATTTAATATCAATAGAAACTGTTGTTCTCCTTGGAGCCTCAGCGTCATTATTAGGGTTACCAGATGAAAACTTGTCCGCACCGGGCAAGGCTTCCCAAAAGTCCGGACAAAATCCGGACGTCGCGTCATAATTTTTTTGCGATATAAGAGCAAAAATGATATATTGTTTTGGTTTTGTTGGTAAAAATGATACATTTTGTGGCGAGGCTGTGGAGTGGACGTTTGACATACAGGCGAGGTACCATAGACTTAAAATAAAATATAGACTGAGCATCTCATTCATAAATAGCTGGAACATGCGGCCAGACACTGTCTTGTTATTGTTGTGTTATTGTTTTAGGTTATAACGAGTGCGACACGAGCGATAGATAGGTTGTCTCTGTCGTAACGGTCGTTCCCTGACGACTCTGCCGAGAAACACAACACTGTCTTTCGTTTCTCAAGTACACTTGAACTCTCCGTATCAAAGCCGGGTAATTTTTTTATTTTAATGAAGCTATAATTAAATTAAAAATATATCGTATTTAAACTTTTTTATATTTTATTAAGATTTAGGACAGGTTTTTTAAATAAAAGTTTAGAAAAAACAATTTAGAGTCCAAAAAGGATAAAAATAATAAAATACACGTTATAGAAGAAATGTTATAATCGAAGTTAGGTAATTTTTGAAATTAATAATAAATTATTAATTTTAGTCAAACATTTACAACCCCTAATATTAATCAAAACAGGATCTATTCCACAGATATAATAGAATCGGCGACAGGGAGAGAAAAAAAAATATGATTGTTGTAATTTTTTTTCTGGTTAAGTGATGTCTTATTATGTAAATTAGAGAAAACATAAATCTGTTCCATTAAAGCAAGGACGGTGATAGGAAGTGAATAAAATAAAAACTAGGTACATTTATTTAACTCGGTACTGTCTTTATTATACCGGGTGCGTCTCAAAAGTGGCTCATCCCCATAATTTTTTTATATTTTCAAATAAAAAAACAAGATTTAGTATGTTAGTATATGAAATAAATTAGGATTGATTGACGCATTCAATTGTTTTTGGTCACTTCCTGTTTCACCGGAAATGACTATAACTTTTAATTTTAAACGGCACCCTCGGTATATTTCTACTTTATTCGATAGAAAATGACACTCTGAATAGAATGACATATCATATGTCAACTTTTGACATTTTCGCATATTGTTTAATTGTAATTGTAACACGCGGTTCATAACGACAATTTGACTCGAAATACCAAGTGTGTGGTATCAATATATTCATAAAAAAATGCTTTTTCCAAATACGCTAATGAGTCACCCTTGTTCCATTTGAAAAAATTGACATATGTATGATTAAAAATACGATTTGTACATCTTTTAACCGGCCTAGACAAGACACGAAACCTATTAGACGATCAAAACTATTTTTCCATGGCTCCTTGATTAAAACTTAGTGGATTGAAAAAAAGTTGAGCCACTTTTGAGACGACCCGGTATATTAAAAAATATTGTTTCATAATGTAATATCATTTTAAAATTCTTGTATGTTATTTTAGATTCTGAAGATAATTTTAGAATAAACCGGAATATATTTTTAATAAAAACATTATTAATTATTAACAGGGTTATAATTATGATTTTGTTACAATGTAAGTAAGTAAATAATGTAATGTAAGAGAAAAAATTCAGATTTTACATTTTACTAAAATATTATCTAAATAAGCGCCTTTCTACAACAACGCCACTGACTCCCAATGGGTAAATTGAGAGTTGCCTACCGGTCAAAAGTCGTTTCAAGACTTAAATGGATTATTTAAGTCAAATTTCTTGCAAATTTGGCACTGGCGAACCATATTTTATAGTTCTTGAACAGAAAAAGTCAATAAAATAAACACTTAAGCACTACAAGCTAAGAAAATGCGTTAATACAGCCGGGGAGATAGCGGCAACAAAGCTTTACCGCACACGTGCGACACGTACTACAAGGTAATAAATGAATGAATAGGCTCCCTCGCCTCTAATCGGTGTTGTCATATTGTAAAGAACTTATCCTTTTTAAACAGTATCCGACTTATAATTTAGTAGTATAAGGACTATTTAATACATCTATGGAATATTAAAACCTACTTTATTAAAATGTAGTATTAATATCTCAATATATGTGTATAACAAGAAAAAAAATATTGATAATATTAAAGACGTGAGAACATAGGCTGGATGAGGAAGGCTCGGTCGACTGTACCCAGAAGTAAACATGTGTACAAAAAAGGTTGTTTGTCCGCGTTGAGATGTAAATAGTGTAGTCTATATTTTATTTTAAGTCTATGCGAGGTACAAAAATCATTTTTACTCTGAATAGAACATGCTATTTTTTTTCAAACGCCACAAATAATTTTTTAAACAATTTCAAACGTTCTAAATAATATAAAAAGATTTAAAAGTAATACCTTGTAAGTAATTATACGTATATCGAGAAACTATGGTTACGCTTGTTGAATATGACACAGAGAGAAACTAATAACTAAAGTGAGAGAGTTTGTGGAATAGGGCATTTCGTAGACAAGTTTATTTTGTCACCGCGCATCCCAGACGCGCATACCGTTTAGGCGGTCAAAAAAGGAAGTTTTCAACTTTGCAAGTTAAACATTTGACAGGATTAATTAGATTGTCAGTAGCTTTTTCTATTTCTTAGTTCTAGAAGGAGATAACTAAAATCTGTTGATAATCGGAGCAAATCGGAGTAATAAATTGTTTTTGATTGAATGTGCCTGTTCTTTTAGCTTGTCAGAAGAGAAGATTATTGTCATTATTGACTATTTCAGATTCCACTATTATTCGGCATTTTTCTAATTTTTGTTTTGTGGTTGAGACCCAGACAAAAAGTTTCTTTTAAAGGTAAGTTTTATCACGGTAATTATTTTAACATACCTAATAGCACAGAATATCTAGCTACGCAACAGAAGCCTCGTTACATGTATAAAGTTGTAGGTAGCAAAAGGAGACAGGCTTTTAAAGCCTGTCTCCAAATCAGATATTTTGATGCGGTAGTTTCGCTACTACATAATAGAGGGCAATAACTTTAAAAGAAAACAGTTTTCTACAAACAAAATTTAAAAGAATTTTGTGCAGTGTTGCCATTGTGTAATTCATATCGTAATACTTCCTGATAAAGCCTACATTCAAATTTGCTATATCATTTAAACATGTTAAAATAGAGCAGAGCTGTTTTTTTCAATTTACCATGTTAGTTGGAATTAAATCTTATGAGCTAAATTACAATCACTTCCTGACGTTTGATTGTATAATTGAATCCTGAATTTTCATTGTAATTCGGCGACAATATAATAAGTATTGTTCTACTATTATGATACCACTTCCTGACGTTCGGTTGTGTTCATACCAAGTTCATATCGTATAATCAGGAAAAAACGGCGTTAGCGATGGCTATGAAATGAATATCGCTGTCATTTTATATATAAATTTATATGATAAATGTCATCGATCGTTCTTTTCCAGCCAACTAGACGCCGTTTTTTTCGGTATCATACGGTATTTGATATATACTATTTTTCATGACATTACAATATTATGGTACCATGAAGCATATCAAGTGATACTATAATATAGTACCATATTACGATACATGGCGTTCGATTGGGCTGAAACTTGATATACTATATCTTCAGTGACATTGTAATATCATGGTACCAAGGAGCATATAAAGTGGTACTTTCTATAGTACCATATTTGATGACATAGCAATATTAGGTACATGGCGGCAATAGGGCTTAAACTTGGTATACTACGTATTTTCGGTGACATTGTAATATGATGGTACTATGATGCATATAAAGTGGTACCTTAAAATAGTACCATATTTCAATACCATTTTCTGACGTTCGATTGAGCTCATATATATTTTTGATGACATTGCATTATTATGGTACCATGAAGCATATCAACTGGCACATTAAATTAAGTTTTGTAATAATATACTTAAAACTATTTTAATAGCCAAAGGAATAATTAATATAAGTGTATCTGACAAGAAAAGAAGACTAGAAAGAAACATATACTGCATTAATTATACACAGTAAAAAGAATGGGATGCCAATTCCAATTCAAGTCTTTTTGAATCTGGCAACTGTGCATATTTAGCCGAGCTACAAGGCAGTCGACGAGCCGTCGATCCAAAACCGAAAGTTCAAAATTTCTAATTATATTCTGATTATGATATTGTCGCGCCATCTAGTATTCTATTTGTGCAATTTTAGCTCTTTCATTTCGAGTATTTTTCTGTTGCGTAGCTAGATATTCTGTGCTAATAGTAATAGTGAGTGCACATAATAATCGTACATTGCTAATTTAATTTTTTTAATTTAAAACATCACATTCTTTTCTGATACTTATGGAACGACTAGGTGTTATACCTGGTATTATTTCCAGTAATACAAATTATTTTCTTTAACTGCTAGGTTCTTGTTATAGAATAAAGACTATCAAAAACATTGAATACCTACGAGATACCTACTGATACTCTGTGCGAGCTCCCAACCGTGCTTCCCTGTTCACTCCCAACCAAGTTAGATAAAAAAGATACTGAAGGTTGCAGCCTTGAGTTGGAGTATGGCAAGGAGTATGGAGTTAAATAAATTATTATGTTCCTACACAGTATTTTATTTATAGGTTTTAATGCTTTAAAGTCTATTAATAAATTTTCGTTGTCAACAAAATAATCTAAAAAAACTATGAAGATTTCTTATTATAAATTTGAAAGATTAAGATTCGGTTCAAATATATAAATTTTAAATTTTTGGCGCCAGTATATAGGTATGAATGCAACCTACTATATCGATAATGCGCTCATAGTTCGGGTTAGACGCCAAAGGCCGCGCCACTAACACAGTCTTCAAAAATTAACGTTGATCGGTCTCTCTCACTTTAGTTATTAGTGTTCTCTCTGATATGACACTATGATGTCAGTTTTAATGCTTTTAAAGCACTTTAAAAGTGCTTTACTTTTATGCCTAGGCGATATAATTACTTTTTTATGTTGTCAATCACGTCGCAAAAATTAATACTTTTGGGACGTTTGAAAAAAAAATACATTTACAACTTTCAAAGCTTAAAACTTACGAAGTAAAACAATGAATTTACGCTGCTGAATTTATCGACGATTTTTAAAGTAATTAAATTTATTAAAACTAATATATTATTTTGCATTATTGTAACATTTCTCAATGGAACATTAAAATCCGGACGCTTATGAAAAATCCGCCCAAACTCAACCGGACGTAGTGAAAATCCGGACATGTCCGGATTAATCCGGACGTCTGGTAACCCTAGTTATAATAGAGCGCCACCCTGTATACTTACATAAACTTACCTTCTATGTTTTTTTTTCAGACACTATCTAATCTAAACGACAGGGAGCTCAAAGCTCTGCTAGACGAAGCCATAAACTACAAGAACCCCAAAGATCGGGAAGGAAAAAGTGAGCTGTTTAATGTAAGTGTTCTAAGTAATCTTAGTATATAGTAATTGATGAAAAAGTAATCTCTAAATATTATACTGGATAAAACTTATTAGGACATTACACAATTATTCTGCTCTATAAAAACCTTTTACACATTCTAGGACCTTCTTCTGCAGGCTGAAGAGACTGAACGTATAGCCAGGGCTACCTCGGCTGGGGGTTCCGAGTTGGTGAGGCATTGTAATCCACAAGCTCGTAGGCACAGGCATAATGGGGGCGTTAGGGGTAGAAGATACGGTGGACCAACCACGTCATCTAGTTTAATGGGCAGATCTGTTAGCGAAAGGTATTTTTATTTATTTTTTTATTGGGTCCGGACAGTGGATTTTTAAGAAAATAAAATCGTCCTCGAAAATATCGGTTTTAATTATTTTTTTTTTAATTTAAAAAAAATTGAGGAATATCGAGTAAATTTTTAATTACAGAAATAAAATTGTGTTACTATTTAACGCCATTTTTTTGGTTCTTTTACGTTTTCATAATACGTAAAAAATGGATTTAGAGATAAAAATGATTTTTAAATGGTGCAAGTAGTAAATGACGTCTAGAGATTAACCTCGCCAAAATTATCAATTGTCATTTCCTAGCCGTCTTTGACGCCGATTTTTTGAAGCGCTATGTTTATAGAAGTGTATTTTTTAACATTTTATATATTATAATTAAGTATATTTCTTTTTTTCAGAGGTACACATGGAGGATCCCTGGATAACCTGGCAAAAGAGGAACTTTATGAAGCTACCTGTAGGCGATTGAGAGGTGCTAGGAAATCTAGTACTAGTTCTAGTGGGGCGTCTTCGAATTACGGAGGAAATCAGATCAGAGTTAGCGCTAGACAGAGGGAAGGGGGTAAGTTGTTGTTTTTGTTGTTATACAAGTGTGTATTATATGATCAAAAAGTTCTGTGTTGCAAAGAGCTAAAAGTTTGATAGATTTAGCTCTTTTGATAATTTTTTTATTATATTCAATGCGTATAAACATTTTTTACTATCCCTGCATTTTCGCAACACCAATAGATCGTCACTATTAAAAATATTTTTTTTTCCACAAAAGAACCTTATTAAATTCTTGCACAGCTTCTGATGAACTAACTTTTATCTTCTCATTATTTTTCTCATCATTGGCTTGTACCTTTCTGCAGGTGGATGGCTTGAGGCATTATCCAACAATATGGTATTTTCAGATAATTTTTTTTTCTTTTAAAAATTTAATTAAAGAAGGATCTGTGAAATCAGTTCTCAAAAATTGCAGAAGTTATCCACGCATTTTTCGAAAAATCGAAATCGACAAGAAGAGCAAAATTTTTGAAGCACCTTGGTTTTTTTTGCTTTGCCTTGCCTAATACTAGAGGTCTAACCTTATATTCTCCAGTAGCATTAGTACATGCGAGAAAAGTAAGCCTTGCTTTTTCCGCTTTCCTTCCTGGTGCCATTTTTCATCATTATTTGTTATACCGTATGATCGAATAAAAACGGCGTCAGCGATGGCTATGAAATGACGATCGATGACATTTCCCATATAATTTTTAGTGATGTTAATATTTCAGAAATTTTTGATTGTTGCAGAGGAAATTTCCGAAACTTTCGGAAATTTTACAATTTTACATGTTTTTTGTTGATACAATAAATTGAATACTTTCAGGCGCCGAGCTGGTCCCATCTCCATAGGGTATTATAGTAGTAGTATATTAGTACTGTATTCGTCAGTTTCTATTTCCAAATCAGATATATTTGATGTATCATATATATCTGTACCTGTGTATTTGATGTATCATATATATGGACCTCTACCTCTACGGGTTCTAGTGGTTCTGGAGGAGTTTCATGTTGTTGAATATCATGCTCCATATCCACTTTTTGTTTTTGTAGTAATAATTTATTGTTATGAGCTACGAACAGTTGGTAAAGACAGCAGAGCAACAGCTAAATATTTCAACTGAGTATTTTTACACATTGCTTGCCACCACTACTAAGTCTACTCCACTACTGTCTAAGTAGTCTACATTTTTAACTGACATCCAAACGTAGTAGAGGATCTGATCATAAACCTTCAGAATCTCATCATAAACCCTATTTGGCGTAATATTTCGTTACATCTGTAAAAATGGCTTCTTTATTATTGACAAACTGAGGATGTTTGTTGGTGATATTGTTGATAAATTCCATAGCGGCTATGTGTTCTTCATTGTGCTCAAGGTGCTCTCTCAGGAAACAGAGGGGTCCAAGAGATTCGCGGCAAAATGCATTGGTTTAAGAGCCATATGTTTTCTATTTTGTAAAGTGGAGAAGCATTATTTTTCTTCTGATTTAAGAATAATCATTGATACATACTTACATTTTCGTTAAATTTTTGCTCAATGTCTTGAATTTTGAACAGAAATTTATTGCAAAATTCGGATTTTTGCGAATATTCGCGATTTTGGGACCGAATATTTCGGAAATTTCTGAAATTTCCTGCAAAATTCGAATGGAAATATTCGCTACCAACATCACTAATAATTTTACATATAAAATGACAGCGATCTTTTTCATAGTCATTGCTGACGCCGTTTTTATTCGATCATACGGTAGTATTTACGAAGTCAACTGGAAGTAGGTACAGGGATTCTTAATTTGTTTGTCCCGACGATGTCGATAAAGACAGTGCCGAACTGAAGAGTCCTAATCTATTCCAATGGACTTCGGAAAAACTATACTAGTGTTTTCTCGGGAAGTAATAATTTCCAAAAAAAGAACAGTTTCGTCTGCGTTATAAATCTGATCATTTGTTAGGTTTAGTTTATTTATGATTGATCGAAGATTTTGTTGAAAAGGAGTTACTAACTTGGATTTGTCGATAATTTTTCACCAGATATTTTCAGAAATTTAATCTCTCCAAAAAATCCTATATGGGTATTATTTTTTGTAAACACTTCTGCGTTAATCCAAACGGAAACTACTTGTCAGAAGTTAGGTTTACAGATATACAAATTTACCTTTGATTGCCTTTTTTATTTGGAAAGATGAATCCGCCACATAGGTATAGACATTTTTTTTCAGAAATTTAATGTTAAATCTGGGTTTAAATTGTTTGTTGTAACCTTGTTGTAACCAACCGTCGTCGCGTCGCTTGCCGAAAATCCGTCAGTTTAATTCAGAATCTCATTTAAATATTTTGCTTTAACCTTTAAAGGTACGCGCACACTGACCAGAGCCGCACGCGCCGCATCGACCGAAAAAAAATATTGTTTGCGTTACTTCAATGAAGGTGCGCACACTAGCCAGAGCCGCACGAATCACATCGACGAAAATGCGACCAGCATTGTTGGGCCAGAATGATTTTCATTAAATGCGGCTAGTGTTGCTGACGTCACACTCAATTCCTTCCACTCTACGTAGCGTAGGTAGCCGAAGAGGAGATTAGAAATTCAATATGCTAAGAAAGTTCGCAAATTTTTCATGGCTCATATTGAAATTTTTTTAATTCATCCTCAATTAAATATGGAAATAATGTGGATTTTTGCCAATATTGTGAACCTATAACCACAGATTATACAGATTATAATCTTTGTTTTTTCTTTATTGTTTTTCGTGGTTGCAATTTTCGGAATCGGGCAGTTAGGTGACTAGTTTGCGCACATAGCACGCCCACTTATGGCCTCTAAAATTGTGCACAGCGCCTGACCGGCACAGTTATTAGAGAGATATCGGAAAACCGAATAGCGTCATGCGGTATTTACGCGTACCTTATCATGGTTACGATATGACGTTACACCCGCTAATAACGTTACCGCCTGACGTAATTTGCGGATCAATTACACCAAGCGCTCTTTCTAAATAACCTCTGATAACGTTTAAAAATTGCTTAAATGGGCATGTGCGGGTATTTGACAACCGGAGCCGGCCGGCGAGATCTTTTATTTTAGGTTATATTTGAATTGTTTTGAATTAGTGCTTTAGTTTTATTAGGTAATTTGATATTTAAGTAGCTGGGATTAGTTTTAATTAAATAAATATGGCCCAAAATATGGATTCCACCTCTTCCGATACTAAAGAACCTATAAAGAGTCTTAGGTTTACAGCAGATGACGACTTAGCCGTTCTAAGAGAATTTGTTGCTTGTTGCCCTAAACCCACTGGCAGACGTTGAACAATAAAGCACTGGAAATAAGCACTTTAGCCCGTTAGTTTTAAAATAACTAGTAAACAAAACAATTTCAAAGTTTTAAATTCAAACTTAGGTTAAGTTTAAATAGCGGACGCGACGCGATCAGAATTCTTTCCGATCCGATAACTATAAATGAAGAGAGTTAATACCACCTCACGTAAAGGAAATAACACCTGGCCTTATTAACGTCCATGCACGCTATTCGGTTTAGCGATATCTCTCTATTACGCTGTTTATTGTTATTTTACGCGAGTTTATTTTTGCGCACAGAAAATTTGACTCGTTTGCACATCGTTATAAAAAACAACTTTCGTACCACGAATTAGGGACAAGATTTTTATCTGTATACTTATAGGATACCTAATCTGTGCTATAACTTTCGATTCTTTCTCGTGATTTCTTCTTCTTCTATTAACAAGGAGCTCATAATTATTTCTTGTTCGTTGTCATTTATTGTCGAGATATATTAAAAAATCACCCCAGACAGGACTCCGGAAGCGACTGATGAGAAATTCGATTGGCAAATACGGGTGTAGTAGGGGCAAAAAGAAAGAAAATAGCGAATAATGCGGCGCGTTCGGTACAGCTCAGTGTGCGCGCCAAGAAAAAAAAGTGCGATCCGTACGGCGCGTGCGGCGAGTGCGGCTCTGGTCAATTTCAATTTCAATTTAGTTTTACGGCCACAGCTCCAGGACTATCCGGCCGGGTGATAGAATATCTATCCTTTTTTCTTCTTCAATCTAAGACAAGAGAAGCTCGTAAAAGCGTCCGACTCGAAGTCGTTTCTCTTGAATATTTGTATAGTTTTTCAATTTAACAAAAAAACTTCTTATATCAATCCGATATAAGAAGTTTTTTTGTTAAATTGAAAAACTACACAACTCTGGTCAATGTGCGCGTACAGTACGTCTGCTGGATCTGTGTCTATGAAAGGAATGCGGATAAAAACATTTAAATAAACAGCAATATATTTTATACGTCGACTTGACGAGTACGTCACCGCAAATCGCTCCGGCCACTCATTTTATTGGCTACTTGCAAATTTGTCGAATTTTTATTGATGGGACGCGTCTTCTAATTTTTTACGAAAAACATCGAGAGAATATCGTTTCCCCTCTCACGGATGCCCCGTAGCTACAGAACGGACAGACGTACTGTACATTAATAGTTCAGAAGTCACTGGAAGATTATGTGATCTTTGTGTACAAAACTATTCGTACAGTTTCTTTCGCTACTATGTTTAATAAAAAATAATGGAATGAGTGTTACTTACCTCGCAAAAAAGTATTACATCGCTAAGTTTACTGTGTGTGCAATAAAAAAAATAAAGTTTATCCTAAGTTTAACGATGAGGTGTGCGGGTAATAGTTAAAACAAATACTTTGAAATATGGAGAAAATCCCAGAAATTTGCAATATTAATGCTATACTTGTTTTAATCAACTAGTGCTTACATTTTTTATGAACATCTTCTAAAATTATAATTATGTACCTTTTAAAATTCGTTGTAACCGAAATAGTTCCAGTTGTCTCCGCTAGCAAAATTGGTGCGTAAAACTATGCTAAAACCGTAGTTGAACTCATCTAAAAAGTAGTCCTTCTGAAGATATCAAAATATCTACTTTTTAATTTTTATTTTTAGAATGTTCATAAATTACACTCCCTAACGCTTTTAAAATAATTTATAATAAACTAGCGTGTACC